GAAGGAATGCGAGTCGCCGGGATCTGGAAAAAGTCAAGTCGAGAACAATGCGACCCGAGGCCTACTTGCACTTGTAAGGAAGTTCCGCCTCGTTTTATGAATATCATCCATCCCAGCAGCAGCCCTCTTTTCGGCCACATTTGTGTGTGACACACAGTTGACAGCTGCGGTCTCAGTGGTCCTGGTAAATGGTCCTGCTCCTCATCCTCATCTCCATCCTGCTTATGCTACTGCTTCTGGTCCGGATGCCACGGAGTGGTGGCTCTTGCTCCGGCTCAAACTTTGACTCCGGTGATGCGTGGCCATTGTGCGCATTTGACGTTTGGTTTATTAATCAGTTTGGCCTGCGGCCACCGACCAACGTCACAATTTTCCACAAATGAATAATTTTTGTACAACAGAAAATATGAGGCAGAAGCCAAAAAGGCAGACCCACGGAAAATGTGTCACACAAGGGACGAATACACTCGGTCAGATGGGTATTATAATGTTTTGTAAAATTTTCATGTTTCCAATAAGAAATAAATTTGAAAACCAAAATAAATATGAACAAAAATCCCAGTCAATTTTAATCAATTTTAATCTATAAAGGTTTAAAGGTTTTATATCACTTCCTATAAATAATATTCTCTTAAAAAATATAGAAATATATAAAATAAATGTGGAGATTGTAGAACTTTAATCTGAGAACAAAATAAGAAAATACTTGCTAATAAGAAATAAACTTCAATATTGTTCCAAGCTTTAACTTAACCCACCAGTTAATTTCTTCATTTAATAAGTTTAAAAAAATGTAGAAAAGAGTATTAAACAGTTTGGTTCTCCCCTTTTTGTTTTCATATTTTTTGTGCAAAGCTGGTTTCGCATTTTAATTTCAACAGAGAGAAGCGAGAGTCAAACAAATGTCAGTCGCGTGTTAATCAAGTGTAAATAAATGGCGCAAAGATTAGAGAGCACCGCGAAGGCAACAACTGGAGCCCCAACAAAAACAACAACGAAACATTGTGAAAGGCCCAGAAAACAAATAAAAAATAAAAAGGAGGAATTCCCAAAATTGCGGGGTGTGATGCAGACAAATAAAAAAGCAGGAAAAAAATGGGAAAAACATTTAATGGTTTTTTAAATGTTTTTTAAATGTGCGTGAAAAATCTGTCACTCGATGCGAAAAAAACTTAAAAATGCTTAAAGTTTTCCTTGCAGCCCCCTCCTGCTGCCAAATGCAAATTAGCCGCCAAAGTTGTTATCATCGAAGCCCGAACCCAAATCCCGAAGCCATTGGAAAGGACCCAAGCAACGCCTACGCCCAAGTAAGTCCTTAGACCCCAGGAAAATCCTGCCCTCAGTGTCCGCCTTTTGGAAATTGGACTGGGGTGTCCTGAAGTGGCGTTGATGATACTATTATCTTAAATCGCGACGGGGGAAGGGGCTGAGACCCATGCGAAGCTGTCAGCGGACGCGGCCACTTCAATTGTCCTTTTTCGGCAAGGCATTTACAATTCATAGATAGAGACGGAAAAAATCGTTTTATTGGCTTTAAGGTCCTTTTTGTCGCCTCAGCGACATGAATAAAGGAGCAACAAGGACATAAACCGCAAATAACTTGAACAGAGGGTTCCCTTTGTTATTGCATTTCCCCGTGATTTGTGTTTTCTCGGAGCGGCGGAAGAGTTTACATTTTACAATTTTTTCGCCACCTCCAATGCACAGTGAAGCAAAGCATTGAGAAATAATTCTGGTTCGGAGCTAAATTTTATTATATCTTTTAATATTTTGTTATAATAATACTTAGCAACACAAGGACAAATATAAGACAAAGACAAATAACGAAAATTGGAACAAAGCTTAACAAAAAAAAGTCCTGAGGAAACTAATAAATAATACAGTGCAGAATTAATCATATATAAAATAAATTGTAACACACAAGTAACCATGTTTTCAAACTAAAAAACTAAGGTAATTATTTTGTGTTTATTTAGAAAAGCTTAAAATGTTTCAAAACCCTTTCATACGGAAAAATATTTTACCACGGTCATTGTAAGCTTGTCTAGCCAAAGGGGTGCAAATGCTGCAATTTGTAACATTATTTGTTTTTCTTTTCGGGCCTCCACCACCGCATCCCACCCGCCAAAAGGACATTGCTCGAAGACACAATGCTATCTAATCTTATTTGGTATTATTTCTGAGTTAAACCTGCATTTCAGCACTTTCCCATTTTACAATGGCCAGACAATTGCTGTCCTTAACAAGGAGACGAAACTTTAAACTTCCGCCGAGAAAGTTGTAAGGGACCCTTTGCCTTGAAGGGCACTTTTAATGATATTTACAGGAAGTGGCAGAATCGCATCAATCATTTGTCGGCCATAAAAATTCGTCACACACGAGTATTAAATTATACAACGAAAAAACCCAGAAAAATCTTTGCTGAAAAAAACGGAAAAATTCTTAATGGTTGCGTGCAATGAAATGACCTTGTAAGTTATGAGACCTATGGGGGCCAGACTTAACAATTGGTCTGAAAAGATCCTGGGAGAAGTGAACCCAAGGTTTAACGATGGACGGTCGTCCCTGCGAGCCACCGAATGGGATTGGGATCCTGGCATGTGTGTGTCCTCATCCTGAATGCTTCAACCCACACCAGCGTGGTGTGCCCACTCACATGTGAACATTTATTGGAAAACATTATTATTTATGGCTTTTTGAATGACATCGCTTGAACTTTTCAAGCAATAAAGTAACGTACAATAATATTTCCTTACAGCGGAAATTGCAGGCGCACAATTTTCTATAAAAAATAAAGAAAAAAGAAAATTTTGAGTTTTGATTTATGAAGATTTTCATTAGTTTGGTTGATCAAAATTGAGTAGAATACGTTACTTGATTTACAAGCAGGGAAAATTTCATTAATGACACTTGTCCTTTTATCGCAAGACAATGAAGATTAAATTAATGGAAATATAACGCAGTTCAAAAACCAACGAGGAAACTCGCCTTAAAGAATAAAAAACCTGTATACATCTATTTCAATTTAAAGTGTCTTTTTTAGAATAGAATAGTTTTAAAGTTTGGGTTATTAAACACTGCAGTGTAAATAATAGCCTGCTGGAATACAAGATTAAACGAAAAAAAAGCCTTATAAAAAATAAAAATCCCTCAAAGTGAGCAATTGCAAAATAAATTTCGATGAAATCTAAAATTAAAATCTTATTCAACTTTATTTCAAGCGATTGATGCACAAGAAGCCCGACAGTTAAAGGGTTTGGGGATTACGGAGTTCAAGTCCTTGGCCGTGTGAAACATGTAAGGGATGCGTGGCCGTTTAAGATTAGATCAAATAACCACAAGCCGAAGGATTATTTTAAGTAATTGCTAGACATTGTTTAGTGGGATGCTAAGGACGTGGAGACCTCATGGTTTGGGGCATCTTGTGTGCAAATTGGGTTCGACTTTAAAGTGAAATATCACCAGAGCTAAGGCATTTGTTTTTATTTACTTAACCAATGCGATTACATAGCCAGCCACGGCTTATTTACTGCCAGGTCCGTATGTACTCGAGTTATCTGCGTGTATATCTCCGAGTTATATATGTTAGATACGGGCTCCAGGCGCATGACCCATTCCTGAACTCGTGCAAAGCTTTTTGCTGGCGACGGCGCCACGAACCTCTGCCTTCTCGCTCTAAGCCCCATGATGCCATCCTTGTCGGCTGTGTGTGCGTATGTGTGTGTGTGTTAGTGTGTAGGGTGCAGGGTGCAGGGTGCCGTGGAGTCAAAGTGTAGATAGCAAGCTGCCATAGGACGACGACGACAAGGATGTTGAATACATATAAAAATGTCTAAGGTGGAGCAGAAGCCATGACTGCGGCCATGACAGCGATAATGTATACGGGAGTGGGTCGGGATTCAAGTCCTGAATGGCGAGGAGGAGGGTCCTGGCGAAGTTGTAGGGTTGCCAGGACCCCACACCCACTCACGACGTTCTCGGGCTTTCTCGCTATTTGAGTTTGGGTCCTGGTTCACTTTGTGGGTATTAAGTTCGTTTTAAGGCTAAAGACAAACGTCTCCATCTCTTTTCTTCTTCCCTTCTCCATCTCTTTCAGGTATATCCTGGTTGCACTTTTTGTGCGGCTGCCAAATGAAAACTGTACGACTGAAGGTGAGGCAAAGTCCTTAAAGTTGCACAAAGGGGATTATGAATGTTCCCACATAATTAATCAGCTGGCAGTCTGCCATTCTACATTAACTTTTAGCTCTAAAAATAAGGTTTCACTATAGTTAGTACTCAAAAATAAATATGCGTTAACATTGCGCAAATTTCTGCACGAATACTGAGTGTAAGGAGTATCCACTAGCATTCTGATTTTTAAATCAATGATGTTCATTCAGAAAACTGTAAACATTATGGGTAACTAGAAATATGTTCTTGGGAATTCAAGATTAAAGAACAACCAAACCAACGTTATTATTTAAAAGTATTTTATATGTTAAATTCCCCATCTTTAACTACAATATCCCTAAAATATCATCACTAATCGAACCCTTGCGGAAATCAATGCGTTTCCTAATGCTCATCTACTTCCATTGAGACGGAGTAAGCAAGTCCACTCACTTCTTTATGACGCATTTAGTTAAGCGATATGGACCAGAAAAACCACCCGAGTGGGTGACCAGCCCATCGAAAGTGGTCTTCAGGGGCAACCCCAAGGAATTTGATGCAGCTGCCAAGTTGTCAGCCCTTCCTTATCCGACCGTCGTTGAGGGAATTTGTTTTGGTCTGGACGCTGACTTTTTTACCGAGCTGATGGGACAAGCGGGAGACTTTTGTTTTATCGATGGCAATACATCAGCCATCAATATGATTAACTCACACGGAATGTGCCAAAGTGCCGAAAATCAAATTAAATTGCCCTGATGTAAGTGTTAGTGACACATTCAGACAGTGTCCACTCGCTTGATTTATGCATAGTTTGTGTTTGTCCTTTGAGAAAAGGGATCAGTGTCAGATGTGTTCTGGCGGTAAAAACATAATTTATATTCACATCTTCAAGTTATGGGAAGTGTACAAATTCTTTAACAAGTAGATGTTGGACTGTCACTTCTTGTTCGACCGCTGCTCATACTTTTCCTCGATGAACTTGAACACGGAATCGATGGCCGAGTAAGAGGTCCACTCATGTTTGGTGTGTCCAGCGGAAATCTTTCGGATGCCGTTCTTTGACTGTGAGACGGGTGTGTCCAAAGGCGAATTGCTGGCAACCCAATCGCAGGTCACATCACACAGGTAATCCTTGTTCTTGGCCTGGGGACTTCCCATAACCGCATCGGTGAAGGCAATCGCAAAGACAGATTCTTTAAAGAAGTCCGAGTAACGATCCACCTTTTAAAAATAAATAAATCAATAAATTGATGTTAACATTTTTTGTTTTATTCCTTACCAGATCTAGTGTGAGACAGCCACCATAGCTGTGGGCCACAATTGCCACACTCTCCGGTTTTGAGGGCAACACAATATTCTTCCACACATATCTAGTGTGATCTATAGGAGTGTCTACTTCCTTGATCGGATTATCCTTTCCGTTGTAGAATCGTTTGCAATCATTTGCATTGGTAATAAGCAAATCGTACCCTAGTTTCTGTGCCTGTCGTACGTAGGGCAACTGAGAGCCGTGGTCCAAGGAGTTGTTTATAATTAAACTAAAAAATCAAAAAAATAATTACTTCAGTATTCCACGAAATACCCATGGGTGCGGTTTAGTAACTGCGCGCCAATTTATACATATGCCAAATTATGTTATTGTGTACCCCAACGTCCTTATCAGCAGAAAAACATCTTCTATATGCCCGATATTAAAAACAATCTTGTTAAGTTCTTTTTTCATTTAGGTTTAGTAGAAGCTGCTTCTTACTAAAAGCAAATGACATTGAGCATTAATACTGATTTAAAGAACGTTTGTATCTTAAGCACTATTTTTAGTGATTTTTCATTGAACATTTAATCAATCTACTTCGTAAAACTTGTACCAATCAATCCCTTACCAAACTAATTAGGTTCCAACAAATTAAAGATTGTACAAACCTTCTAGCCCACTGTCCAGCCTTCACATAACCACTGCCATGGATGAGAACTAGTAACTTTTTTGACTGCGACAACTTCGCGGGTTGAGAGTAGATGAACGAAGAACGTTCTGGGGGGATTGTTAAAGGGAATATAGGTTCGACTAAGACCATTTTTTTCCAGAAGAGCGTAGACAATCTCCGGGATTTGCTAAGGATCATCAATAAGTATTTGTTTTTATTAATGAACTCTTAAATTTGTTTAAATAAATAAATAATAAATTAATATTCCTACTTTAGTACTTACATTGGCCAGATTTTGGTAGTGCTTCTCGTTCTCGGCGGGATCATCGCTGACGTTATAGGAAAAAGGCTCCTTGCCGGGCTCTCCTGTGGCGGGATCGATTTTGCGCAGGACTCCAGCTGGAAGAAAAGATCGGATGGACTGTTATGCACCTCCATAACTATCAAATAGGACACCACTTACCTCCGTCGAAGGCGTACCCGAACTTCTTCAACTGGACCAGTGCTTCTTCACAATTGGTAGCCGGTGGCGGCGAATCTGGCATGTCGATATATCTGGGAGGACGAAACAATTTGTGAATTCGTGACCACATTTCATTGGTGCGGACTTCAACATGAGCTGTTGCTTACGGAATAACAATGCGGCTGCAAAAAGTTTAACTTTATAAGCAATTGTTGCTCGCGTTGTTGTTTTGATTTGTTGATAAACGCTGGCCTAGGGATGGAATAAGGACGCCATCTGCAGGCCAAAAAGCTCAAATTGATAACACGACGATATATATCGGAACCAAAATTAAGCACATAATGAACCACTAACACCCAAAGCTTTTTTCTTGAATCCACTAACCACTGGCGGTTTTTTGAAATAAAAAATTTGTTTTTTGTTGTTTATTTTAATTTTTGTTAAAAAAGAAGTTCTATAACAGATGGGTATGATTTTATCCTTAAAAACGTATTTGCAAAATATTTTATTAATTGCGTTCTTAACTATCTACCTCTTCTTTTTATGTCTTCCCGTTTAGTTCGATTGACCATACTAATATTTATTTTCATTTTTCCCATAGTTTTCTCAATCCAATCCGAATATATATTAACCCGAGTAAATGCATAGGGCTGATTTGGCTTGCAGGCTTTTTTGCCGTAAGAAAGTATACCGTAGATCTTCTCTTTAACCACGTCCATTAAAGGGCCTCCTGAGTCTCCCTAAAAAAATAGATTTGTTTTTAGACCAAATGCTGCTGTATCACAAAAATATATTTAATTAAAACTCGCTTTTTTACCACCAGGAAGAAGTTAAGTTAAATATGAAAGTTTAAAGAAGATAGCTAAGAAAACTTTTAATTATCTCTTGGAAACTATAATCTTGCATAAATATAGCCATGGTAGAGATAATACATTTAATATTAAATAGTTACGTTTATTTACTAGACTTACGTCGCAGGCTCCAACTGGTCCTTTCAGGTGCATTGCGCAGATGTCTGTCTCAGTGAGGAAAATGAATCGATGCCTAAGCTTACACAGAGAGTTTTCCATTGTCAGAAAGGGCAGCTCCTTTAATTTCCTCACTTGGTTCATCTTCACCCTTCCCCAGCCAAGAAGAGAAGCCGATACACCACCACCGATCTGGATCTTGCTTGCAAAGTCGATACTTCGAAATCTGATATTGTCCAGCGGGAAACTTGGGTGGACCTTCACAAGCGCAATGTCGTGGCCGCCGAGCTCCTTAAACTGGGGATGCCAAATAACTTGGACAACAACAAACCGAGTCTGCTTTTGAGTTCGGCTGTTAAGCCAATCGTCACCACCGGAAACATACAACTTGTCTTTTTTTTGTGATTTTATGCAGTGGGCCGCACTAAGGACATGCTCATTCGAAATTATCACGCCAACACAGAGATGTTTGTTATATCCTTTCTCGTTTGAACCGATGGAGACGATATAAGGATAGCGGGGTCCTTTAAGCGTGGCTGGCAAAGCTGTGGTTGTGCTCGGGGTCTCAGAAGACATCTCCTGGGCCGCTGACGGCGCGACAAGCAGAGCTATTAGGCACAAAGCCCACGAAAGCCACATTATTGCCACCACGACCCGGCTTGAACTCCATAGCCAAGTTTGCGTTGCAGCTTCCTCTCATTATTGAAACCATGAAATCAAAATGTTCTACAATTTATAAAAATTGATTCAGTGAAACCTTAAAATGGTTTCATTGTATTGTAAGATTTTACAGAGAACATTACTAAAATATATTAATATGTGATATTAATAATGTACATTATTTTTAAAAACAAAAGATAAGGTTTGAAGCCAATGTATTTTATATATCATTCATTTAAAATTCTCGATTTGCAAAAATGGAAAAGGATACACTTTCCCGACTTCTAAAAATAACAGTTTACTGATTAGCGGCAGATTCTTTTAGGCTCTGCTTCAGATTGGCAACCTGGTTGAGCTTGGCAAGGCGCTTCATGGTCTCCAGCTCCTTGATAAATGTGGCCAGGGCCTCTTTGGTGGTGGAGATGTCACCATCTTTCAAGTCCTCCAAGCTGTCTTCTTTTTCAAGTTCTAAAAGGAGTACAAATTTAATATTTTCGTGTATTTAAAGTAACTCAAGGTAAACTAACCATCCATTTCCGCTTCGATGTCGTTAAGTCGATTCATAACCAATGCCTGCTGCACTTTAACATGCTCAATCAGGCGATACTGGCACTCCTCTGGATCGATAGCAGCCTCCGGTTGCGGAACGTTTGGAAGGTCAGGTTGCTCCGTCTTTGGACGCTTTACCGGGGTCACGGCAGAAGCGTCCACATAATCCTCGTCCCACTTCTTGGCCCATAGATACAGCTTCGGATGACAACGGTTGCGAGCGATGTTGATTTTGACTTGAAGCGAATGCATTGATCGCTTGGCTTCCAGTAAATTGCCGGTCAGTGTGTGCGAACGTTTCAAGAGCTCGAATTGTTTGGTAATTTGAGGATTCGGTGTATGGTACGCAGCCACCGGCAACTTGCCTTCGAACAGCCAATCCTGATCATGCTTAAACCGCATGGAGTCCCGTCCCCTTTGCGGATTACGGCAGATGTAGCAAACGTACTTATCCGGAACGTCAGACTCCTTTACGATTCCGTTGCATGCGCCGTGCTGCCAGCACAAACACAACTCGCACTGGATCATCAGACCATCCTCCTCACCATACTCGCAGATACAGTTAATGATCTCCTCCTGCCGCATGCGTACGATTCTTATTAGCTCACCGTTCTCCTTGATGTACTGCGGTGCTTTACTGACGGTTTCCGCTGGCGGTGGCGCCAAAGCTGCATTAATGTCCGCCTGATCGTTTGACGACGGTGTGGATACCGAATCTGCCGTGGCTGGTGAGTCGATAGAACTGATGGGCGTAGCTGTGGCACCGACTCGACGTTTCTTTGAGTCGCTACGAGTATCCGGAGTGGGCGTGTTAAAGGATTGTCTGGTCTCCTCAGCGTCCTGATCGTTTAAGGAATGTCCAGCTGGGCTGTTGTTCATATTGCTGCGACGCTGAGAGCGCTGACGGTTGCTCTTCCTTGAGCCAGATGGTCGCTTTGTCGGCGAGAAGCGAGCCCGCTTGCATGACCGACTTAGTGTTGAGTTCATCGAATTGTTAGCTCCAGCTTCCAGGGAAACATCCTCTGTTTTAATGGCAATATCAACAGAAGGCGTCACCGCATCTGGAGGCTCCATCTTGGGAGATAAGAGTGTTTTAGTGGGTGATATGCCAGGAGGATTTCCTTGAGTTGCGGGGGATGTGACCGTGGCTGGAAGCGTCTGACGCTTAAACGACCGCGACTGCTGCAGATCCTGCTGGTGCAACTTGGCAAAAAACTGCTGGTTGGGAATTTGGTTTTTGGGCACCGCATCGCCCTGCTCGATGGACGAGGGATGCGTACGCTTGACCGCCAGCTCCTGCATCTTTGGGCAATGACTCACGTACCTGCAAGATAATAAAGGTCAGACATAATTGGTCAATTGCGTTGAATATTAGATAGTTACTCGGCAAATTCCTTGTGGTAATGGCGAATGTGAATAAGCAGAAAGTCCTCTTTGCGGTATGTCTTCCCGCAACCTTCGCGAGGGCAAACATATAGATTATCATGAATTTGAACCTTAAGACCGCCAATGAAAGCTGGAATTAACAAATACAATTAGTAACATATACCAAAAATAAAGTATATTTTTATTACTCTTCTTACCAAAGCCATTCTCCACCAAAGGAGGATCTCCTGGCGGAAGTTGAGCTGAACCTCCCTCAATGGCATCCAGTAGTTCTGGGCTTGTCTTAGCCTTTGCCTCATCGGAAGTCTGAGCCTGCGGCGACATAAGCTCTGCTGGTGGCATCAGTGAGGCCACAGGGGCCTCCATGTACTGACTTTCCTTTACCGGCATCGGAGTTGAAGGCAACGAGGGTTGCGTTGTGCTGCTTTGGTCTAATGTGGAGTCCATTGAGACATCCAACGGCCTGGTCTTTGGCGGTGGCTGCGGATTGTAGTCGTGTGTATAAACATATGCATTGATATCCTTTGCTCGACGCCGATGGATGCTGAAGTCATACACATCTGGATTGTAGACCAGGTCCTGTGACTCCAGGAACAACTTCAGATCGGATTTGGAGCGGAAACGCTTTCCACTTGGCGATACCAGAATAACATCCCACTTGCCCAGAACGTTGGAGCGCTGATACATGTGCTTGATCCAGCCAGGCGGCAGGCGCCAGTCCTGCACAATAACCGTGGGCTTCTGGTGTTCGCCCACGATCAGGAAGCCTTCGGTTCCAATGGGCTGGTCGTTCACCCAGTGGCAGGTCCACTCCCCATCGTGCGGAATCTCGGGGAGGCCTAGCGAAGCTGTGGGAAACAGAAGTTAAGAATGTTGTTATTTTTTCATGATTATTATTTGTTGATCTTACCTATATCCAGGCTGGCCATGTCCAGCAGCGGCCAATCCCTTCGCTGTGGGGTGCTCTTGCTCTTCTTGCTGCTTGAGGCAACACTGGCTCCACTTGCACTGCCCGTGCTTGCCCTCTTGGGGACTAAAGGAACCGCACTTGCTGGAGTTCCAACAGGAGTAGGGACTTTAGGAGCCCCGCTTTCTACTGATCCGCTGGCGGGTAACTGCTTGGGCACCTTGTTCATATGTACGGCGCGCACGTTTTTTATGTAGCCATCGTCGAAGAGCACCTCATATGTGTCGTTACCCAGCAGCTTGCGAATGGTCCCCGGAAACTTGCGTGGGCCAGACCAGCGGGCCATGCACTTCTCATCCAGCTCAAAGACGGGCAGAACTCGGTTGCTAAGGCGCTGCCTCAGCCGCTCTGACTTGATGGCCATCCACTCCTGAAAGCTGCCGGTCGTCGAGGGAGAAACCTTCAACTTGTGATTGCGCTCAAAGCGCACAAGGAGCGTCTGCTCCGTCTCGTTGACTTCGACGATACGGGCGGGCAACCAGTTGCCCTCTACACTCAGTGCCTCCAAACGGGCGCCGATCGTCAGATTGTGTGGGTTGCTGTACTTGGGTGGCGAGCCGGGAAGTGGGGAGTTTGAAGCGGATCCGGCCGCCGATGGAGCAGCTTCACTGGTTGAGGGTCCTGGGGCAGCAGAAGATTCCACTGCGGCTGGCTTGGTTGCATCTGCACTAGCTACTGCAGGGGTTGTCTTTGGAGGATCTTCCGCCTTTTCTGTTTTGGGTTCCTTCGAGCCATCAGATGCATTGCGCTCTGCCGTTTCTGCCAGAATTTGCGCCACTATTTGGTCCACTGTGGCCTTTATAACATCTTCGTTAGCCGATGATTGGCTTGTTCCCGCGGCTCCAGTCGCTCCCTCCACATTGGCGTGCTGCAATGCCCGGTGATCCGCCTCGATCTCCGCAGTGTCCATCTTGCCCCACGGAAATACGGTGGGAAAGACGCGCGGCTTAAGCAGATACTTCCCATTGCGTATTGTGTTGAAGTCCAGGCGGCGGAAGTGGCGCGAGCAGACCAAGACGCTCTTACTGATCTGCCGTTCAAGACTTATGCGTGAGTTCTTGATCCAAATGGCGCGGATAATGGGGTCCAATGGGAATGAGTGGTACGTCACGCCGTGGTGCTCCAATAGACGCGACGTCGATGGACAGTTGGCCACGCAGCAGCGACGGCCCATGGCGATTTATTCTTTCGATTTTCTTTCAAGTCAACTGGTTTCTTTTGATTAATAGTTTACTTTGCAAAAGCACACTATAATTGTGATGAAATAAACCAAAATCGACGCGAAAAATTACTAGCAAAAACACAACGCATTGAAAAAGTGTGACCATAGTGTGGAGCAGAATAGAACGTCAGCTTACCGATGGTACAATCGATATTTTTTATATAAATATCGCATAAAGTAGAAGTCCTTAGCGTTGCCACCTTGGGAAAAAGGTTCAATGATAATACCGTTGAGCTTAAAATTTTATTTTAAATGTAAGCCTTGGCTCAATATATATGAAATAACAAAATAAAATTTTTAACATTTAAAAAAAATGTCCCAAAGATATAACATAACTGTTTGCTTTTTATATCCGGTATAGGAATAAAATTAATCACTACAGAAGTGAGCGTCCCATAAATTTCCCCAGTTCGACGAAAAAAGGATCACGTGCCGGCACAGCACAATTTCCAAGGCCAACGGAAACCTATTTGAAATGCAATTAATGTACCGGTATGGGCTTACATGTCACCACGTTCGCCAAAAAGACAGACACCTTGCAAAAAGTCAACCAAAAACGAAATACCAATTCACCCATTCGAAAATGCTTCTGGAACTATGCGTTTCAACACTTATTTCCATAGTTTTGGGAGGAGCATTACGTTCGTGTTGCTGAAATAATTGTTTATTGTAGTTAGTAATTAAAATTTTCCACCTGGTCATTAGCATGCAAGAAACAACAAAGCGATTGACTGAGTGGCGCCTGCGCTTGGTCATCAGCCAAAAAAAAAAATCGAACGAAGTTTGACGCCTTGGCCTTCAAGGCAAAAATATGTACATAATACAACATAAGTAAAGGAATTTACATTTTTATAAATGCTTTTTTACTAGAAGTTGTATTTATCTTATGTTTCAACTCAAGTTTTACTGAAGACAAATAATTTCGATTTTCAAATTTTGCGAATTATTTTGTTCAGTCTCAGAAAATTTACTGACGTCAACTTTCCCATCTTATGTGTACAATATATTAAAAAAGTACTTTGAATTTAAAGTATCTAATAGGCTGGGCTCTTGACAACAACATTCTTCCTGGTTTTTTCTAGATACTGTCGTATAACAAGGCCTCTGGGTCAATATGTTCACCTAGATCTTGAGATTGTTTGCTAAATAACACGAAGCCAATATCAAATAGTGCTGGCTTTGATCATGCGTAATGCAAATATTTAAAACCAAATCACGGCTGTAGCGCCAAGCAAACTTTAATTATAAAATGTTTTAATGTCATATGCAGGTGACATAAATATTAAATAACTTGAATAATTGTCGTTGCTAGGCCGAATATCTCTGTTTTTAATTTTGGGCAGTCAAAAACTGACATTGAGAGGGGCCACTCGAAGGGAAATCCAAATGGATAAACAGGGCTAAATTCCGTTTGCATAACTATTAGTGAACATATTTGCATAAATTATCGGCACTTGAGGAAATTGGGACGACTGCACCTGAACTCACTCTCTTTTTGTGCAAATAATTAAACAATATGTAACTTGTGCAAAAATATTTCCAAAAAGAAAAACAACGCCAGCACAAAACTTTTGGCCCAACCGACGGCGGCACTTTCTCCTTTAATATTTACCCAACTCATCGACAAATTGGCCAGGCCCATTCCCCAGTCTCATCTCGGTCCCAGTACCCGGTACCCTCACAAAAACCCCTCCCCCGATCCCGCCTGGGAACTCATTGCGTAAATATGTGGGTATGCGATGCGGTAATTTTCGAATAGGCTTCGCGACTCTTGACAGTTGGGCCCAGTTCCCGGTTCCTTATCACATAAATATTACCGAAAAATGCTCGTTAAATTTTGATGATAATTCCCAAAAAGTGCCCACGGGAAAGCATGTAATGCAGTAATGCTGACACAAATTAAATAAATTATGCTTGCCCAAAACATGGCTAAAATAAATACGTGCTTGACCATGTAAATGGATTGCCTAATGTTTTATAATTTTTATTGGTCTTTGTCGTTAGGCATTGCACGCAGCGCACTCTAAATATGAAATTTAATATCTGGAATTTCTCAATGCAAAACATTTGGAGTTTCCCACACGGCGACTATTACAATGTAACATTATGAATTGCTTGACAGCCGGTCAACTTTGTTAAAATATAGCAAACAATGAGTATAAATTTTGGTACTGTGTATTTTTTTTCGCAAAAATCAATTCATTATTGTAATTACAATTTCGCCCGAAAAAAAGCTTTGCAATAAATATTCAAATTCCTCAAAAAATGGGCGCGGCTTGACTTAGCGTTGAGCATAATCCGCGTTAAATATCCCACGAGATACATATGTCAGGTAATGAGCGGCACCTGCCTTCGTGTAACTTTGCCGTTTTACCGATTGCCATAAAGTACGATTTTACAGCGGCACAAACCTTTATTTTTCCCCCGTGATTTTTGGGATTTCTGTAGGGTCGACATGCTTGGTCGCACGTGAGGTGGAGATGTTAAGGAGAAGAGGAGACAAAACTTATCGAGGCGATCATGTTGAAATGCGTGAATTGGGTTTGGTTTTTGGTTTTTGGTTTTGGGTTTTTGGTGTTGGCTTTTCGGGCTTACTCTTCACTTTCAACTGGTGAAATTTTCGTACTCATCGCGGCTGACCTTGATCTGGGTCCCAAGCTGTGGAGAAAATAATGCAGATGGGCTCGCATCATTTCTTATGCTTATGCAATGACAAGTGTGTTTGTATATGTCTTCTGGCTATTTATGACTGCATTACGTAATGTTTGGATACGCCAGGAAAAACCTACATTCCCAATCAGCTACAAAGGTTGCTTAGGTTTTCAGTCCATATCCATAGAACTTATTGATAAATCAAAATATATATGTCACTTGCGGAATGCAATCGACATTATTTATTGGTCAACAACTCAGTTTAGCTTATGCAATCGGCCTAGCGACAAAGGCACTGACAAATAGTATACATTTCCGAAACAAAGCAAACAATAGCGCAAAATGCATTTATTTATGCAAAGAGACAGGAGACGCACCACAAAAACAAAAAAAAAACGAAATATTCGTGCCAAAAAAGATTTTGGCTCAACTTGTGTCGTGTTTGTTGTAGCTAATTAGATGGGAGTTAGGCCAATACATTTGACCACCATTCAAAGTGGTGCAAAATGAAGCGCGAGCTAAGGAGACGCCACCCATCACCCACCGAGCTCCCTTTCATGCAAAATATTCCCCACTTAACATTCATGATTGCATGTTAAGCAGGCGCAGTCGGGGAGTCCATTTTCCACGTGCCCTAAATATATTCGCTTGACACCTTTTCCTCTTTCAAAGTTTTAAGCAAATTCTCTCAATAATATGCTCAAAAATGTCTCTATTTTATAGTTTTGCGACTTTCCGAAAGGCAACTTTTTATTACTAGACCACTCTTTCTTAATTTATGATTTTCAATGTTTTTTTTTTTTTAAATTGTATTTAATTTGTATCTTTATATCTTAGTCAATCTTATCTGATAAATATAATTATATTGTGATTTTTTTAAAAGATGTAAGCTTCAATTGAATACATTTTTTTAAAGGCTGCGAGAGTATACAAATATTGGTATATCCCTTTCTATATTATATATTATATATATTTTAAAAAAAGGAGAGGTTAAATTAAAGAAAAAGATAAAATTAAGAAAAATTTAAGTTGTCTTTTGGTATTAAAAAATTACAATGTCAAAACAAAAATCAGACATAGTGAATATACCTTTAAATAGTGTAGAACTGACAACCACTGTGGCTCTCTTGTGGGGCGGACTATCTCATCGAATTGAGTGGATCGGGGCGGCTCTCTGCTCGTATATAAGTCGGGGTTCCCCAATGTTTTTGACATTCAAGTTGATCAGTGGCAGCCGATCGGTCGGTAGAAGAAAGCGCGTCGCGAGCTCAGAAATAAAATCGAACCCACAGAAAGTGCCGGTGCATAAAGTGTGTTGAATAAACCAAAATGAAAGCCTTCATTATCGCCGGAGTGTGTGTGTTGAGCGTGCTGAGTCTGGGATCTGCCCAGTTCCAGAATGGCCGCCTGGAACCACCAAATCCGCAACTCTGTGCCCAGCGTATCATTCACGAGAGGACACCCGACGGCAAGGGGTGAGTCCATAGGATTTTCTCGGAAAAGTTATATATTTTTACGAGGTTTGTTTCTCTTCCCGTAGTTACTTCTTCTCGTGGCGCGATCCCCAGCTGAAGGGCGTGGAGGAGGACTGGCTGACCGCCAGGAACTTCTGCCGCAGGCGCTGCATGGACTCCGTTTCTCTGGAGACCAGCCTGGAAAATGAGTGGATCAAGCAGTTCGTGGTGCGCGAGAATGTAAGTACAAATTCCAATACACTGAATAATAAAAATCACTTAACATCTATGTGACAAATGAGTTAATTTTCGGTTTTAACAAAAGTAAAAATAAATATAAATAACAAATTACACACCAAAATAAAAAAACAAACGTTTTCAACAAGTACAAAAGTTTGTGTACACAAATCAAAAGACTTAGGCAACAAACTAAAAATCCAATACTACAAAAAATATCAAAGCAATACCCATACCTAATGGAAAAGAAATTAACAAATCCCAACTTTCATAATTATTTACACTGTTAAGCTACACCCTTTTAAAATCAAAGTCAATAAATTGATTATCCCCAACCCAATATAACCCTTATATAACTCGGGCAAAGAAACCCGACCAAATAAATTGGCCTTACTCTCACTGCACCTGTTTGTTTGATCAGCATTTAAGCTTTAATAGATCAAACAAATGATCGCTATCAGAAACTTGCAACTCATTGACTATTTATAAATTTTTTTCGGCGAAAGGTATTATAAATGCATAGTCAAACACTCGTATTTATCGACATAAATAGACACCGACAAAGTGAACTTTTACACCTAAAATATGAAGTGGGATATAGTCACAAAAGCTTGCCAATAATTTATTATACCTGCATTTATCAGTTTTTATCCCAGTTAGTTTTTTTTCACCTGTTTTGCATGACATTATGTCACTTCTTTCAATTTGTTTGGTAAGTTAAATAACGTCCGTTTAGCCGCGTGTGAACTGTTTAGCGCTTTTTATTTGGCAGCTTTGACAACGAACGAACAAAACAATACACTGACCTTAATTTTGAGGAAGCTGAGGCACACAATATTAATGGCGAAATCTCTTGACATTAACATCGCACTACAAAGTTCAATGTGAAATTACACATAAAACTGAACGAAAAATACGAATCGTTTATATAGTATACAAAAACTTTCCCAGTTGTTGTCTCTGTAATTTCGCACACGAATGGAGTCGTCTGCTATTATGCAACACTCTTCAGATGGACAAGTGTCAAGTTTAGAGTTGTGGTCAGGCTGGCTCATCTCATCTGCCAACTGCCAACTTCCAATTCATTGCTCACCTCTTCTCTTTTTGTGGCTTGAGAAAGCAGCGGTGGGCAAATTGAAATCGAAAGTTCATGTGTGCGGTGGGAAAGCCTCTCCGGAAAAACTACTCAGCCAAATGACTTCACAAATTGGCAAACTCCGAACACGCAAACGGATTTATTGGTAGCTTATTTTGCGTGTAGTCAAAGCGGAAATTAATTGTAAACCAACGTGTGACGCCTTAATCTTTAAAAAAAGAAACTCATGAATATAATTTGGATTAATTGTGGCTAGAGATGCGTGGAAAAAAAACAGACAAGAGTGATAGTGGAAATTTTAACATCAATTTGATCGTTGTGCGGGTACTTTATCATAACTTTTTATATTTTAATGAATATTTTTGCTATACTTTTATCAGGGCTTTCTAAATAATATCCGAGTTCTTAATCGGTTATGACCTACTTTATTTAATTTTGAATTTTCCGCCATTAAAGGCGCCTTCCTTAATGAGTTGCAACTTATCAACAAGTTGAGTTCACTTTTACTTAGCACCAAAACGCCTGAAACCAACAGGTGCACAAACACAATTCATTGGGGCTTCCGCCTTGGGGCAAATGCATAAATTGTTCGAGTTTTAACAATTACAAAGCCCATTTGGCCCGCCAATGAAACGCTGAAACCGCCACCGACAAAACCGAAATCAATGTCTATAAATTTGTTTCAACTTTACGCTCAATGGAGTTTTCCAAAAGGGCAGACAGGCTAACCGAGTTGTCTGGGCCTTTGTTCGTGTGGCTCTTTTACAAAACAATTTTTATGGCCCATCGGGTGAAAGTGACTGATGAGCGGTAAGCTGAAATGTTGACAGTATCGGGTGTGCCAGCTCCAAAAGGGCGCGGACTCGGAAAGGCAATGGTAATGGGAATGGGTTCGCTTTCAGCGATAATGATAGTTGTTTGGGCGTGACAGGCCCAAAAGAGTTACTGGCTGAAATTTCTACCATTTTTCCCCCATGCCAGCCGTGCATTTTCTTGCGTAGGCGAGACTAAATGGGGAAATCCATTTCTTTTTCAGTATCTGCAAGGGGCAATGAACTATGTCAAAAACATGATTTATTTATGGTCTATTCTTAATGAAATATAGATTAGATTTCAGAATAATTTATGGACTTTTAAGGGAATTTCAGAACATAATTTTAAGTAAATGCTACAGATGCATATAAACAAAAAGGTATAAAAAAAAATATCATCATTATACCAAAGCCCTCAACATAATTTCAAAGCATAAAAGAGTTTTAAAGAAATATGTTTGCCATCCTCTTTCTACAAACTATTTGATAGTTTACTAAAATATTTTTAAAATGTTTAAATGACATACATATTCATAATATTATAATTTTAAGGAGATTCAGAAGATCTGAGCTATAAGACATCGTAAAAAGGCAATTAACTTCCTAGTTTTTGGCTTAATTAATTTCTTCCTTTTTAATAACAATATTTATTCATATTGTGATTTTTTCTCCTCCTTTCAGGTGAAGTACATCTGGACCAGCGGCCGCTTGTGCGACTTCAAGGGCTGCGACCGCCCCGACCTGCAGCCCACGAACATCAACGGCTGGTTCTGGACCGCCACCCTGCAGAAGTTGGCCCCGACCACGGAGCGCAACCAGGGTGACTGGTCTCCCACCGGAGGCATCGGCCTGCCGCAGCCTGACAACCGCGAGTTCAAGCAGATCGGATCCACGGGAGCTCCCGGGGCTCCGGAGAACTGCCTGGCCCTGCTGAACCAGTTCTACAACGACGGAGTCAACTGGCACGATGTGGCATGCCACCACAAGAAGTCCTTCGTCTGCGAGGAGAACGACGCCCTGCTGAAGTACGTGCGCTACACAAACCCCAATCTGCGCATCTAGAGGGGACTTGGATGGGGATAAGGACGAGGACTGGCTAAAGGAAGGACCAGCGACTCTCCAACTAAAACCAAAAATGATATTCTCTACGAAGATACGATGTCTGCTCTCCGATCGTCTTTCAATGCATTCAGTTTTCTGGCTAAATGGCTGCGTGACATTTGATCCTTTTCCTTGGTAACAACCTTCCAAATCTCTCTGCTCTATTCTGTCTCATCAGCTAGTTTAATTTTTAATTTTGTATTAATTTATGATTTTCTTTAATTATAAAAAAAGATTCGAAACGATTTTTAAAAAATATCTGAGTTTTTTTTGGGTTTATCGTTGTTTTAACTCTTATTTTTACCTATGTGCCCTTCTCTAAACTTTTTTTGGATAAGGATATGACTCCAAACTGAATTCGAAGCAAAAATTGTTATGCGGCTTAAATAGTATAAATATAAGCTGCGGCGACGTTATTAAAATTGATGTATGTTAAGTTTAAAGGAGTCTGATCGTAAAACTCTAAATGGGGACACAAAGTTGTTTAGATACAACAAATTTGATAAGCTAATGTTCAAAAAATCGTTGGAAATTGAAATTGGCTTAATAGTATTGGGAAAGTACTCTAGTTATGATGCGGTTGCTTTGGCTGAAACTTTTTTGCATTTGTTTTTCTGCAATTTTATCAAAGAAAATTAATAGTAGTTTTGTAAACCAAGATAAACCGGAAGCTAGTGGCCTATTAAATTAAGTATCTGGCCGAAATCGCCTTTTTTGTATGTCAGGTAGTAGCTCTACTTACTTTTAAAGTTTACCAAGAAAACCGGAAAAACTCAATCGATTTTGGCTAAATGCCTGTTTGTATGCAGCAACACTTGTTATAACCCAATCCAAATTTGTTTTCCCAAAAATATGCTATTATATTTAGAAATTTATAGACGAGAGTTTTTTGTACGGGACACTATTTTCTTCTTTCTTGTATTATATTCGTTCAATCAACAAATCAGTAGTGAAAATGAACACATGCAAATAATTTGGACAAGAGACCACGAAAACGAAGAACAGAATAAAACACTGAAAGCTCTTTGCCGATGTCAGATAATCTCGGCTAGTTTGATGAGATCCAGCAGCGAATGTAATGGTTTCTCCACGGGTTTCCTTTTCTGACCAACTATTGCACTCGAAGGAAGTTCCAGCAGTACAGTACGATCCCTGTAAGCGCGACATTTGTCCAATATACTTTCGAATTCTGCAATTGCAAAATCATGGGACTCTTCTGACTTTTCCGAATTCACAGGCACTAGAGAATCCTCCCACTGGGCATGCTTTGGATAATTCTCACTGATGGTTACCTTTCCACCTCCGTCGGCTGCATTGATGGTGGCCACAGCTGCACCGGCTCCTTCGATCATGGCCAAAACCAGACAGCCCACAAAAGCACTATTGACCATGGCCCTTACGCCATTTCGTGCTGCCAAAATTCCGCCAGTAGCTGCTCCACTGAAAATCGAGTTCCAGGGATCCTCCCGCTGGCGATAGGAGACCAGGACGCAGTCCACCGAACTGAAGGTGGCACCCCAAACGGCAAAACTACCTGCGATGGACGGAGTCCGCATCTTCACCGAATCGAAGCCGCCGTACAGACCGCGTTGCAATCCGATTGGAGCATTCCGGAAACCCTTGATGAACTCGAACAGCGAACCTCCAATTGTGCCCATCATGAAGGCGCATCCGCAATCCTCCACAATCCGGATGGGACACGGTTGGCGATTGTACTCCATGATCGATCTTCCCAGATCCACAGATCCCGCGATCACAAGTCCTTCTCCTAACTGTTTAACTTAATACTGTGGTCCTTATTGCTTGGATTTCTAATCAAAAGCGTGTGTTGTTGAAATCGATATTTGAGTAAACATTATGCTTGATAAACTTGTGACATTTAAGACCTTTTTTTTTAATTTTTGTAATATATCCCATTTCTAGTATTCACTTTTTTTATACTTCCTAAGGTGCATTTAGTTTTTCAGCTTCAACTATTTTTTTTAATATAATTAAAACTATCATTACTGTAAAACTGGTTCACAATTTAATTCTAAAATTTTACTTTTTTATCTAAGGCAGACAAAACGTGACTATGGCCTAGATTTTATTAAAGGTTTATTCCACGTAACACTTTTTGGTGATAAGATGAAGCAACAGATCTGCGAGATTCAAAATATCAGTTATCGAAGTACTTTCTGAACTCCTGGCAACCAGCCCAGTTTTCCTCCCAACCGGGAGTGAGTTTCTTCACATGCTCGTACCACCTAGCCACATTGGAATACCGTCTAAAATCAAAGCCGGCAACATCAAAAGTGGAAACTGTGGCCAAGATGGAAATATCAGCCAAACTATAGTCCTCGCCGGCGGTGTAGGTTTGTCCTTCCAGGAAAGTGTTCAGAAACTCGAAGGCAACCTCGATCTTCTTGTAGTTTTCCTCGTTAGCGGGCTTCTTGAAGAAGATCTGGGGATAATAGTACTCGGAGAAGCTCTTGTAGAGAGTACCCATGTCGAAGTAGAAGCGCTGGTTGATCAAAGCCTGCTTCTGAACATCCTTGGGAAAGAGCTTGTCGTCTTTGCCGTACTTCTCCACCAGATAAACCATGATTGCCCGAGATTCCCACAGAGACAATCCGCCATCAACCAAAGTGGGGATCGTGTGCTGCGGATTGATCTTCAGGTATTCCGGCGTGAATTGCTCCCCAGCACGGGTGTTTATAATCGTCTTCTTGGCGAACTCCACACCCAAAGCCTTTGCTGTCATCAGAACAGAACGACAGGGACAAGATCCGGGTCGGTAGTAGAATTCCATTTTACTGTTGAAGAATCTCTGCAAAAAAAAGCAATTCATCAAGATCGGAAGGTGTCACATTAAATGAATATAAAACCGATTTGCAAATCACTTTCTTTGATGGCACGACTGTGACGTAATCTCCAAAATGAATATACAAAAAAAACAAAAGTTTTTTGGTAGCTCAACTTACGAGATTAGCAATTAAGAGACCGCTGTTCTGCTGAACTTGAAGCACGACAATCAACTGAAAAATGCTCTGCGATTTAGTCGGTTTTATACACACAAGAAAATCTACCAAAGATAACCGCATAAAAAAATTTCGTGTGCTGATGGATCGATTAAGTACAGGTGATAATTAACAAATATTGTTTTTTTGGCTGATACGTATCAGCGGTCAAAAGAGAGGGTTCCAGAACAAGAGAAATGTTGCAAAATAAGAGCTATGAGTTTCGTACTGCCACGAAAAGCCATTTGGTACACTTATTTTTCTTAATTAATGAAAAAATACTCTTTAGGTAAACTTTAAATAAGATCAGGTGTTTTGTTGTAATTGCCTTTACCTATAAATGTATTTGTTATCAGCAAAAAAGGAAAAGGTTTTCTTATAGCAAAACAGAAAATAGTATTATCTTATCGCTCTGGAGAATGTTTGAGTTGCCGTACCTCCAATTTCGCAAGAGATTGGGCCCCTAATCTTATCGCAATCCAAAAGTCAATGACTCTTCGGTAATATTCTCTTAAAAAAGTACCAACTGCCTGCAGTCTTTATTAAAATTGGCGGGGACTTCCAATAGTAGATTGAAAATTAAAGCGCAGTCATTGTTCGTTTAATTGACCCCCAAATAAATTTTTAAATTAAAAATTACATAGTTGTTTATTTTTAATTATTAAGCAGAATTCGTTTTTATGTGAATTACGCCATACAAAACGAGCCTTAACGAGCCTTCAAAGCTTATCTGTGATGATCGATGATATTTACAAAATACCTCCCAAGTTGAGAGGGGATAAGATTTATTATTTATCAAATTAAAAAAACATAATTGAATAGATTTTTAAGGCAATAAAAATAAAGTTGATTTGAATCAATTATATTTATTTATGTACTTAGAAAAAACTTGTTAAAAAAAAAAAAGTTGAATGCCTCACTCATTTTCATAAAGATTACAATACATCCTACAGCTAAAAGTACAAGGCTATGTCTTGGATACATAGGTTGAAAAAAGTGAATAGGTAATATCTACAAAATATGTTTCAAAACGGTTAAAATTTGTTCATTCAAAAAATCTAACATTTTATTATTGATCTTAAAGACATTTTTTAAATATTTCTAAAGTTGCGTTCCAGAATTTTATACCTAACTGCTTTTCCAACATAAATTAATTTTTTAAATAATAAATATTATGATTATTGTAAAACTGAATTACAATTTAATTGGAATATTATAATTTTTATTTAAAGTAGTGAAAACGTGTTCTATGACTAAGACTTAACTTAAGGTTTATTTACAAACACTGTTTTATAACAAGAATAATTATGAGCAAGAAATCTGCGAGATTTAAAACATCAGTTATCGAAGTATTTTTTGAACTCCAGGCAACCAGCCCAGTTTTCCTCCCAACCGGGAGTGATTTTGTTTACATGCTCGTACCACCGAGCCACATTGGAGTACCGCTTAAAATCAAAGCCGGCCATATCGAAAGTGGAAACTGTGGCCAAGATGGAAATATCGGCCAAACTATAGTCCTCGCCGGCGGTGTAGGTTTGTCCTTCCAGGAAAGTGTTCAGAAACTCGAAGGCAACCTCGATCATCTTGTAGTTTTCCTCGTTAGCGGGCTTCTTGAAGAAGATCTGGGGATAATAATAATCGGCGAAGCTCTTGTAGAGAGTACCCATGTCGAAGTAGAAACGCTGGTTGATCAAAGCCTGCTTCTGAACATCCTTGGGAAAGAGCTTGTCGTCCTTGCCGTACTTCTCCACCAAATAAACCATGATTGCCCGGGATTCCCACAGAGACAATCCACCATCGACCAAAGTGGGGATTGTGTGCTGCGGATTGATCTTTAGGTATTCCGGCGTGAATTGCTCCCCAGCACGGAGGTTCATACTCGTCTTCTTCGCGAAGTCCACACCCAAAGCCTTTGCTGTCATCAGAACAGAACGGCAGTGAGAGGATCCGGGTCTATAGTAGAATTCCATTTTACGGCCGAAGAATCTCTGCAAACAAAATCAATTCATCGAGATCAGAAGGTGTCACATTGGATAAATATAAAACTGACTGTGATGCAATCTCCACAACAAAAACAACAATTAAAAAACAAAAAAGCTGAACTTACGAGATAAGCAATTAACTACACACTGTTCTGCTGAACTCGAAGCACAACAATCAACTGAAAAATGCTCTGCGATTTTACACACATGAAAGTTTACCGAGTCGATTAAAAACAGGTGATAATTTACAAATTTTTTTTTTTTTTTGGCTGGTGCGTATCGGCCTCAAAAGAGAGGGTTCTAGAACAAGAGAAATACTCTAATATAAGAGCTATGAGTTCAGTGCTGTCATTAAAAACCATTTGCTATACTTATTTTTCTTAATTTCTAAAAAAAATACTCTTTACGTAAACTTTAAATAGGATCAGGTGTTTTGTTATAATTGCCTTTACCTGTAAGTCTATTTGTTTAACAGTTTCAGTTAAAGCAAAACAGAAAGTATTACAGGATGCGGCATTTTGAGGTAAATTATGTTTTTATTGAATAACTTCCTTAATCTCAAATAAGGGCGATTTTGACTGGCCACCGAGATCGCAGGACTTCACTTCTCCTGACTTTTCTTGTGGGGTTACTTGATAAGTAAGGTTTACTCCAGCAAACCTAAATCCCTCGCACAACTTAAGACACCCTTAGGGCACCCTGTATTATCTGTTTTGATTATTTTGCTTATAATCTTAAAAACTACTGGAAAAGTATTCATTCAATATAATATTTCAATAATATATTTGTTATCATAAAAGCAAAAACCCCTCATTTCAAAACAACTGGTCGGTCTGGTCTAATCGCAATACAATAATAAACAATTTATAGGTAGTATGACTCTTAAAATAGTACCAAATAGCGGCACTCTTTATTAAAATTGGCGGGGATTGTCAAATAGAGCAATCTCATTGTTTCTTCAAAACGTCACCCAGATACAATTTCTTATAGATCTCGCAGCCCTCCCAGTTTTCCTCCCAGCCGGGAACTACCTTCTTGGCGTTTTCATACCACCTGACCACATTCGCATATTTCTTAAAGTCATACTCCGTTATTTCGAAATTGGAAACGGTGGCCAGAAGGGCAATGTCGGCCACAGTCAACCTGTTGAGGGCGGCATACAGCTGACCTTCCAGAAGAGTGTTGAACATTTCGAAAGCTGCCTCGATCCTCTTCAGATGCACGGGATCAGCCGGCCTCTTCACCTCCTCGAACAACTGGGGATAGTAGTAGTAGACATAGCTCTGGTTAAGAGTGCCCAGATCAAAGAACAATCGATGATTAACCACAGCCCTCTCCTTGAGATCCTTTGGGTACAGAGTATTATCCTTGTCGTACTTCTCCACCAAATAAATCAGGATAGCCCGCGACTCCCAGATGGCGAAGTCCCCATCCACCAGGGTGGGAATCGTGTGCTGGGGGTTAATCTTCACGAACTCGGGCTTCAGATGATCCCCGGCATCCAGATCGACCTCCTTCTTGTTCAGCTCGATTCCCAAGGCACGGGCAGTCATCAAGATCGACCGGCAGGGTCCCGAGTACAACATATAGTAGAAGTCCAACATGATTCTTCAACGAGCTGTGAAAACAAACTGAATTAATTCCTACTGAAAACGAATCTTATATACACATCTAGGCTCCCTATATTGATTACTAGATTTGTTATTGCTGACAAAAAAGAAAAGGGTTACGCATTTCATTCGAATGCAAAGAATACTGCTATCACACTATAAACAATTAATAGGATTACCAAGCAGAATCATTTTCTGAGTAAGAAACACATGTTCAAATGGGAGTGAAGGGGGATTTATAAAGTGTTTGCTTGTTGGCAATGTAATCGAAGAGCTTATCAGTGATGTACGAATAGATTTACAATGTATCATGCACGTTAATCTGATAAGATTATTATAACATTGTATTTTGTCAGCATTGACTATATTCGAGAAAAACTCTGAGAGCAATACAATTGCGATATTTATGATGATAGGGGTTACAAATTGCATATATGTAAATCCATCTATTTCACCATAAAATATAACTTGAGTTTTTTTCCACCTTTTTTCTGGAGACTTCTATCCCCTTTTATTAGCGGCTTCCGACTACTTCCCTACACCAATTTAAACTGACAAGCAGCAAACAAATTTCACAGCTTTTATTGCTTTTTTTCTTCTCTGAAAAAAGACAGCCCGAGAAAAAACTGTATTTGTGCTCTTAAAATCACCTATTTTTAGCGAAAAAGAGAAAAACGCTCTATAAGAGTGCAATTATCCGATTGTTGCTCCCAGATTCACTATTTATTTATTTATGTACATATATGGTTTTTATTTATTTTTTTCAGATTGGCTATAAAACGTGACTATCAGGCTTATTTAAAGTACTTTTTGAACTCCAGGGTTCCAGCCCAGTTCTCATCCCATCCGGGAACGACCTTCTTGGAGTTCTCGTACCACCTGTTTACATGGGGGTACTTGCTGATCTCAAAGTCGGCCACCTCAAATTTGGAAACGGATGCCACCAGAGCAATGTCTGCCAAAGTTAGGGTATCACCGGCGGCATACTCCTGTCCCTCCAGGAAGGTGTTCAGAAACTCAAAGGCGGCCTCAATCTTCTTGAATTTTTCGGGATCAGCGGAAGCGTTCCCAAACATTTGGGGATAGTAGTAGTCGGCGAAGCTTTGGAACAGGGTTCCAAAGTCGAAATACAGACGCTGGTTAATTAAGGCACGTTTCTTGGGGCACTTGGGATACAGAGAGTCGGTCTTGCCGTACTTCTCCACTAGGTAAACCAGGATGGCACGGGATTCCCACAGAGCGAATCCGTTGTCCACCAGAGTGGGAATGGTGTGCTGGGGGTTCAGCTTTAGGAACTCAGGCTTTAGGTGCTCATCATCCCACACATTAACCAGCTTCTTGTTTAGCTTGACGCCCACCGCCTTGGCGGTCATGAACACTGGATGGCATGGGGGAGAGCAAGGCATGTAATAAAGGTCGACCATTTTACTGGAAAATATATTACGAAACATGAAAAAAACACTTCGACAGCCAAAATAAAATTTTAGCTTTAATCCATTTCACTGGAATATTTGTTTGCCTATATTAACATCGAGTCCTTGTAAAATATCAAATTTTACCTTCGAATTCAGTAAACAATTCCCCGGGTGTCTGCTGTATTTTAAGCTTGACAATCAACTGATTACTGCCCTACGTTTGCGCCGAGTTTTATACACAAGCATTGCCTTGCCGATAATTGTAATTGTTATCGGCAAAACATAAACAATATATAAGCAATAACTATTATCCCAACACACTTGAAATTTCTTTGCCCTAGTACCTCGACGAATTTCACAACAGATTAGCTTTCCTCTTTATTGAAATTCAAGGGGATGTAAAATTGCTGATTTTTTAATAGAGCGAAGTCATTGTTTGTTTAAAATTCCTGGTTTCTTAGAGTATTCGCAGCCCCCAGTAGAAGGGATGTCAAAAGTTTTGGATTTGTTTATGTTGTTATCAGTTGATTTTGGAAGTTTTGAAATTTACAGAGCAAAATTAAAAGGTAAGATTCAAACCTGCTATTGTATATTAATTTTGGTTGAATATTAACAAGTTTCTATTACTTATAAAAACTATTACTAACTAAAACTAACTACTCTTAAGTTTTTAAATTAAATATTCATGGCAAATAAAATGAAATAGGTTAATGTATTAAAAAATTTCCGTTAAGCAAAAACAGGCATTTGCTTAAATTTATATTTCTATTTTAATTTAAAATACATATAGAAAAATATATGTATGCATATTTTTTTAGGTAACTCTCCATAAACAGCCGGCTATTTCAGCAGCTTGTTTTGCCTTTTTTCCTCTCAAAAGAGACTGAGTCTGATAATAAAATTTATTCGCGCTCTTTGCAAAGCACCCTTTTGCAATGAACAAGAGAAAAACGCCAGAGAGCACAATTATCCAATTGTTGCTCCCCACATCCACTGTATATATGTACATATTTGTACATATATATTTATTTAGTAAATAAATCTAAAAAACTTGTTTGTGCATTCAAAAAAACGAACACTTATTTATTGTCTTTAAAGACATACGAATTTGGAATTGTTTTTGTGAGCGTGAATATAAATACTACATCAAATGTACGGGTGTAAAATCGTAAATATCAAGCTTAGTTGAAGAACTTCTTGAACTCCTGGCAACCCTCCCAGTTCTCCTCCCATCCGGGGGTGACCTTCTTGGCGTTCTCGTACCACTTGTTGACGTTGGCGTACTTGCTGATCTCGAATCCGGCCACCTCGAAGGTGGAGACGGAGGCCACCAGGGCGATGTCAGCAACGGTGAGGGAGTCACCAGCGGCGTACTCCTGACCCTCCAAGAAGGTGTTCAGGAACTCGAAGGCGGCCTCGATCTTCTTGAAGGCCTCGGGATCTGCGGGAGCCTTGGCGAACAACTGGGGGTAGTAGTAGTTGGCGAAGCTCTGGTACAGAGTTCCCATGTCGAAGTACAGGCGCTGGTTGATCACGGCACGCTTCTTGGGGCACTTGGGGTACAGAGAGTCGGTCTTGCCGTACTTCTCCACCAGGTAAACCTGGATGGCGCGTGACTCCCACAGGGCGAATCCGTTGTCCACCAGAGTGGGAATGGTGTGCTGGGGGTTGATCTTCAGGAACTCCGGCTTCAGGTGCTCGCCGGCCTGCAGGTTGAGCAGCTTCTTGTTCAGCTCGACGCCCACGGCCTTGGCGGTCATGATGACGGAACGGCAGGGAGCGGAGCCGGGCAGGTAGTAGAAATCAGCCATTTTTCTAAAGAGAAAATAGGGGGAATTAGGAATCATTATTATAATCACAAGTACTAATTTAAAAGAAAATTAATTGTTTATAAGGATGTTGATTTTAAAGATTTTTAATTAATTTGTACATTTATGGCTCTGCCATTTTAAGTTTAAAAATGAATTCAAAGAAACTTTTTTTAGCAAGCTTCCATTAATACATTACTCTAAGGAATACGAAATTGGCAACACACATACATAAAATAATTATGTTTTATTTCTTGCTATACACTAATTCCGTTTTTTTTTTTATACTTTTTTTTACAAATATGGCATGCAAAAGGCGCACAAAATAGATCAGAAAAGATATGCCGTAATTAGACGCACTCTATAATTACGAGTTCAGACAAAAGCAGACTTTAATTGGCCCGTCATTACAAAAATTCACTTGGCCAACAGACTCTCAGGGAATGATGTCATGACTGCCTGGCTTTTTTAACTATTTGGTTGGCCATTTGGTTATTTTCCGTTCGTATTCCTTTAACACATTGTTCCTTGGCCATTGTTTTTTGCATAGAAACACATTCACATTCACATTCACTACAGTTATATACTTTGGGGCAAGACTTACAGTTTGGTTTGTTGAAATCTCGCGATGTACACTGTACCAAAAGAGAAGCAGTACTGAACGGAATTCGGAGAGCGGGTCAACTTTTATAGGAATCGCTCGCGGTCGCCATAATGCCGGCAAACAAGAGTTGTTGTTTGCCGCCCCGTGGGGCGTCAATGGGCGAGGGGCGCGGCGGGGGTAGTCACCAGAAAGAGAGATAGCTACATAGTTGTTTTCGTGCCTGGGTTTTTGCCTTTTATTTTGTGCCTTGCCTACACACTTACCACTAATATCAGGCAAATATGTGACGTTAGCGGCGTGATTAATACGGGTGTGTATGGGGACGTGTGCAAGTGTGTGCGATTTGGTGGCGGTTGCACACAGCCCCCATCACCCCACACCGCCTCCCAAAAGAAAGCTGCAACTTTCTAATGATCCTCCATTGGAACGCCAATTTTTCCTCTCTTCAGAACAAATATTTGTAGATTTTAGTCTGAGTTATTATGTTTTTAATACATTCACATGAGGGTATTGTAATTCATTTGAAGTGAAGGGAAATACATAGTTACTGAATTGACTTTATTTTAAATTTGGAGGGTATTAACACTTCGACTTTCTTATTGTTTACAATGCACGCCATTTGCTGGGATACACATTTTTGCATTTCTAATAAACATCTGTGCGCCTAATAATGAATTCTGCTTTCAAAGTGGAAAAAAAGAAAAAAAAGTTAAATAACGCAAACAGAAACCAGATAACGATTCAAGCCGGCCGGCAAACATTCGTATCTTGCAAACACACAGCAACAGTTGACAAGTATAATATTATCAAGTGAAGTGTACATGTTATGTACATATAAGTAAAAAATCGCAAGAGTGGCATACATACTCTATTTACTAGTAAGTCCACAAAAATAAAGCCAAACCTTGAAACTTTAAGACATTAAGAAAATGTTCAATACGTTGTGACTCACGTTTTTAAGAAATACGGTTAAAACCCATCGAAAAGATAGTCATCGCTCGGTTTGCATACATACATATAACGGTCGATTCCTGCGCAGTTAACTATCAAAGGGACATGCAAATCTTAAATTACAAAATTATATTTATATAGTAATTATCTTAATGACCACAGAAATATATCGATTGAACTGGGCATTGTGTGTGTCGACGGCCTTGAGCAGTTAGAAGTAATTGTTATGGCCAAGTTACATGAAAAGGAAAATGAAAACAAGTTTGGTTCCTTGGAAGTATTTAATACAATCGGGGCAATGCACTCCTACACTTGTGCTGTAATTCCGAAAGAAAAACAAATTTTCCTTCTATCAGTTTCACGATTCACAATACCAACTATCAGCATGACCAAGCAAAATATTTCAATAACAAGTAAAAAATAATGAAAGAGCATTTTCGTGGGCGACACGTCAAACAAATTGCTCTCTTAACGTCCAGAACAATCCACAATTGTGAAATAAAAAAGCCCCAAGACCCCAAACTTCCGAGAGTTACTCATTTGAACATAATGCCGAAATTGACTGAATCATGGGAAACACGAGATCGTAAACACAATAAGTTCGCCAAAAACTGGTTGGGTTAATTCACTAAAAGCCGGCCCAAAAAATAGCGTAAAATGTAGAAGAAAGGTCACAGTGTTTGCTGCAGATCAGGAGAACCAGTTAGACGGCATTGGCCAAGTGTGCGTCACAAACAAAAAGGCAGAAAACAAAACCATTCAAAGAGTAAAAACTAAGAGATCCAACCCCCAAGAGAATTAGTTGGGCGAAGAGCCCCACCGATCTCTTATTTCCAAATCATCGCAGAGTCTGCCGGTCTGCTTGATAAACATACGTATACTCGATATATACTTTCTTGATTCCGCTTGCTATTATTCTTTTGGGTACAGCTGCGTTGATCTTTACTTTAGTCTTTCAATGATCGCGGCTTGAGAAAATACAAATAACAGTTTCAATGTGTTTCTCTGTGTATAAAAGAAAAAGCTACGGCATATTTGAACTAAACTATTTTTCTCAAAGCAATGAAGCGCTTTCCTATCTACATAATGTTTTTATGTCTTTTTAAGTTGTACCCAATAATGTGAACAACATTGTTTCCATACTTCCATCAAATTACGAGTATTATCATTTCAGTTAACGGTATAGATAACCCAAAGCGACGTGGCGCTCGCTTAATAGGTGCAACAAATTTATGAACAGATTGTAACTGCCGTGAGATTGCTTAAATAAATGTATCTAGATATGTACATATCTACATATGTATGTATATTGTAGTCATTTATAGGTACTATAAAACACAGATTTAATAACATCTACTATATACTAACATTGATCCCAAACCTTAACTTTTGAATCATATAAGGGAGTGCCAAAATTCAAGGACAAACTGGAAAACACCCACTCCCATGACTCATAAAATATATCACCTTATATATCAGTATGCACCTGTTATTATCACAAGCTCCTAATTCATACCCAAAAATGGATATATGTATATATGCAGATAATGGTCTGTGCTTCGCCTCTTTTTTTCCATTCTTTTCATTTAATTTTACTCAAAATATGATTACCAAAAAGAAGAATTGCTATATAAGTAGCAAGTTTTGCCAGTTTCAGTCAGTTTTCGGTCTTCCCTTCTAAGAAACAGTACGCAAACATGGATTTCTACTACATGCCTGGTAGCAGTGGCTGCCGAACCGTCATCATGGTGGCCAAGGCTCTTGGCCTTGAGCTAAACAAGAAGTTGGTCAACACCATGGAGGGCGAGCAGCTGAAACCCGAGTTTGTGAAGCTCAATCCCCAACACACCATTCCCACTTTGGTGGACAACGGGTTCTCCATCTGGGAGTCTCGTGCCATCGCTATTTATTTGGTGGAGAAGTACGGCAAGGACGACTCCCTCTACCCCAAGGATCCCCAGAAGCAGGCGGTGGTCAACCAGCGACTTTACTTCGACATGGGAACTCTGAGCGACGCATTTGGCAAGTACTACTATCCCCTTTTCCGTACTGGAAAACCCGGAACCGAGGAGGACTTGAAGAAAATCGAAACCGCTTTCGGGTTCCTCGATACTTTCCTGGAGGGCAAGGATTATGTCGCCTGCGACCAACTCACCGTGGCCGACATCGCCATCCTGGCTAATGTTTCCACTTTCGAGGTCGTTGAGTTTGACTTCAGTAAGTACACCAATGTGGTCAGGTGGTACGCTAATGCCAAGAAGGTGACTCCCGGATGGGACGAGAACTGGGAAGGTCTGCAGAAGATGAAGGAGTTCTTCGAGTCCCGTATTGCAGCTGCAAAGTCCTAAACACTCAGATAAAACATCACAATACTTATGCTATTTAAAATAAATTAAATTAAAAAAATATATCCTGGTGTTTTATCATCCTGAAATAGCATCTTATTACTGGGAAAGATCTTGGTAACATGAAAAACAAATAATAAGTTTTAAAAATAAACCTACTTAAAATACTTTCAAAGATACAACTTTTTCTGTAAATATAACGTATTGATTACACAGCCACACAAAAAAAAAAAAATTTTCGGGCCCGGAGGTCAGACCATGTTTTCTATATGTTTTCAGGGTCGCTGAATCCGAATCCGAGGTCCAAAAAACGCCAGCACGTCAGGGTTCTGACATAACCTCAAAAAACCTCATACAAAATTTTATTCGAGTCCGTGGGCCAGACCATGTTTATTATATGTTTTCAGGGTCCCTGAATCCGAATCCGAGGTCTAAAAAACTCCAGAATGTCAGGGTTACGACATAACCTCAAAAACTTGATAAAATTTTTATTTTCCGAGTTCTGGGCTCAGACCATGTTTACCATATGTTTTTGGGGTCGCTGAATCCGAATCCGTTGTCTAAAAAACTCCAGGTTTTTTTGATGTTATGTCGTAACCCTGACATTCTGGAGTTTTTTAGACCTCAGATTCGGATTCAGCGACCATGAAAACATATAATAAACATGGTCTGACCCACGGACTCGAATATAATTTTGTGTGAGGTTTTTTGAGGTTATGTCAGAACCCTGACGTGCTGGCGTTTTTTGACCTCGGATTCGGATTCAGCGACCCTGAAAACATATAGAAAACATGGTCTGACCTCCGGGCCCGAAAATTTTTTTTTTTTTGTGTGGCTGTGTTATTTGTTTGGAATTAATTGGAATGCCGATTTAATAATTTTCTTGATGTTATTTTACTTTGTTATTTTACTTTACCTTTAAAGTCCGTGAGACTCGCTGCACACATTAGCTCGCTATCCAGCGGATGCTAAGATAGCTACCCAGGAGGCGCCGCGAGGAGGCTGTGTGTCAACTTGCAATCATTCGAAGACAGAGATCGCTCCTTACTCTGTACGAATGGAAGCCAAGCCATCCCATAAACAAACTTATATTTCAATCACAATATTTATGAATCATACTAGGTAATTATTATAAGTCGTTTTCTTCGAGATACCGATCTTATCGTATGTTTAAATAAACCCTTAAGAAATAAGTTATCATTAGCACTTCATCGATACCCCCTGCTAATCATTATGGGTACGTGTCTTTTGGCCTAAAACCACAAGCACCCAAAAAAGTTTGTTCTAACCATGACAAGCATTTTTATAACATTGTGACACATATATTGACCCAGTAAAAAAAAGCAAATGGGGAGAGATAATTGCTCCGGCGTTTTACTATATAAAAGGCAAGAGAAACAGCTCGTACTCAGTTGTGGTTCTCCGTTCCTGTGCATCGCATTACGTTAGCATTGTTCAACATGGATTTCTACTATATGCCGGGTAGCGCTGGATGCCGTACGGTTCTGATGGTGGCCAAGGCTCTTGGACTTGAATTGAACAAGAAGTTGGTCAACACCATGGAGGGCGAGCAGCTGAAGCCAGAGTTCGTGAAGCTCAATCCCCAGCACACCATTCCCACTTTGGTGGACAACGGGTTCTCCATCTGGGAGTCCCGCGCCATCGCCGTCTATTTGGCGGAGAAGTACGGCAAGGACGACTCCCTCTTCCCCAAGGATCCCCAGAAGCAGGCGGTGGTCAACCAGCGACTGTACTTCGACATGGGAACTCTGAGCGACGCCTTTGGCAAGTACTACTATCCTCTTTTCCGCACTGGAAAACCCGGAACCGAGGAAGACCTGAAGAAAATCGAAACCGCTTTCGGGTTCCTCGATACTTTCCTGGAGGGCAAGGATTATGTTGCCGGCGACCAACAAACCGTGGCCGACATCGCCATCCTAGCCATTGTCTCCACATACGAGGTCGTTGAGTTTGACTTCAGCAAGTACACCAATGTGGTCAGGTGGTACGCCAACTCAAAGAAGGTGACTCCTGGATGGGAGGAGAACTGGGACGGTCTGATGCAAATGAAGGCGTTCTTCGAAGCCCGTAAGGCAGCTGCCACCAATTAACACTAATGTAATTTATTGTGTTATAAAATAAATTAGAGAAAATTTAGTTTTTGTAATATATAAAAATAAGTTTTTTTTAATATAAACAACTTTTTATTACATTTTAAATAACTTGTTCAAATTGAATATGGCTAAAAAATAATTAAACAAAATGGAAAGCCCTTTTCTTGAACATAGCAAGAATTTTGTTAGTGAAAAATGAAAATGAAATCCAATGCCTATTAATGATTTCAGCAGAACTATTTGTATTATGAACCTACATCTGGATTGGCTTTTCTAATAAAATGTTTGTTTTCCTACTCAAATAGCGAGCTACAGCTAAAAAATTTGATACCAACGATATTTGTCGAGGTATATAAATACATATGTACAAAGCTCTCCAGAAATTCAGAAGTCAATTTTACAGAGAGTAAATACATAGGTACAAATTGGTTCCTACCCATACTCATTTCACATACACTACCACACTTACTATCAATTGCCGTGGCAAAGCATAGAAAAAAATATGAAGAGATATTTTTCCCTCTTTTTTTTTGTGTGAACATGCTTTATAGGAGAAAGGCCGTGGGGGATCCGAATCAGTTCTCGTTTTCCTCTCGAGCGGGCAACACGACAACATGGATCTTTACTACTTGCCTTTGGTCAGCGCTTGTCGCACAGTTCTCATGGTGGCCAAGGCCCTGAACCTTGACCTCAACAAAAAGATCATCAATACTTTGAAGAAAGAGCAACTGAATCCGGACTTTATCAAGATCAATCCCCAGCACACCATCCCCACTTTGGTGGACAATGGATTTACTCTTTGGGAGTCGCGTGCCGTCGCAGTTTACTTGATTGAACAGTACGGAAAGGACGATTCCCTTTACCCGAAGGATCCCCAAAAGCAGGCAGTGATCAACCAGCGTCTTTATTTCGACATGGGTTCCATGTATCCCTCCCTGGCCAACTACTACTACAAGATTTTCTTTACCGGTCAGCCAGGCACTGAAGAGGATTTTAAAAAGATTCAGGAAACCTTTGATTTCTTAAACACCTTCCTAGAGGGCCAGGACTACGTGGCTGGTGACCAGTACACCGTTGCCGATATTGCCATTCTCTCCAGTGTCTCCACCTTCGATGTTCTCGAGTTCGATATCAGCAAATATCCCAACGTGGCCAAGTGGTACGAAAGGGTCAAGAAGATTACTCCTGGCTGGGAGGAAAACTGGCAAGGCGCGTTGGATGTGAAGAAGATGGTTGACGAGAAAAATAGTGAAACAAAGTAATTTAGATAAATTGGTGTACAAATTTTCAAAGGTAAAATAAAAAAAAATTCTAATTCATAAAACATTTAATATCCACTGAATTAATAAATAAATATATAGATTTTATAGAACTCTCTTCTAATATATATGAAAATAAAATCATTTAATAAAACCTTGAAATTGAAGATAACATACAACATTTTTAACTCAAGAATAAAATTTTCATTTGGGAAGAATTTAAGCGGTTCCAAAAGAAGCCCCATAAAAAACATTGGTATAGGTTCATTTCATGATAGGAAACTCAAATACATTCGTCAAGTATGATAAGAGGTAATTTTGCACTCGAGCTATTTTTAAAACCCATTGAAATATAAAGCTATGCGTACGCTTAATTAACTACGATGACGTGCGAACATTGACCAAATCAATTTGTATAATTTCGAACTCAGAATCATTTCGCTATATAAGAGAAAGCCATTTGCAGGTCGCAATCAGTTCTGTTTTTCCTCTCCAACGAGAAGCACTCAATAATCACGATTGCAAAATGGATTTCTACTACTCTCCCCGTGGAAGTGGATGTCGCACCGTTGTCATGGTTGCCAAGGCCCTGAATTTGGAGCTGAACAAGAAGCAGTTGCGAATCTCTGAGGGGGAGAACCTCAAGCCAGAGTTCCTTAAGCTTAATCCCCAGCATACGATTCCCACCTTGGTCGATAATGGATTCGCGATCTGGGAATCTCGCGCCATTGCCGTGTATCTGGTGGAGAAATACGGCAAGGGCGACTCCCTGTTCCCTAAGGATCCCCAGAAACGTGCGGTGATCAATCAGCGCCTGTACTTCGACATGGGAACCCTGCACGACTCCTTTATGAAGTACTACTATCCCTTCATCCGGTCTGGTAAACTGGGAACTCCCGAGGCCTTCCAGAAGGTCGAAGCTGCCTTTGAGTTCCTAAACACTTTCCTGGAGGGCCAGGAGTACGTGGCTGGCAACCAGTTCACCGTGGCCGACATTGCCATCCTGTCCAGCGTTTCCACTTTCGAAGTCGTTGAGTTCGACATCGCCAAGTACCCAAATGTGGCCAAGTGGTATGCTCATGCCAAAAACATTACTCCCGGATGGCAAGAAAACTGGGACGGCCTGTTGCAAATGAAAACAATGTACGAGGCTCAAAAAGCGAAGTAAAAGAAGAGTTACATATTATAAACCTATTTATTTACCCTATACCCAATAAACAATTTTTTAAATGAACACATAATAAAAGCAATTTTATTAACAAACACGTGGCTATCGAATTCTTTACTTTTGTTTGTAATACACATATACGGAAAACTCAAATTGATTGATTTCCAAACGTTTATTCGCATAACAAACAATACCTGTTTTCCCTATCGAAAACTGAGTAAGCTCACAATCAGAAAAATAAACAATTAGCAAGTGATAAGGTTTTCGGTGGCATTTTTCTTTATATATGTAGTTTAGTTAGCTTGCGAATGCTATCCGAAGTTTTTATACCCTGAATTACACTACTTTAATTTCTAAAGATTTTTTTAGTGTTAGTGCGATATTTTCTTATTGAAAAAGTTATTCAAATTTCTGAAAACTGAAGCTAATTATTTGTTCTATTATATATTTCAAAAAACTATATAAATCTAAAGCAAAAAATACTGAAGAAATTTCAAGATCTTTTGATCTTTTTTGGACTGTTTCCTTATCAACTTATTAAAAAATGATGCTTCTATGCTTAAAAATATCTAAATGTCTCCTTAAGCAGTTATATGAACAAGTCGAGCAAGCGGTTAAACGGTTGTAAACAGTATTATGATAAGGTTTTGGGCAGATAGGTTCAAACCTGAGTGACTAGTTGCCATTGAAACGGACAGAAAATCTTGCCTTTAAAGTCGCAAGATAATGTTGATCAGTGTAACTTCCACTCTTGAATGAAAAATATCCTTTGCATGAAAAAAAAATCAATTAACATGTAATTAGTAAATGTTATTTGTTGACAACCAGGTGAAGCAGATATAAGTATATGAATAGGTAATTTCACCACTTTACTTAATCGCCAATATGTTTAAGCTTGAGAACTCCCAAAGAAGCATCGAGCAAACAATTATTATCAGTTCGGGTGAGAAAACAATTATTATCAGTTGGGGTGAGATATGTAATTTCACAACCTCGTTAGTATAAAAGGGAAACCCAGTGCTGGTGGCAATCAGTTCTGGCTCTTGCCTCCAGGGAACTGCACAAAATTAACCGAAATGGATTTCTACTACTCACCTCGTGGAGCCGGATGCCGCACCGTAATTATGGTTGCGAAAGCTCTTGGCCTTGAGCTGAACAAGAAGTTGGTCAACACCATGGAGGGCGAGCAGCTGAAGCCAGAGTTCGTGAAGCTCAATCCCCAGCACACCATTCCCACTTTGGTGGACGATGGATTCGCCATCTGGGAGTCCCGTGCCATCGCCGTCTATTTGGTGGAGAAGTACGGCAAGGACGACTCCCTCTTCCCCAAGGATCCCCAGAAGCAGGCGATGGTCAACCAGCGACTGCAATTCGACTTGGCAACTCTGTATGAAAGTTTTGGCAAATACTACTACCCTCTTTTCCGAACTGGAAAACCAGGCACTGAGGAGGACTTCAAGAAAATCGAATCCGCCTTCGAGCTTCTGAACACATTCCTGGAGGGCCATGACTACGTGGCCGGTGACCAGCTCACCGTGGCCGACATTTCCATTCTGGCCACCGTTTCCACATTCGTGATCATTGGATTCGACATCAGCAAGTACCCGAATGTGGAGAGGTGGTACGCCAATGCCCAGAAGGTGACTCCCGGATGGGACGAGAACTGGAGTGGCCTTCTCCAGCTGAAGGCCATCTTTGACGAACGCCAAGCATCATTTAAGTAATTGTTATGTTAAAATACCTCATAAATATATACTCAGAACTTTCTTGATTATTTAAATGTTTTGACTTCATCCTTTTGAATTTTAGTGTTGGTGTTTTAACGACATACTTACGGTTCCCACAGATCTGTAAACAGAAAAAGGGAATATTTAATAAAATGGGACGTATGGGCTAGAAAACTGAATTGCTTTTAAAAAAAATAGGAAATCCGAATTGGACATACAATTTGAATACGTTTGTCAGTAACAAAAAAATAGATAATGCATTATCTCTTGGCTAGCTCAACCCTAATAAGTTAACGATTACACTAACAAGTGGAAATTAATTTAAATTACGGTTGATATCGTTTAGTTTATCCGCAAAGCAAAAGCGAAATGTGTAACACGTCAAATGTCAAGAACTTTCTGGTGCATAGCACAACAGAAAAGATATAAATGGTTTAAATGAAATAGTAGAATTTTATTTTAGATTTTTACTTTACTACAAGTTAATAATAAATTATAACGCTATAATTGTAACATTGAAGTGGGTTATGCCCACTCCTAATACGAACGAAATAATTAATCCCTATCAAATTTATCGATAGGATTAGGTGATTATATTTAATCAATCAATTAATAAAAAATTTAGAGATTATTTGTTTTCAACAACGCGGAAGTTTTTGGGGGTTAATCGTAATCATTACAGTTAATATTTAATAGTTTTTCACTATTTTATTTAATAAGGCATAGTCACCAACCGGCAGACGTTTAAAAGTTAATTACAAGTAATTTTGCTATAATTGTGAACATTTTTAATAATATCAAAAAATAAGTTTAGCAATGTCTAATTGTGATTTTCTCTAAAGACCTTCTAACAAAAAATTATATGTGTCCAAGCAAAAATGTAGACTTAGGATGTGAATTCATTTACGGTCTACTAATCATTTACCCCAGTGACTCAATATATGTAATTATTTTTAAGTGCCTTTCTTAAGCTTTCCTTTTTAGTAGTGTTTGCGATGTTAAGTTAAGTCACAGCTAGCTGCTTCTAGCTCATTTAAAAAAATCGCGTAAAAAGTGATTCTAACAATGACAAACCATATTCATATTATCTGCGTCGCTGCAGATAACACCGTAGCTGTTTTGCTATAAAAACGGGGACTGCTGATGGGGTCGAACCAGTTTACTTTTTCCACTCCAGCAGCTCACACAGCAAGGCCAAAATGCCCAACTTGGATCTCTACAACATGCCGATGGCTCCGGCCAGCCGTGCGATTCAGATGATCGCCAAGGCAGTTGGCGTTGAGTTGAACTCCAAGTTGATAAACACATTGGAGGGCGAACAACTGAAGCCGGAGTTCGTTAAGATCAACCCACAGCACACCATTCCCACATTGGTGGACAATGGATTCGCCATCTGGGAGTCACGCGCCATTGCCGTTTACTTGGTGGAGAAATATGGCAAGCCCGATTCCGCTCTATACCCCAAGGATCCCCAGAAGAGGGCTCTGATCAACCAGCGCCTGTACTTCGACATGGGCACCCTGTACGATGCACTGACTAAGTACTTCTTCCCCTACTTCCGCACTGGTCAACTGGGAGATCAGGAGGCTCTGGACAAGGTTCATGCCGCCTTTGGATTCCTCAACACTTTCCTGGAGGGACAGGAGTTCGTGGCTGGTGATCAGCTCACAGTGGCGGACATCGTCATCCTGGCCACCGTCTCCACCGTCTCTCTCTTCCCATTTGACTGGTCGAAGTTCCCAAATGTGGACAGGTGGTACAAGAATGCTCCAAAGGTCGCTCCCGGCTGGGAAGAGAACTTGGAGAGTCTGAACCAGGCGAAGAAGTTCTGGGAGGAAAGGTTGGCAGAAGTAAAGAAGTAAATAGGGAAACTACTTTAAACAATAAATAAAAACCATGATAATAATAAAATAACAAATATCTAATTTTTAATTGATTGGTTGGGTGATCGAAAAGGGGAGAAGTCAAAAACTTTTTTTTTATTTCAATTAGAAACCAATAAAAACCATTTACAAATATGTCTTATACATATTGTTTGAAAATATAATTTGTATAAAAGCTCTTAAACAGTGAAACATACATAAAAAGTGATTCTAACAATGACAAACAATATTCATATTATCTGCGTCGTTGTCATTATCGTTAAATCTCCATGATTTTGAATATAGAAAATTACATTTCCGAATACATTTATTTTCATAAAATCGTATATAAATATATCTGAATTGGAACATCTAATAGCAATCGACTTTCCGTTTCATTTTCCATGTCATTGGGACACATTCAATTTTTGTTTGGTCAAACAAAAATAGGTATTCAGGGTGACAAACATTATTTTAGCGTTATCTTGACCATTACTGATAAGATTTTGGGTATTTAAGATTAGAAGGCAGCTATAGCCAAATCAGTTTACTTTTTCCACTCCAGTGCGACGGACGCTTATTCGCAATGCCCAACATGGATCTCTATAACATGCCAGGTTCCCCGACCTCCCGAGCAATTCAAATGGTTGCCAAAGCTGTTGGCGTTGAACTGAACTCCAAATTCATGAACACATTGGAAGGCGACCAACTAAAACCGGAGTTCGTGAAAATCAACCCACAACACACCATTCCCACTTTGGTGGACAATGGATTCGTCATCTGGGAATCTCGTGCAATTGCTGTTTACTTGGTGGAGAAATATGGCAAACCTGATTCCCCTCTGTACCCCAAGGATCCCCAGAAAAGAGCTCTGATTAACCAAAGACTGTACTTCGACATGGGAACCCTCTATGATGCCCTGGCTAAGTACTTCTTCCCTTACTTCCGCACTGGCAAACTGGGAGATCAGGAGGCATTGGACAAGGTAAACGCCGCCTTAGAATTCCTGAACACCTTCCTCGAAGGCCGGGATTTCGTGGCTGGTGACCAACTCACCGTGGCGGACATCGTCATCTTGGCCAACGTTTCGATCATCGAAGTCATTCCATTTGACTTGAAAAAATTCCCAAATGTCGAGAGGTGGTATAAGAATGCCCAGAATGTCACTCCGGGTTGGGATGAAAATGTGGAGAGCATTAAGCAGGTGAAGAAGTTCCTGGAGGATTACCTAGCAAATAAGAAATAAATGTTGTAAATAAATATTGTAGCAAAAATATAATTTATTACCATTTGTTTTATTTATCGCTATATCATGCTGACCTAAGGTCTTGAATTCCGGTGGTGACATATCATATGTACTGGAAATTATATTATTATCAACTCTGTGCAGTATTTCTTATCGCTAAGTGTTGACAACTTTATTAAAATTTTGATAACGACAAATCAAAGTCATACTGTTCATTCAACTTTAAGAGGGAAGAGTGATTCACTGGCCTTTTCCAAGGGCGGGGAAGCCACTATACATACGTACTATACATTATTAACAAAAAAAAATTCGCAGCTGATTATATTTCTTATCTTGTATTAAATGCCAAGACATACATTCAGTTTTAAACTAAACAACAAATATAACCCCCTCTGACTCAAAATATTGTGGCTAACTTTCCCGAAAAGAATTCATTTATTTGACCCCTCCAACACTGACCTTTCCTTTTTCATGACATTTGACCCCTCCAACACTGACCTTTCCTTTTTCATGACATTTAAGCTATTCCCACAGCTCTAACAACCCACCATCAATTTGTAATTACTGCATGGAAAATAAATGACATTTTTAACTAAATTCAAATGGGTGGCCGTAACTTTGGCACGCATGTGCCCCTAAAAGTATATTTCTGTTCATTACCTGGCCATTAGCTAAACACTTCTAATTACACCGAATCGTTATCTCCGATAAGGCTGCCACTCGGGAAAGTTGGAAAGCACGACACTGGATTACTATATATGGAAATCGATTTGATTTCGTGCGTCGTTTCCTCTGACTATAAAAGCGGTTGGTATTATTTGACTGCGGTCAGTTGTGTTTAACTATCGCAGGACTTTTCACCATGGACTTCTACTACCATCCTTGCTCGGCTCCTTGTCGTTCCGTAATGATGACAGCCAAGGCTCTTGGCATCGAGTTAAACATGAAGCTATTGAAGGTGATGGATGGAGAGCAGCTGAAGCCGGAGTTCGTGAAACTCAATCCCCAGCACACTATTCCAACGTTGGTGGACAATGGATTCTCTATCTGGGAGTCCCGTGCTATTATGATTTACCTGGTGGAGAAATACGGCCAGGATGACTCGCTCTATCCGAGTGATCCGGAGAAGAAGGCGGTGGTCAATCAGCGATTGTACTTCGACATGGGCACCCTCTTCCACAGTTTCATCCTGGCCATCTATCCCCAGTTCCGGAACAAAGAGCCAGCGGATCCGGAGCAAATGAAGAAAGTGGATAGTGCCTTTGACCACCTGAATACCTTCCTGGAGGACCAGGACTATGTGGCCGGTGATTGTCTCACCATTGCTGACATTGCCCTTTTGGCCTCAGTTTCGACCTTCGAGGTGGTCGACTTTGACATTGGCCAATACCCGAACGTGGCCAGATGGTACGAGAACGCCAAGGAAGTCACTCCCGGATGGGAAGAGAACTGGGAGGGAGTGCAGATGATTAAGAAATTCGTTCAAGAAAATAGTCAGAAAGATTAATTGTATACAAATATCGAATGAAATAATATACCTCAGCACATTGTGGCCTAATATGGTTTAAAAATTAAGTAATAAAATGATTGTTTGCTATTTGTACCACACACTGGGAAGAGTTATCTATAAAAAAGAAGAGAAATGAAAGTCGGACTCTTTGATAACACCGTTGATAAGGACCCACCTCAACAAGCCGCCAGCTTATCAAGAAAATAAAACACTTATCTTTATACATATAAATTGTGAAGGTTGTTCCATTTCAAGAAAGATTGCCATAAATGGCATTTCTTAATAAAACCTTACCGAGCACAATCTTTTTGTTTACTCTCTTATCATCGCGTACTTTTTATTTTTAGTTTCATTTATATGATTTTAGGAGCTGAACATGACTATCAGTTAGCTTTGTTCGTTGTTTTTCAAAAACTTATTTCAGCTTTTCTGATCTGACATCTACAAATTAAAAAACAAAAACAGAAAAATGTAGAGTAACAAGCTCATTCAGAAGTGTATCTTCAGGGGCAATTTCAAAGAATGAATCATATTAATCAGTTTCAACAATTATTTCAAATTCCAATCTCTAACACGGATAATAACAGTTAGATTGTGTTTCTAATAGCTATAGGAATTCCGCGGGAGATTGACGATAGCTGCACTTCCACTACTGCAGTAAATTGCACGCGATGATTTCACATGAGTTTCCATTTCCTTTCCCCTCAGAAACAAACTTCTGGACTGGGCCATTGACCGGTCGACTTTTAGAACAATTGCGATTGTAGTTAGCTAACAAACGTGCTGCTTGTGGCATTGAACAAGTACAAATTACATATGCAAGAGCTCACATATTTTACATTGCTTAGTGTGCCATAAAACCAGAGGGTTGCTAGAGATGTTTTCCAAATAATACGGGGAATTTAAATAAGAACAGATATAGGAGCATAATGTTTTCAAATATTAAGTGAAAATAAAAAAGATCCAAAAAGAAAACAATTTCAATTGTTCACTTAAATACAGCTTTAAAGCATTTTTAATTGTGGTTTTAGAGAATTTTTGAAATAGCTTACGTTTCAACCCAATAAACAAGAATTATTTTTGAGAAGCCAATGTGACAAGCCAAAGAGAAATCGTTTTTAAAAGCGTCATTAAAAGTATATTTCGCATTCCATCTAATTAACGAGCCAGCACTAAACCTAATAAAACTAAACACATTCCTAGTTTTCAGATTCGGTCAGCGCCTCCGAGGCCTCCACGAGTTTCTGGAGTTGGCGGTACTTCTGGATGGCGTTGCGCACGAATACCGTTGCCCGACGCACTCGCTCCGGGGTCATCTCCTCGGCCAGCATGCGACCCACATCCTGGGCTCCTCCGGTGCGCAGGATATTCACAGCACGGGCGGGAATCTCACAGATCGGGGTGACCTTGCAGAGGGCACTGGTGATTGCTCCGCCAAAGAGGATGATTCCCACGGCGGACAAGAGCACGGCGGCGATGCGGAAGAGCGTGGACATCAGGATGGTGGGCAGCAGGTTGGAGGCGAAGGCCAGCAGGGGATTCGAGGATCCTGACTGTGAAGCCGGAGCAGCGACAGTGGTGCTATCCGACTCCGTCGGCCCGGCATCATTGGTGGGCATCAGGAATCCCTCGTAGCCCGTCTGCACCACAATGGGTCCGGGATAGGGATAGATGCCAGGTGCTGCTCCACCAACAGGGGCCGGATACGGACCAGGAAACGGAGCATAGCCGTACTGGCTCAGATACTGCTGGAAGGCCTCCGGCGTGATGACTCCTCCGGCGTAAATGGACGTGGGACTTATGCTGCTTCCACTGGCTATATTATCGGGCTGTGGATTAAAATGGGAGTATCATTTAGTATGTGATTTAATCCACTTGGCAAAATCTTTTAGTTCGCTAAAATATACCTCGAATATTCAAAAAATTTCGAAAAGTCTTTATCCAAAAGTGTTTTCTTAAACATATGACCATTTTACACAACTTTCTTTCTCTAAGACTTTTTGATATTCTATTCTTCCTTAAATATTTTTTTAATAATCTGTTAAAACATAATAACTGGTTTCTTCTACTGGAAAAAAAAATTTTAATAAAATTTTTTAGGTGGAATTATTTTGCAGGATATCGTTTTGTTGTGATAAAATGATACTATTTTGGTGTAATATCTAAGTGGGATCACTTTGGTATATTTATTTTTTTATTATTTTGTGGAATTATTTTCCAATTATTAGATTTATTTTCTACTCACCACTGCTGGCTCATTTGTCTCTGTACCAAGTGAGCTTGTTTCATTGTTGGCGGAAGGTGTAGAACTTGTGGAAGAACTGGCAGGCTCTCCACTTCCCTCCACCAGATTGTCCGATTCTTCGATAGTATTGGGAGTGGCTACCTGAGGAGAAGCATCCAAGGCTGGCACACACCGCGATCCTTTGATCATCAGAAGCAGGAGCAAAAGCAAATGGGATCTGCACTCTTTGAGGAACATCATCTTCGCTCGGACTTGAAAAAACAACTGATCCTTGCCAAGATCCAATCACTTCTTTTATAGCCTCTCCTGCATCGGCCATTTTCTTCATATTTTGCAATTAATGTCACATTTTCCGGGAATCTTCACCTCGTCGAAGGACCCTTTTTCCCTAATCTCTGCACAAAACCTTTTAAACACCTTACCTGCCACGAAGAAAACAGGTAGAAGATGTCGCCGCCGTGGGACATCGACACCTGGAACATTTTGTATGTCCTGGCTAATTACCACTGTACCGGCCATGTCCTTGAGTGGCTCTAAGAAATGTCAAGCACGCGATGAAGTCGTGACTGCCGAAAAATGTTTGATGTAAACACGTCGCCTTTTCAAGTGATGCCAATCAAGCAACAACCCCCAACCCCTTTTTATCAGGCGCTCTGAATTGGAAAATCTGCTGGCAATCAATAAAAAGGTAAATGAAAGCATAGCTTCGGATATTATGTAGACGTATAATTTTAGAAACGAATGGAGGCATTTTGACCGAGTTTCGGGAGCCAAGCCCCCGCCTCTCCTTTCTGGCGAGCAGGTGAACACTCGGGCAGTTGGCTGTTTGGGTGGTTGGGCGATTGGGCGATTCGTTTGTTGTCCCTGGCAACGTTCGTTATGAAAACTAAACGAAAACAAATGCGCCCAAAGACGAGACAACATGCTCTGAAAATTGGACAAGTCAGACAGCGGATACATCCGTGGACAGCGACGTCGGCAAGTTGGGGACAGCCGAGGCAGATTCCATCGCCGGAGAGGATCCCACGCACCCTCCACCCAGGCATTCAGGCACCCAGGCATTTAGACACCCAGGCATTCAGGCGTCAAGGCACCTCCACCAGCATCAGCATCAGAGTTAGTCCTGTCTGGAGGTCCCTGTTAGTCCTCCGGCGAACGCGAACGCGGAATCGGAATCGGACGCGGCGAGACTCGACGACATACTGGGGAACTGCATTGACATCGACACGGTGGCCGTGGTGCAGCACAAGCTGGTGCACAGAATTGTGTGAGTAGACCAACCAAACCAAGCGGTCCAATGCCTTCTGTGCATATTTCCATGATGAATAAGTTAGCGAGTGCAATTAAGTGCGGGCCAGAGCACAGCGATTACCATTTCTAGATTGGAGTAGCAAAGGGGAGAGTGATTCGAAGTGCTGCATTCCCTGTAGCAGTCGGTTTGAAATGTATTATCAAGTATCCTTTTGTTGTTTTGAAAAATCTATATTTTTGCAAATAGAGTTGGTTCGGAAACATCTAATTTTACAGGCCACCTCCGTGTTTTACATGAATTTAAGTTAAATGTGCTGCACACTTTTAGGCTGCCAGCTTGATAATATTTTTAATCATTTTGTTTTGTGAATTTTAAAATTGTACCTGAGGATTATTCATATTGTTGTTGACTAGTGAATGTATAAATATTAAAATATAATAAGTTTTGGATTAAGTTTACAGTCCATAATCCTTTTTTAAATTTTAAAAGATTTTGTGATTAGGTACATATTTCAAACTGCATTTTGAATATTTAACTTGTTTATTTAAAAACAAATTAACAAAATTCTAAAATTGGAAAGCATTATAAACGGGATTTAAATGAATATCAGACATTCAGTTGTCTAGTTGACTAAAAAGATATTTAATTGAAAACATAAAAATATTTTTTTAATTTTAAATCTAAAGCTGTTTCATATCTAGTATTTATCAAGTATACACTTTAAAAACCTTCATTTCCGTGACTCAACAAACAAGTAATAAAAAATTAAACAAATGCAATGGGTTGGAAAGCAATATTCAACGTTGGTCTGTATTTACTCAAGTTTTGAGAGCCACGCAAGGAACAATTGTCATTAATTAAGTATATGAAAGGAATAAAATCGATGCATTGATTATTTTGTACTGACCACCAAGTTTTTTGGGCTGCGTGTGCCAAAGTGGCCGCCATTGTTGGCCAACTTGGCATTGTAGTTGCGGCCAATGAGCGACACGAAGCGTATTGTAACCGAATTCGTGTACTGCCTGCTCCTCAGAGGTGGCAAGATGTCCCCGCCCGTGCTGTACTACCTGCCGCCCAGTCCGCCCTGCCGCAGCATCCTCCTGCTGGCCAAGATGCTCGACCTCGACTTCGAGCTGAAGATCGTCAACATTTTGGAGGGGGAGCAGCTGAAGCCGGACTTCGTGGCCATGAACCCCCAGCACTGTGTGCCCACCATGAACGATGAGGGTTTGGTTCTGTGGGAGAGGTGAGTTAGGAGGCTAGTTAGCTGTGCTGATTCCTAGCAAATGTTTATTATCATTACAGTCGAGCGATACTTTCTTACTTGGTGGCAGCCTACGGCAAAAGTGACGAACTGTATCCCACGGATATAAGGGTTAGGGCCTTGGTGGACCAGCGCCTTCACTTCGATCTTGGAACCCTCTATATGCGACTCACTGACTACTATGTAAGTTAACTGGTCCCAAAGATGATTCCGACAAATAATAATTCTGTAGTATAATGTAACATTGTACTATTTACTCAATTTAATAGTGTACCAAATTACATAGAATAACAACGAACGTCAAACAATGAAAAGAAAAATTGCAAATTGATTTTAGAAATCATTAAAAACAACGTTACTGAGTTAGTTAGGCATCAGTAATATTATGTTGATGTACTAAAGCAATTTTCTTTAGGTTTTTTCAAAAAGCATCTTTCAAAAAATGTAGAAGTAGTTCAACTTAAAATTTAAAAACACAAAAATAATTTCCTCATTTAATCAAGTTTTGCAATGCTTTATAAATTCTTCTACATCTTAAAACGGATTATATAAAATGCACAATATATAAATATAAATATAATAAATAGTTTTTATTAATTTTGACGCATTTGTTTCTAGTTTCCCACAATGTTTATTGGAGCCCCTTTAGACGAGGGAAAGCGCGCCAAATTAGCGGAAGCTGTGGGCTGGCTAAACTCGATCTTAGAGGGAAGACAATATGCGGCAGCTGATCACTTTACCATCGCTGATCTTACTCTTTTGGTGACCGTTTCCCAGCTGGAGGCCTTCGATTTCGAGCTGCGACCTTACAAACATATAAGGCAATGGCTAGATCGTTGCAAGGAACACATGGCACCTTATGACTACGAGGAGTTGAATACCAACAAGGCCAATATGCTGGCCGATATGTTCAAGGCCAAGATGAACCAGACTGCAGGATCCTAGGATTCATTAAGGCAGCGTTATTACAGTATAGATAAAAACAAATGAAATATCAGTTGTAAGTGTTGTATTTAATAAACGTGTTGTTCTTTGAATCAAGTCTAATTTTTATTTATAATATTTGAAGAAAGAAAAGTAAAAATGTTAAGGAAATTTTTAGGAAAGTATAGCCACAAATCATATTTATTAATATTTGTATATATAGAACACTTAAGTTTGATACCGCTGATATAAAATCTCTGTGTAGGTAATTCTTTTCAAAAAATAATGTCACCTGCCTTTCTCATTCTTTAGATAAAAGTTTAATATTAATAAGTATCCCCTGACCGGGCCAAAACAATATTTCAAATCTAATTTTCATCTGAATTGACAGTTAACTTAATTGAGTTGCCGTGGCTCTTTCAGTCTGCGAAGTGTGACAAACTAGATGAATTGACTGGTTTCAGGGGGCCGAAATGAGCTGTTAACTGGCGCCCGTTGGCTCACAAAAAAGGCGACATGGCACACATTTTAAAAATACCGCCACCCAAAAACGGTGTCCAAAGGACGCTGCTCCAAATGGCCGCAGGCAAATGTACAGCATTAACGTGTGTTTGGCCGTGGCCAAAAGGGCGGGCTGAAGGATGAAGGCGATGGCAAACTAGCGGATGCTGATGGCGGCACCTGCAAAACCTCAACTGAAATTTAATGGCACGACAACACAAAAAAAAGGTAGAGCAGCAGCAGCAGCAGCACAGTTTTATGAGAGAAGCCGGCTATTTTTAAACCGGACATCGGCAGCTTCCAGCTAGACAGCAGGATAATGGGGTCCTGTTTCGCTCCGTCACAGTCTCGCTTTGCCCGCTGACAATGGCGGCCGCTACTTTGGCTCTCGGATTAGCTGTGGCTCTGTTGGCCACCGGAAATGGCCAACAGCAGCAGCAAGTGGCCAACCATAAGCAGTCGCATCTCTGGCTTGGTGGGTTAAGCAAAGTGCAGTGTTAAGTGCTAGTCAGAATAATATATAAAATTGGTTTTATTCTTCATTTAAAAAATGTTAACATTTGTTGTTTAATTGAATTTATTTAATTTATAAGAAGAAATAGATACAAATAATAGAAATTTATAATAATGTTTAAGTGATACCATTAAAATGTGTTCTAATTAAGAACTCACAATGTTTTCGAAATGATAAAAAGAAAAATTAATTTTATCCACCAAATTTTCTTTAATGAAGATATAATCTCTACTCATTTTGTTGTAATGGTATTAATTTCAGCAATTAATATCACTGCACAAAGATTACACAGCATATAAGTTATTATTTTAGAGACCTATGATTCCCCCTCTCCACAGACTGCTCCTGCCTGCATGCCACCGATCGGAATGCCACCCAATGGGGCACGTTGGCCATTAACGCCAGCCAGGCGATGGGAGCCAAGAACAACTGCCTGATGATCTTCGTCGGGGGAATGGACGGCGAGCTGGTGGCCTTTCAGCTCGAGCAGTTGCAGCTGCGCCCCGGGTGAGTGGCCATGCTTCCGGCGAAATTCCGGGATCGGTTCGGTGGGTTTTGGGGGCAGGGAGCCGATTGGATCTCAAATCGGCGGACAGCTGCCGGCGACAGCCATCAAAATCGAATCCGTCGATGGATAAGGCTGCCGTCCGTCGAGGAAACGCTGTGGCCAAATGTGGAATGGGGCAGAAGCCAAATCCCCACCGCAACGGCTATGTAATTAAAATACCTTGCGAAGGCCATGTGGGCGGTCCCATTTTGGTGGCCGCCGGCACGCCTGGTTATTTATATAAATCCCGCAAAATTTGTGTCAATTTATGCAAAACTGTATGCATCCACATTTGCGCCATAAAAATAACGCACACAATATTTCGGAATCGATTTGTCAATAAAATTGGAGAGCACTGGCCAAGCACATTTCAGTGGAGCTTGGACCGAGTGGGCCGCCAAACGTATGAGTAATATTCTTGAGGTGCATCAGTCGCCAGGAAAACGCGTCCGAGTCGACGGGAAGTCGCGCGCGATTCAATTGTCCTAGTCGGTGGTTGAAGGTGTCGCCAAGAAACCGTCGTAAGCCGCCGGTAAATCGCTTCAAAGCTGCTTACAAATCGCGGCTAAGTCGCATACAAATCGCTATTAAGTCGCTAGCGAACAACAGCTCAAACTTAAAGAAATAAGGAAAATAATTAGACTTACTTTGGAAATTTTTAAAAAAGTCGAACTCTCCAACATTGTAATTGTTAAAATCTTTTATTTTTAAAATTAAGCAATCTTTATAACAGATCGTTGAAAGATAGAAAAATATTAAAATTCTTATACAATTTGTTTTTAATTTCCAAATCTGTCGTTATTTTCTGTGTTATTAATCACGAGTGAAATCGGTTAAATAATTTTATTCAAAAGTTCGTGCAACCTCTGAAAAATAAATTGGTGAAACGCTAGTAAAAAAAAATCAATCAAAATGTCTATGGATCCCACTGTTTCCTTGGAGGATCTGGAGCGTGTGAGTGAAAAATGATCAAGTGAAAAACTGTCAATAAATGACGGAGATCCAATTTCCAATCCAGCGCCGACGTAGAGCCAGTTCCGCTCGAAAGCAGTCACATACTCCACAACCTCCTTCGCAACTGCCGGATTCGGAGGCCATGGCCGTGATTAACGAGATATTCAATCCCACGCTGAAAATACCAGAGTCCACTGGCCATTACACGCTGCCGGAGGAAATGACAGCCGATGATAATGTGTCGCCCAAAGATCTGGATATTGCCAAGCTGGCGGAGCTCAAGGAAGTAAGTTTTAAAACTCTGAGGGACTGACGTTGATTCCGTGGCTTGTCCGAAGGTCTTCTCACTTTTCGACACGGATTGCGATGGATTGATCTCGAAGGAGGATCTACGGTTTACATATACTGCCTTGGGAAACGAGCCAAATGAGCAGCTGCTGGAGCAGATGATGCAGGAGGCGCAGGAACCACTCGACTACGATGCTTTTGTCCGACTGATGAGTCGCCGCACTCAGGAACTGGATCCCGAGGATGTTCTCCTCGAGGCATGGAGCAAATGGGATGACCACGGCACGGGAAAAATAGATGAACGCAAGTGGGTTCTATAGAAAAAACCGCGCTCTCTTAACCCAATAAATGATTTTGCCAACACTTCTCAGAATCTACGAAGAGCTGACCAACTATGGCGACAAAATGACCCTCAACGAGGCCAAGGAGGCTCTTAGCCATGCACCAATGGCCAAACCAAAATCGTTGGAGGAGCCTCCCATGATCGATTATCCGGCCTTCTGTCGGATGCTCAGCGGAATGCGTAAACGAAAAGGCGAATAAATTGTGGGGAGATCAATAAATTGCTTGGAAAAATTATTAATTATTTTTTGTATCCAAAAACAACTCAAAAGTCTTGAAAAAAGTTTTAGTTACGTGAACATTGATGAACTATCTGTTCTGCCAAAGCTGATGAACTGAAAACTTATATTTAAAGAAAACGACGACCAAATTTATTATTATTATTTAACTTTAACTATTGAACAGTTTAATATTATATTTTTTGAGTTATTTAAATGATTTTCTTTATTATCAAAAAATCTATCGCATAATGTATAAGTAATCCATTTTAAAAAGATCGCGGAAGTGATAAACTTTAATTTATTTAAATACACTTGTTTGCAATTATCAGTTTGGTTGCTTTTCCTAATATTTTGATTGGTAATGTGTATTATTTTTTGAATACCCATTTCTTGTTGCCAAATTTTGTTTTAACTGGATAAGCTCCTTTACCTTGATTTGTTGCCAATTACTGAATTGGCTATTGGCAGCTGTTTCTATGTGACAATCATTTTAGACTTAACGCCAACTTTTGTTCGACTTTTTATCAAAATAAATCGTGAAGAACCAGCGAAGCATTGGGAATTATTTCTTAATGGCCAATTGCTGGTTGCGAGGGGATATTATATTTATAGGTCGGCAAGCTGACCAACGAGCCAGCCCCAAAAGTATCGGCCAATAAATTTTAGACATCGTTACGCATCTGCTCTGGCCAATGCAAGCGGCCTGCCGTATTTCCACCCACCCCACCCCCTTCTACCGCTTCTACCGCTTCTGCTGCTTCTACCTCTGCCTCATCAAATGCAATTTCGTGACAGCTGTTTGGACAGCGTGGACGTCTTTCCCTATTTGCGGGAGCCCGTCATCGAGAACGCGACTCTGGCGGCGGACACCTTTTGCCAGCACAGCCGGAACCGCAGTGCCACGCCTATTTATAGCGCCGGTCGATTGCTCGGCCTACGCCTCCGGTTTCAGCAGCCGCCCACCGGCGACCCGGCCAAATGGAACTTGACCCTAACCGCCAGCTATCGATTTCTGAAGCGAGGTGAGTCCACTTTAATTACACAAATATATCACGAAATTGACCTTGAGTTGTAGTATTTATTTTAAATTTTTAAAATATTTTTAGGATTCTTTTAAGGGTGATTAATTGAGGTTTTGTTAATGAATCATTTTATTATAATGATCGAGTAATTAATGTCTTAATTTAATTTTGTGCTTTTAATATGAAGAAAACATTTAATCAGTTCAACTGAATTCCATTCCCAAAATCATATGCCAAGATATTTCTTAGAAAATTCAACAAAATATGTCTACGAAAAATAATTAGTCTGGTAATTACCCCCTAGAAAACTTCCGTACGGATGGCCGGTTGGTGCCGCACAGCTTCTGCGACTTCTACTTCTTCGCCAAGTTGGCCGGCGAGGAGGGAAATCTGGGACAGGGCTACTTCCACTCCCCCCAGTTTCCCGCCCACTATCCGGCTCACATAAAGTGCGCCTACAAGTTCATCGGTCGGCCGGACACCCATGTGGAGATCCTGTTCGAGGAGCTGCAACTGCCGCCGGTGGCCAGTGGAGGATGCCAGTTGGATGCAATTACTCTCTTCGATGCCGAGTCCGCTCACATGAGCTCGGTCATCGATGTACTCTGCTCGAGTCGTCCCACCCGAAAACTAGTGAGCACTGGTCCCGATCTTCTCCTGGAGTTTAATGCCAGTTCCAATCGCACGGCCAAAGGATTCCGGGGGAAATTCAAGTTCGTGCAAAATGAGTTGGGTGCTCCAGAGTTGACCCCTCCACCGCCGGCTGTTTTGGAGGCAGCCAGTGTGGCGGTGAAGCAGGAAAAACTACAGCAACAACAGGCCTTCGCCGCCAAGGCCAACAGTCTGCCGACGGATGTGGAGCTGTCGAAGCCAGGACGCTCATTTGGTAAGTTGGCGCCCCATAAATTAGACTTAGATTGAACGATTTAATAAACTCATTTGGTGGGGTCCACACACCGTAAGAAATTAAACCAAAATCTTATTAAAATAATGATGAAACCAAAATCTAAATTTACTTCATATACATATCGCTAAAAAATGTGTTAAGTAATTCAGGTTCGCCAATTGCGTAATTCATTTAGTTTTCAAAATTTATTTGTTAAATTAAAATAAATTTGCTTATGGATTTTAGTTCCTGGTTTTATAAACTCATTAATTTATTTGGCTTGTATTTATGTTGTAGTTTTATATAATAATTTTAGAATTAAATAAATATTTTTTTCGAGTGCGACCCCTCTTCTTTCCCTTCTTTAAGCCCGAGCCCCAATTGAATTAAGTTAATCGATGGAAAATGGCGGCAAAACTAGTCTCCTCACGCCCGTTTTTCCGTCGACGTTCGACAGCTTCCGTCTGTCTTGGTCCGGATTCCGAGGCGGAAACGGATGTGGCCAATCCAGAGGGCCTGAGTGGTTGGCTATGTAAATGGCTTTGGGCTTTCGGAGTGGCTCAGTCGAGTGCCAACTGTTGTGCTGTTCAAATGGCGGACTCCGCGTCGCATCTCATTAAAATTGGTGTCTTGTGTCTCTTCTTCCAGCAGTCGACGGCATCCTGTTCCCCTTTGCCCACCAGTAAGTCAAGCACTTCACACTTTTGCCAAAACATTTATTAAACAACAAGCAATCAATAAAGATAGTTTTTGAGTGTTAGCCTGTGTTCGTTGATTTAAAAAAATAGGCTGATAAGCGTTTAAGAATGGACCACAAAAGGGCGGCAGCACCACTGCAAAGGGTAAATTGCAAGAGCCGATGAAGAACCTGAAACCTGTGAAAGAAGAATTTAAAGTTTTAAAAAAGGAAAAGTTATTGCAAATTATAATCTGATTCGGATACAAATCAAAAAAGTTCTTCAATAAACAGTAACAAAATTAACTTGGTTACTGCGATTAAACGTTCAGGATATAATCCACAGACTTTATACCAACTTTTGTATACATCAGTGGTTAAATTCTCTAAACAAAACTTAAACTGAAGACCCATATAATATGGGTATAATTACCTAGATAGCTTATAAAACCAGAGATAAGTTTGCGATACTTGCAAACTTGTTTTTGGGAACCATTAATTTAGAACTCACTTTCTGTAGATCTTTCTACCCTTCTCCAAGTTTTCCGGACCAGGCTCCTCCTTGGCGAGGTAAATCCGAACTCCGCTCAGGGCTTGCAGGAAGTAATCGTCCCAATCAATACTGCTCATATTGAAGTCGTAGATCTTTTGATCCTCGGCAGACATACGCATCCACAGCTGGTGGGTGTTGTAGCTATCGAATTGCCAGGTTCTTACCACAAACGGCGCCAGCATGTCGATATTCTTGTGGATCTTGTCGTACAGCTTGATCATCCGCGGCTTTTGACCCCGCAGACGTAGGACCAAATCGATGGCATACCCTGGCAGCAGGTGGTAGATGCAGGTCAGGATCTGGAGCAGCCAAGGAATGGTGGTGCAGATGAGGAACGGCATCCACATCATCTGGCTAAACGGATAGTTGTAACTTAAACGGACTGCCCGATCCTTAAATTCTCCCCAGGTGATCAGGTTTCCCTCGGCGGGTATGAAGTTGTAGATTGGCGGTTCCGTCGGCAACTGAATGCTTCTTTCTCGAGCCGTATTCCAAGCACAGGTCAGCACCATATTGACGCAGTAATCCACCGGAACAATGCCTCCGTGGGCCTTCAAATTTAGCCTGGTGACTCGCACAATGCCAAATGCTGATCCATAGAGCACTGCAAAGGGTCCGTACAAGTTGTCGATCCAACCAGACATGGGCTCCTTATAGCTGGCTATTACTGGGGGAAAGTATAGGTAACAAGAGCTCATTAATCTTCAACAAAATTCACCTACTAACGCCAGGACGAAAGATACAGATCGGCAGATCCCCCGACTCCTGCTGGACCAACTGCTCCGCCAGAGCTTTCGTATAGGTATAGGTATTCGGATACTTTCCCAGCAAGGCGGGGGTCATGTTGTCCAACAGCTCGGGACTGAGGCTATCATGCAGCTGCAGAACCTTGTCCACCGGACAAGTAAGGTGCTCCGGGTAGAAGCGTTCAGTGATGTGATCCACTACGCAATTGGAGTACGCGGTGGACACGTGAACAAAGGCCTCCAGGTGGGGCATCTCTTTGGCCAGTCGAACCATGAGTCGCGTGGCCCGCGTGTTGATCGCCAGGGCAACGTGCAAGGGCTCCACAAACCTGACGGTGGCTGCACTGTGGAACACTATCTGTACTTCATCCACGAGCAGCTGGCGGTCAGAGTGGCTCAATCCAAGATCCGGCTCCTGGCAATCGCCGGCAAGTGGCACCACTCGCTTCAAAACATCGGGATCAGCCTGTACTAGGTTAACAAAAACCTGCATGGAAAAATTTAAATTAAATCAATTAGTTATTATTTAGAATATAATATTCATTCAAGAAACTTTTTAAATCCAGATATGGCAAGCAAACCAGGCTATAAATAATAAAAATTAAATCTATTGAAGGCGTACTGAATTTCCAGCTAGTTATTTATGGTAATTTTTTATAAGTCCTAAAAAATTTAAAATTTCTTTAAATTTAAATATCCTTAGAGGATTAAAACTTATGTTTTCAAATTGTTGTTGAAGGACTTACGTAGTCATTTTTCCAGGCGGCACATCGCTCCTGCATTTCCTGTCCGCATTTTGAGCGGAGCAGCACATAGATGCGCTTCACTTCCGTGGTGCGGAGCAGCTTCTCAATGGTCACTGAAAAGGCAGTAGACTCTTTTTGATCTTGAAAATTAACTGATAAGGATCCGTGCTAATCGGTTTTCTTTTCTTTTTTTTTGCATCACATTTATAAAAGCTTCACAATCAATTTAAATCCTTTTTTGAAAAACACTTTAACAAATCTTCTCGGAATACCTTTGCCCAGGAATCCACTGCCGCCTGTTAAGAAGACGACCTTGTCTTTATAAAACGTTTGCATTTCCGTTGCCATTTTCGATAATCCTTATCGCGCACATATAAGAAAAATCCGTAAAATCCGTAAAATTCGAAAGTCGTAATCCCTTGTAGAACGGCGCAGACGCGACTGATGCTTAACTGAGTGGAGTTGAGTGCTTTCGGCCGTTATTTATACCCAGTCGGTGACCGCGGAAAATCAATTGTCTTACCAAACACACAAATGCACAAACCCACAGAAAGTCGGGATCGTAAATATCGGGTCGTTAACATTTACTTACCCGCCAAGCCGGAGAAGATTCGTCGAGAAACGGAATATAACGTATACGCCTATTAAACCATGAGCATGTCTGACCTGCTAAGTAATGAACTAGCTTTGGCTTACTTACAATGAAAGTAGAACCCAAGTTTTTGGCTCAGAGGATCGGCACATGCGTCAATTTGCGTGGCGGCCTGTGATCCCTCCATTTGGCTAATTGCAAAGCGCTGTCGTTTTGGCCCCTTTGCTTTAGGGCCCTTGATAAAGTGCAACTTAGGGAAAGAGAGTGAAACCCGGTAGTTGGATAGTATGGGCTTCGGTAATTAAATTCGAGAGTCCGCACCCATGTGGTAAGTGTTTGGACAGCGAACGTTTTTAGAAAATAAGTGGCTCTGTGACTGACTAATTCAAATGGAAAATCGAAATGCAGACGTGATAATTCTATTCGCTATTGTGTAATTATATAGTGGCAGCACGCTTCGATTACAATTAAATCGCCGACTTCTATACGTATGAATTGCGATGTTAAACACATGGAACGAAAGGCATACGCAAATTATATAATCAGATGACTTTGACCTAGGCTTTTAAAGACACATTTTAAAAGTTGTTGTGATTTAGTTAGTTACAAAGTTAGAAGATCCGTTCCTAATCCCCTGGTTCCTTCGATTCAAAAAACTAGTATACATTTTGTTTTGTCAGCTTACACTGTAATCGTATATATATTTCAGTTTTGTAGTGAAAAAAAACACGTTGAATTCGCCTTTCACCGTTTAGCGCGCAATTTCAACATAAATATTTATATTTAGGCCCTTAATTAAATCCTAAGTTGAATAAGAACCAAACAAAGGCCCCAAATACAAGAAGTAGTACAAGTTTCATAACTCTATCCAATACGTAATACCTGTAAAAGCAAATGTGCCTTACTATAGCCACTTGAATGTAATCGATTGCTACTTACTTAAATAAAATCTTGCGACCGTTGGCAATGGATTCTGGTGTCCTGAGATCCTTGAACAGATAGAGTCGAATTCCTTCCATGACATACTTGAAATACTCCATCCAGTCGATGACCGACATGTCAAAGTTGAAGATTCTCTTGTCCTCCGCCGACATAGACTGCCACATCTGATCGGTATTTTTCGTGTCCATGATATACGACTTATTAGAGAAGGGATACAATAGTTTTATGCCTTCGTGGATCTTATGATAGCTCTTTATCATAACGGATTTCTGTCCTTTGAGGCGTAAGGTGACATCAATCAGGAATCCGGGCAACATGTGGTACAGATAGACGCCGACATCAAACAGCCAGGAGCAAGTGATGTTATGACTAAACGGGTACCAAACCATCTTGGTATTCGGTGCATCCAGACCGTATTTGTAGCAGTTATTAATTAACTCCCCGTAAGTGATGGGATTCGACTGGGTGGGTGAGTAGGTGTAAATGGGTGGATCGATCTTCCTATCCTTTTTGGCGACCTTGGCTATTTGGACAGCTGATGCAATGGCCACGTTGGCACAGTAATCAACTGGTATTATATGGACATTTACTTTGAGGTTGACCAACATTAGGTGGATAACCCCGTAGGCAATGCCATAAATGCTGGCTACCAGTCCTTGCAACCCGTCAATCCATCCCGGTACTGGTTCCTTGAAGGATGATAAAACTGCAAGTAAAAAGCTATGATTAGAAGAGAACATTTTTTGTAGATTTCGTTTGCTACTGTTGAGACACACATTAAAATATGTGATAAACACTAAAGATGTTTCCATTTTGAACTTCCTGATAAATATTTTTTCTATTAAACCATTTAATCAAGTCGGTTTCCTTCGTACTTTTTAACCCACTCTAAAAAATATATAAAAAATACTTACTAATAGCTGGTCGGAAAACGCCGATTGGCAGGTCTCCGGCCTCTTTCTGAATAATCTGCTCTCCGAGAGCCTTGGTGTAGGTGTAGGTGTTTGGGTATTTTCCGAGTAGGGCCGGTGCCATCCGGTCCACCAGCTCGCCGCTGAGGGAATGGCTCAGGTCGAGAACCTTGTCAACGGGACAGGTCAGGTGCTCCGGATAGAAGCGCTCCTGGGTGTTATTGATTACGCAATTGGAATAGGCGGTGGACACGTGGACGAATGCCTCCAGGCGGAGCATCTCCTTGGCCAGTTGCACCATCAGACGCACTGAACGCGTGTTAATGTTCAGCGCCTGCTGCAGTGGTTCCATGAACCTCACTGAAGCTGCTCCATGCATCACCACCTGCACCTCGGCGATCAGTGTCCTTCGATCCTCATCGCTGATGGCCAAGTCGGAAGAAGCGCAGTCACCCGATATTGGAGTCACTAGCTCGAGAGCACGCGGCTTGTTCTTCAGCAGAATTTCAAAGATCTGCAGAGAGAAAATTAATTGGCAATACCTTATCCCGAATGCAAAGTATCAAAACAATTAACGCTGGGCTTTTAAAAAATATTTAACACTCAAAAAAATATTCACAGAGAGAAGAAGATAATAAGGACTTCACTGGCACACACCTCATTCTTTTTCCAGATTTCAAATCGTCCTTCCACTCCTTCGCCTCGCTTGGCTCTCACCAGGAAATAAATACGTTTCACTTCTGTCGATCGCAACAGCTTTTCAATAATCACTGAAAGTTTTTTTGCCAAAACACTGTTATTATCCTTTGGTCAAAATTGTTCATTTTTATAGATAGCACACCTTTGCCCAGCATTCCCGTGCCTCCGGTTACGAAAACCGTTTTATCCTTATAAAAACTTAAAATTTCACTCGCCATTTTGTTACAAAAATGCTATACACTCGTTGGATTCACTTCATCAAATGAGTTGCTTTAATTCACTTATACGCATTTTATACCATTTTATACTAACCCACGTATTATGTAAGGGTGCAACGATATGCAAGACGAACAGTAATTAGGAATATGTTTTAAGTTGGTAAGCAATTTAAATTGGTAAATACAGTGGGACCTTAACTGCAATCAACTAATATATACGTTTATTATAGTGATCATCATAAACATTTAATTTTTTAAACATCTCAGTTAATTGCCAACAAGAAAAGGGTTTTAAAGTTTTTTATGCATGTGCCGAAACAAAAAAATAAATGAATACGGAACTATTTTTCATTACCAACAAGTTTTACTGTAAAATGTTAATACGAATTTCCAATGTGTGACAACATTTCAAATTTATGGGTAATTACCCTGATACGAGTAACATGCCTTCGCGTTGTACAAAACTATTCCTCTGCTTGAAATGAAGTAATAGTGTAAGAGCTTATATTTACAATGTGCCTTCATAATTCTTATGATGTTTTTTTATATGTCCATATACACATTTATTACATTTATAAGATACTTGGATTATTTTAAATCTGATTACTTTCAAGCAAAATTTATTAGTTAAATGTGTGCTGACTGCCACAAAAACAAAACGTGAAGAAATTTTAACAAATTTCTCTTGATTATTTAGCTATGAGCTCTATAACTTTTATTTTATAGAAACACTTAAGTAATAATGTCAAAATGTTAACAACACAGCAAAATAGTTAAATAAATGTGCAAATCTTGTAAATTTGTTAGTTGCGCTGAACAAGTTTAATCCAAAATCCAGTTTTGGGGGCCAACTGAAATCCGGAACTAGCCAACACAAGTGGAATGCAGGACTTCTTGGCAGGGGTAATTAGGTAATCCTTCACAAGATAATATATAACAGCCTTTGCCTCAAGAAGAGCAAATCTGGAACCTAAAAAAGGGAATTTTACTATTATCCAAGATTCACAGAAGTCTAAGCCGATCCACTTACCAATGCAGTTTCGTTGACCCAGACCAAAGGGATAGTAAATAAATTGATTAATCGAATCCTTGTTTTCCTCGCTGAAACGTTCTGGATCGAACTTATCGGGGTTCTCAAAGTACTTTGGATCTCGGTGGAAGCCACAGGTGGGCAGCCATATGATATCGCCCTTCTTAATTTCCACTTTCTGGCCATCCGCCTCATAGGTAATATCCTTGTTGCACTCTCGATCGGTGGCAATCGCCGGTGGCCACTTTCGCAGCACCTCCGAAACGACCTGATCCAGATACTTCATGCCCATAATGGCCTCGTAGGTCAGCTCCTTGCCGTCTAGATCCCTGTCCACTTGCTGTACCTCCTCGTACAGTTTTTCCTGTACGTCCTGGTTCTCCATTAACTCGTGTGCGGTGAAGCACATCAACACGGCTGAAGTCTCAAAGCCGGCAAAGAAGAACACAAAACACTGGGCCACAATGTCGCGATCGCTCCACTCGCGAACAGCTGTCGTCTTGGTCTTCTCTGTCGGGAGCACACCTTGGGCCTCCATCAGCATGTTGATCATGTCGGGACGGATAATATTATGCTCCTGTCGGTACTTCATGGCATCGAGCACCAGACGCACGAAATATTGAGTGCTCTTTTTATCAAAGAGCTCCAACTTCAGGATCTGAAAAAGTAATTAATAAATGTTTTTAGTTCAGATTTTAATAATCGCTTGGAAAGTTCTTCAAACCTTGCTAAGTTTTTTCCATGTGAAGAACAACATGAACTTAATGTTCTGCCAGAAAGAAAATGTAGTCAGTTTTTTGCCCATCATGTAAAAAGTGTTATCGCGGTCTTGAAACGAGTTGACTTGCAGTCCAAAGGCTGTCGAGGCGATCACATCGTTTGTGAAACGTGTGGAGTAGTCCTTCATGTCCAATTCAGTTCCCTCTTCCGATGTCTGTTCGCTTTTCAGACAGCCCACGGCCTCCTTGGCCACTTGGTTCATCAGCTGGAACATCTGACGCATTTTGGAGCCGGTGAAAGCCGGGCTTAAAGTGCTCCGCATATCCTTCCATCGCGCATCTCGCATGGAGAACAAAGAGCTGCCGAATAGGTTGCTCATGTCATGCGGATCATCATCGCCGCCGGTACCGAAAGTGTTGCGATGATTGATGAAGTGGTCAAAGTCCTTTATCGTAATCTGCTTTATAATATCTGGGTCGCGAATCATAAAAAGTGGTTGCCGCTGCTCGAAGATACCAAAAAATCTAAACAAAACAAAAAACAAGTCTTAATGTTAATGTCCGATAAGCACTTTGGTGAGTCATGGGTAAAAAACCAGAAAGGCTTCCTGGTGCTTTGAAAAAGATTTGAATAATTTTATTTATGAGTTTATGGATGGGTATTAATATGATGGGATAAAATTGATTGGTTGCAATTTAATGGTAGAGGGGAAAAAATTTAATTATTTTAAACCCCTGTAGAGCTTTCTTATTGCATTACAGTACAAATGTTGAAATTCAAGTTAAATTGAGATAATGGCGTTATCATCAAGTACTTAGCTGGATTTTTATCAATTATTTTTACTATCTAAATATGGGCAATCTGAGTGCCCTTCGAAACAAACAACATTTAAAGCTGTCGTATAATCGATAAGATTAAAAAACTTGACTGATAAACACAATAAAGCATTTTGCGACCGTAACATAATCGTAACCCATTGCATTTTATACATTCAACTTCGCACTTTTATCACAATTCAGTAATTACACAAATGCAGCCGCACCCACCATATATGTATTTAGATAGATTATAGATAAATGACCTTGACAGCCTATATACGATACTGAACCCCAATAGATACAGAAATGTTCTAAACGAGTTTTAAGTGCGAACGAGCTTAATCAACTTATCAAATTCGGTTCAATGAATTCAACTCACTTTGAACTTCCTCCTTTTTTGTAGAGATTGCAGACTACGTCGAACATGGCTTTCTTCCGCAAAAACATGTCGGCCATGTTGCCGAAATACAAAGTTGGCTTCTCGTAGGGGATTCCCCGATCCTTGAAGAAATCATTGTTGGCTGTTGCCCAGCGATAGAACAACGCAAAGGCGATCGCTAAGAGCGCCAGGGACTCCCACAACATTTTGGTTAGGCGTTTCGTTCGGCGATCCAAGCGTCGAGATGACAACTAAATACGCCACAAACAACCGGGAGCGTTTTGTTTTCGCTTGCCAGAGCTTTCAATTAAAGCTCTTCGCTCTGCCGCTAGATGCAGTCCGCATTTGATAAAATACTTGTTGTTTATAATGTGCATATGTGTATATTCGGTTTAATCAAGCATGTATTTATGGGTAATAACGATTTAGACGGGCACTTCGCTTTTCATCATCACGGCATATATTGGGTAAGGCTGTCGACTTTGGTTCTCCAGAGAGGTTTGGAGCCAGCTGACAGTCAAGTGCCGGCAACTGCGACGATAGAGCGTTCTAAAACGAACAAAAGCTTATTAATTAAATTATATTTATAGATCCATCAAAGAGATTGCCTCACCTAATCTGCTCTAGGTCCAATTTTTCGTTTGTGTTGTAAAATACCAGATTAGCTTTTCGTGTATCTGTGGTACAAGATCCTCCGTGCTGCGAAAACTGTTCCATCAGGTTGCTTGAATCATTTCCCATTGCAAAGTGGGCCACCAACCCAGTAAATAATTTGCTTTTCGGACTTTTTGGCTCCGGTGTTTTGACTTCCGCCTTTGGTTCTTTTTTAACTTCGGATTTGAGCTCCTTGCTGGGCTTGAAAAAGTCCTTCATCCCCTTTTGTGTTGGCGATAAGCTGCGGCTCACTTTTGATTCCTTGCGTTTGCTAGGCGGTGGAGCTGCTTCCTCATCATCCGAACCTGTTTTTGACCTTTTCTGTTTCTTAGCGTTGTTACAGTTACCGTTGTTCAGTTTTTTCCCTTTTTGGGGCGTCTTTTCGAGATCAAGCGCATCTTGTTCCTCTGATCCACAATTGGCCAATAGCAGATCTACGTTCACATTCTTCTTTGAGGCTTCAAACAGATCTTCCAAGTGTGCGAGATCATTAGCCTCTTTTGCCGATTTATCTATGCGTTGACGAGTAATCCTGGGAAACCGAATCGAGATGCCAGATGCCGTATGTGCCTCGGACTTGGTAAACTCTGCTCCCGTAATCTCCCATACCGGCATTTTCAGGGGATCCTTGGCCAAAACATCTGGCACCAAGGATTTACTGCACAGCAGCCAATCGGGAGTTGCGTTGGCATCAGCCCGTTCCGTAAGCTTGATCAGTGAGTCGTGTACTTCCGCGTTTGTGGCATCGTCCAATCCAGAGTGCACCTTGGTCACGGTCTTCCACAAACGACCCATTGCATCATAACAACCCATGAGAAAGATGCTTAGCACGCCACCTTTTTTCCAGATCCATACCATGCGCCCAGGACTACCAAGTCCGCTGTATCTGCCATCTTGCCGTCGAAAAGGTAATCCTTCTTGACTTTCAACCAGTTTCGCTTTCCCGGCTGATACGTGCTGCTTGGACTCTTTAGCACAACTCCCTCCAGATTGGCGTGCAATACTTTAGCCGTCATCATGGCCAGCTCTTTCTTGGTTTTCAGAAACTCCGACTCGGAGAGCTGTACGTGCGATTTGATAGGCTTGATATTCTGCTCAAGGATTTCACGTCGCTCGCGAAAAGGCCTAGAAGATAAAGATGTCGTTATATCGCATATATTTTGCTTTTATAATTAAAATAATTTCCTCAAAATATAGCAAGTACCAATCCCAGTTTAACAACCTTGCCACTTACAGTTGAGTTAAATCCTCGCCATCGTACAGTATGCAATCGAAAACGAATAGGCACACTGCAGCATTGGCAAATGTCTGCTTTTTATGGGCACCTAGTGATCCAAACGGCAGCAATGCTCCGGTGTCAGTATCGACCAGTATAATTTCCGAGTCCAGGATCATTTCCCCGGCTCCTGGAAAGGCTTTAGGTATGTGCTCCTTTAAGGCCCTTATCTTGTGATCCACCACCGGCTTCAGATTGCGGCTGAAAAACTTAAAGTCGTCGCCCTGCTTGTGGATTTGAACTCGCTCTCCGTCGTATTTAATTTCACTGTACAATCCCGCGGGACTCTTCTTGAAGGCTTCCTCAACGGACTTGCAGGCACTGGCTAACATGGGCGATATAGGAGTCATAACCTGAATTCCGCTTGGGTTCGATTTCTTTGCCTTCTTAAGCGTGCTGATAGCGGCATCCTTTTTGTTCACCTTGCCGGAAAACTGTTGCACAATGGCCACCAAATCACGGGAAGACTGATACGCTGGATAAGCTTCAGGACCAAAAGCATCCAGAATGTGTCTAGCTCGTGCATTTATACGCAGATCATGCTTTACTAGACGGATGAAAGTACGCAGATCCAGGTCGGTGGACTTCTTGCACAGCTCCTGCAGTAATTCTGTCTGCTCGTCTTCTTTAGTGCGCTCCACCAGCTTCAGAAGCAGCTCCTCTACCTCCTGCAGATACAGTTTGCTTTGCGATTGCGGCTTCAGTTTCTTGGACGAGGCAAAGTACTTGCGCAAAGTCTCCGATACATCTCCGTCTATAAAAAGGGGACAATAATTAGGTTTCTCCAGGTGAGATCAAATGAATATCACTTGCCCTGCTCCAAGTCCAGATGCATTTGCTGCTGGTTTGCATTAAAAATACGCGAGAAAAGCTTGATGAGCGCCTTGTTCTGCAAATTGTAGACCCGCTGGTTAGCAGCAGGAATAAGGAACTGCACCCAGAGCAGGGTGTCTCCCTCGAAGCCCTTGCCACTGGTTCCTTTCGCGAAAAATCGCTGCAGTTTCTCCGCCATCTTCAGATAGCTCGATTCGCCGGCTATTTCATCACAAATTCGAGTGAAGGTATCCAACTTGTTGTCGTCGTTATGCATCTTTTTGCTGGACATCTTTGTGCTGATAATTCTTTTAACAGTTCTGATTTGCCACGTTAGCTTCGAAAATAACATATGCGCACGAAGTACAAATTAAAAATGAATCATTTATTTATTTCACAGAACAATGCAAGCAGATTTTCGATTCACGAGTAAACAAGTCCGGCACTTTCGATTCTAATCAGCTGTTGAATGCTAAACACGCACTCGGCGGCGTGTTAATTGGCGGCTCGAGAGTTCTGCAATGCCGTTACGAATTTGAAGCCCAGCCGCCAGAACGAGTGCAGATTAGATTCCACGACTTTAACGTACCCACGGAACATGAGAATTCCACGGGTTGTCAGCCGGGCGATGCCCTCCATGTGGTCACCGAGGTGCGCGGACGATACGAGACGCAGGAACTCCTCTGCGGCGCCTTTTTGCCAAAGCCCCTGATGTCTAGTGGATCAAATTTGCACCTACAGTTCGTCGGAAAATATCCACCCGCCATGACCAATAAGGTTCAGTACTACGGATTTCGCGCAGAGTATCGCTTTCTAACCAGTTAGTATTTTTACTAAACACTTACCGTTTTAACGCTTTTCCACAGGAATACATTTTAACCTTATGGATTATTGTTATTTATTATTTGTTAACTAAATTTGAATAATCTTTTCATTTTAAGATTATGGCATCATGTCCGGCGTGCAAAAAGATGATTGTTCTTTCGTCTACAATAGCAGCGAGCGAATAAGTGGCCTCTTTCACTCCCCAAATTTTCCTGGCTATTATCTGGAAAACGTGGTGTGCAATTATTATTTCTACGGAGCCAGTGATGAAAAAGTAGTGCTGCATTTCACCTACTTTGATGTCGAAGGCATTGGAACGTAAGATCACCATCATAATTTTAGTTTAAATATACCTTATTTTTCAAATATATTTACTATCCAGTTGTGACCACCAGACTGCCAGTGACTATATAGAGTTTTCGAATTTTATGAGCACGGATCGGAAGTACAGCAGATATTGCGGAAGGCTACCAGATTTTGAAATGCGTTCGGACGGGCGCTTCTTTCGCGTTACCTTGCATTCAAATGATCGATTCGTGGCCATAGGGTTTCGCGCCCTATACACATTTGAAACCATTCCACTAAATAATTCTATACCGGATCTGCGAGATAATGCCTCCATGCAGAGCTTCGTCTCTTCAGCTTCATCCTTCTCGGTTATTGACTTATCAAAGTTGATATTTTGTTTATCTTATATTTATATAAAATTCCAATAAAGATATTACAGTTTAAAAGAGAAGAATATTTCTTATTTTTAACCAAGCTCAAACTCTATTTTATTTATAAATATCTACTAAATAACTTTTCGAATACTTTAGGGTTTTACCATAATTAGAAAAAATCTGTTTAAAATTTGAAACTTAAGCCAGAAATATCGTTTGAGACAAAATAAGTCGATAGAATAGTAATCGTAACTCGGCTTATACAAAATAGTTTATTAGTTTAAGAACAAACCAATGAAAAAAATGAAGAAGTTAAATGTTATACAGAGCTAGAGCTGTAAAGAATTTAACTGTTAATTTTTTTTTTTAATAATAAAGCTAAATAATTAAAATCACAATATAAGGAACCGTGTGAGCGAAACACTTGTTGCTATCTTTTATCGATCATTACCTGTACGATTTCATTTTGTGAAGTCACTGCGCGACTATCTACAATAAATACAGCTGTTATTCGGAGAGATTATTAATAACATTCTGCCAGTCGCTCGGAGCAGCCGAATCACCACAGAGCCTAGAATTGATAACACAATTCTAGCCAAATCATTTAAAGCGCATAACAGTGACCTCTGGAATGGCGGCGAAAAAACTGGATGCCATCATCTTCGGTGCTTCCGGATTCACCGGAAAGTACACCGTTTTCGAGGCGGTCAGCGTGCTCAAGGGCCTCACATGGGGCATCGCCGGTCGCAACCAAGAGAAGCTGGAGTCGGTGCTAAAGGAAATGGGAGCAAAGTCCAAAACGGATCTCTCCCAAACGCCCATCGTAATTGCGGACGTGAACAACGAGGCGTCGCTTCTGGAGATGGCTAAACGCTGCCGGATTGTGGTAAATACGGCTGGACCGTACCGATTCTTCGGTGAGAAGGTGGTCAAGGCCTGCATTGAGGCGGGCACCCACCACGTGGACGTCAGCGGAGAACCGCAGTACATGGAGACGATGCAGTTGCGCTACAACGACCTTGCCAAGGAACGTGGGGTGTACGTGATTAGCGCCTGCGGATTCGATTCCATTCCCGCCGACATGGGCGTCACCTTCGTGGAGAAGAACTTTGACGGAGTGGTCAACTCGGTTGAGAACTTTGTTCACATGGGCGTCAAGGGGGGAACCAAGGGAACCGGAAGTGCTGCCCTAAACACCGGAACCTGGGAGAGTGCCATTCACGCCATCGCCAACCGGAGTGAGTCGTTAGCCATCCGCCGTAAGCTCTTTCCCGAGCGCCTTCCCAAGTTCCAGCCGAGTCTGAAAAACCGATCTCCGCTGTCGCGCGCTCCCGAGGTGGGCAACAAAGTGATCCTGCCTTTCCCCGAAACTGATCGCTCGGTGGTGATGCGCTCACAGCGATTCCTCTACGAGCAGGAGAAGAAGCGTCCCGTCCAGATGCAGGCCTACATGACATATCCCTCATGGTTCGCGGCCAGTGTTGTTGTGCTCTTCGCCTCTGTGATTGGAATCATGGCAAAGTTCTCCTTCGGCCGGCAGTTGCTGCTCAAGTACCCAAGCGTCTTTTCCGGTGGAATGGCTTCCCGTGATGGACCCAGCGAGGCCAGAATGGAGCGTTCTTTCTTCAAAATGACAATGAAGGCCACAGGATGGGACAAATCAGACAAGCTGGCCGAGAGTACGGATCAGTACAGCTCTCCGCCTACAAAAACATTGACCGTGACGGTTACGGGTCCCAATCCCGGCTACGGATCGACCTGTGTGGCCCTGCTCTTCACGGCCAAGACCATCCTTAGCGAAAGCAACAAGATGCCCGGAACAGGTGGAGTCCTGCCGCCTGGAGCCGCCTTCCGGGAAACCAGTCTCATCAGCGAGCTGGAAAAGCACGAGCACGGCATTAAATTTGAGATTGTCGCCAACAAGTAGAGCATTCATTAATACGGAATGTAATATTTATTGGACTTGTAATTAAGGAAAAATTAATTATTCAAAATATACATACTTAAGTATTGATGATTTATTTTCCTTTAAATTAAAGTGTATCATTTTCCAAAATGCCTTCTTGTTATTTATGTGTAAGCCGTTAATTATTATTATTCGCCTTATTAAAGAACTTCAAATAGTAAATTAAAAGATAACCAGTTTTATCATTGTTCATTAAATATATCGAACTCTATTTCGAACTAGTTCGGGCCACAATTCTTTAATAACTTTAACACACGGTCACACCGATAGAAATTTGTTTTGTTTGGTCATCGCTATCGCTCTTGTGGTACCTCTTTGTTGTTTACCTTTTGCTCATTACCGTTTTGGACGCCAACGCGAAAATATACAAATTATGAGTGCTGAAATATCCGGCTTCCGACGGTTCCTTCACTGGGGGCCAATTACAGCCCTGAGTAAGTAGTGGCCGGCCTAATAAGCAGTTCTTGTCGCGCAAACTGCTGTCTGTCTGGAGTGGATCCAATTTGCAAATGGGTGAAAGTAGAGTTGAAGTGAACTGTTTCCAAGATGGGCAAATTTCGTGGGCGGTACTTGCTGCAGCCACGCCCCACTCCCGTTTTGTTTTTGGTCTGCGCCATATCGTGTTTCATATTCTACTATGCACGCCACACGGAATATTTAGACCCCAATCGGTTGTCAACCCACCAGGGACTTTTAATTCGTTTAATGTGCCGCGCTAATTGCGTTTTAGTTGTGAGTCGTTTGCCTCTTTTTTGCTGTGTACCCGTGTCCCCGGATCCTTTGCACCCTTGGTCCTTGGAGCCTATCGGAAATTTCACGGGGCTCCACAAATATGGCGTGCAAATTGCTCGTTTGACCGCTGGTCGGGCAGACGGCATAAGACTTCCGGGCCTCCACGATATCGAAATTGATATACAATTGTTCCTGGAATAATGGCTTTATTAGACGTCGGCCGCTTGTTGCTGCTTCTCAAAAGAAATCGGAATCAGTCAGAGAAGGGCCAATGTTGGCCATTACTGGACCGTGGTGCCGGCTAATCAACTCGAAAAGCGACAATAAACTAAATAAATGAGCCTTATTTCCTCCGCACGCAATTGCCAAGCGAAGCATGGCCACCAAATCCACCCTTAACCAACCAAAAACTATGTATATCAAATTTCGTACGTGAATATGAATCACTCTAACGTTTATCTAACTCTTCCCCTTGCAGGTATCATCAAATGCATAACGCTGACGACGCTCTATATGAACTCGATGTGGTGGCCGCCGAATGAATCATTCGCCGGTTTCGCCCACCAGGCGCTGTTCCTGCTCCTCTCCACGCTGGCCACATTCAATTACGTCATGGCCACGTTGACAGGACCCGGACTGATGCCAAAACAGTGGCAGCCGAAGGTAACCGGAGAACCCCAGGGAAAATGGAATGGGAGGGAAGCGTTTGTTGTGACACAATTTCTTTTCGACCACCTCCATTCGCTCGAGACACCTGTTACCATTGATAATGCCTTTCGTTGGCTCCGAAAACTGTTGACCCGTCACGAACTGCCAAAGTACTTAGTCCAGGGGTGGTTCCAGTCCCTTTGTGCATCGTCATTCCGAAGCGGAAGCAATTGTTTAGCGTCCGATGAGAAGGTGCCGAGGGCTCTGTGGGCGTGGTGCCTCTAGAGGGCTTCCTTGCGTGGCTTAAGGCCAGACAAATGGGCCAACCCGGCCCACTAGCGTGTGTGACTGCTTATCGCATAATCCGCGCCAATTAAACGCTGCAATTTATTTTAAAGAATCCGGACCCACCGGAGAATCCAAAAAGATGTCGTGCAAGGGGCGCCACCACCGACTGTAACGTTTTTCGACTCCCATTCATTTTGTCCGTCCGTAGCGCGACCCAAATATAATTTATTAGCGACGGCGACTCCTCACATTACGACCGGTCCCTGCACGCGAACGCATTCTGCGGGCTCCAAAAGTCCGTAATGCAATTACCCGAATTTACATAAATGTTTTGTAGGCGAGCCCAGACGCAAGAGGGGCGGACTAGATGGGTTAGTTGGGCGACCCTTGAGCTATGGGCGGTGGTCACTTAATGAGCTGTGCGTCGTTAAGTTTTGTTGTACCTGGCTGTTTCGGGAAACGCGCATAAATCACGAGTAATATGCTTATTCTCTGTATTTTAATGAATTTTAATTTTTTGGCAGGATCCCAAGGACGCTCAGTTCCTGCAGTACTGCAAGAAGTGCGATGGGTATAAGGCACCCCGCTCCCATCATTGTCGCAAGTGTAAGTCTACATACTGGGCGAGAAATTAAAATCGCCATGAAATAATAATTTGCATAAAAATTAAAAAATAATTCAGCTAGCTGCATGTCATAAAAACTACTCAAAACAGTAAAAAAATTAACAACACCATTAAGCTTTCCATCGTACTCATACATAACTATGAAAAATAATTATAATGGTGAAGGCCGAAATTAATTTGTGTGCCACATTAACTCTTATGAGTTAAATATTTTCTATTTTTTAAATACAATGCGATTTTTGTTACATATACAAATATAGGAATATCGATGTTTTTTCTCTTGACCTTTGAAATTTATTATTTATTGTTAATATTTATTGTTAAATAAACACCAATATCTTGCATTGTTTAATCTCAGGTGATCGCTGCGTCAAGAAGATGGACCACCACTGCCCGTGGATCAATCACTGCGTTGGCTGGGCCAACCACGCATATTTCACCTACTTCCTGCTGTTCTCCATCCTGGGCAGCCTGCAGGGAACGGTGGTATTGTGCTGCTCCTTCTGGCGCGGCATCTACCGCTACTATTATCTCACTCACGGACTGGCGCACCTGGCCAGTGTCCAATTCACGCTGGCAAGCATAATCATGTGCATCCTGGGCATGGGCTTGGCCATTGGAGTCGTCATTGGGCTGAGCATGCTGCTAGTCATCCAGCTAAAGACGATTGTCACCAACCAGACGGGCATAGAAATCTGGATAGTGGAGAAGGCCATTTACCGACGATACAGGAATGCCGACAGCGATTATGAGTTCCTCTACCCGTACGATTTGGGTTGGCGCCAAAATCTGCGACTGGTATTCAACGACGAGTGCCAAAAGCAAGGTGATGGCATCGAGTGGCCCGTGGTGGAGGGTTGCGATCAGTACACATTAACGGTGAGTAAGCGAAATTTATTTTAATAAAGCGTGTGTTTATTATTTATTCATTATTTTCAGCGGGAGCAACTGGCACAGAAAGAGGAGAAGCGGGCTCGAACCCGCACTTTCAGGTGCACTAGACCCGTAACGGGCCGCTGGCTGCCGATATTCTCGCAGGGATGGCGGGTTTGCCTGGCCGCTCCCTGTTCCGATGAACCGCGAATCCGCCTGCGAACCGACGACATTGTTAGGGTCACCCGCTTCCGCAACCACTGGCTGTTTGGCGAGCGTGTGCCCTCCGAACAGGAACTGAGTGGCGACAAGAAGCTACAGCGCAAAGGTCACATCCGCGGCTGGTTTCCACGACGCAGTGCAGTCGAAGTAATCGAGGCAGTGCAAGAGTGCAGTGGCGACAGCAACCAGGGGTCGCCTCCAACACAGAATGGCAACGCTCACAGCCATCTAAAACAGCAGCAACGAAACGGACACGCCAAAAAGTACATGTAGCCCGGTAAACGGGCAAAGATCATCTCACGGCATTCCATGCCACTTCCTCCGGCTTGTAAATAGAATTAGATACCGCTTGGAGACTTGACTCTATCACGCTTAACCAGGCCGCTGTCTCGTTTACTCTGTTAACACTGTCGACCAATAAAAAAGTACGCTAAAGTTGATATAAGCTGTTATTCGAAGTTAATCAACAGATAGCCAGCATTATTGTTCGATTTTTCCAGATAGACAGTGCATTTCTCTACATCACTGAGTGTACGAATTACAAACCTTATTTTTTAGACCTCAATTAGTTTATTTATTGGTTAATACATAATTTGATTATGATACAGTATATTACATGTGCATAGGTGTATTAAAGGTTGCCCAATATTTATATTTCATATTTATGTTGAGCTCATTGTTGCCTCGATTTCCTCCACAGTGCGTGGCACAATAGCAAAGTTCTCGACTCCCGTCTTTGTGATTAAAACATCGTCCTCAATACGTACGCCACCAAATCCTCGAAAGCGATTGAACATTTCCACGTTGATATACTTAGCAATGTTCGGATTGGCCAGTGCGCCGTCCATCAGCCAGTTGATAAAGTAGCAGCCTGGCTCAATGGTAACATACATGCCAGCCCTAAGGATGCGGGCGAAACGCAATTTGCTCAACCAAGGCTCACTGGGACGCTTCGGCTCCGCGGGCAGGTATCCACCCACGTCGTGCACATCCAGGCCGATCAAATGGCCCAGTCCGTGAGGCTGGAACACGCCGGAAACTCCTGCCTCGAGCATCTCCTCTACGTCGCCGGTCAGCATGCCGCCCTCTTTTAAGCGCTGCAGAAGCACCCGGCCCGCCAGTTTGTGCATGTCCACCCAGGACACTCCATCTTTGGCCGCATCCGTCACCGCATTGCGTGCATCCAGCACAGCGTTGTAGATGAACTTCTGGTCATCGGTGAATTTTCCGTTCGCCGGAAATGTGCAGGTAATGTCAGCCGCATATCCGCAATAGTTTGCACCCATGTCGAACAGGCACAGATCGCCATCCTGGACAGGCCGACTGTTTGGAGCTCCGGCGTGTCCGTAGTGCAAGATTGAGGAGTTTGTACCGCTCCCGCAGATGCAAGTGTACGAGGCATGTCGGCATCCGCCCACGGAGTAGGCGTGGTGCAGGAACAAGGACTCTCCCTCGAACTCCATGCGACCCGGTCGCATAAACTTCATCACCCGGATATGGGCGTCCGACGAGACCTTGGCCACGTAGCGCAGCACCTCGATCTCCGCAGGCGACTTGATCACACGGCACTCGGAGAGGATGGGATAAAGTAGATCGCAATCGGTCACATACTTCTCCTTTCCCTCGAACTCCGGGGGCTGGAGGGTGAGACCACTATCGCTGTTGGTGCCACTTAGAGTGAGTATCAGCTTGGGCGACGCCCCCTCCAGATAGACGTTGAGTTCATCGACATAGAGCACCTCGTCCGCCTCGTACATGTTCTTGAAGTCCTGCGTGCTTAGTAGTTCGCCCATCCAGGTACCGTACTCATCCGGAAAACGTGGCACGAACAAAACGCTCTTTTGACCACCCGTTTTCACATCAATGGTGAGAATGCCGTAGCAGCCAGGCTCTTTAACCCCGAACAAGTACTGGAAGTAGGACTCCTGCCGGAACACGTAGTCCACATCGGTGTTGTAAAAGCTCTTGTCCTTGCCGCCCTCAAGAAGCACCAGCAGGTTGCCCGCATCGAACTTGAGGCCCGGGAGCAGCTCCTTGAGAATCGCCTTTACCGCACGATCCCGGTTGTCCCGAAAGAGGCTCATGGGCACTAAATGGCTACCCGATCCCATCTGGAAGGCTGCCATGGTGATGCGACGGAGGACAAAGTTTAACTGCTTAGTGGGCCAACAATGTGAACAAGTGCTCAACCCAGTAAGATTAGCTGATAAAAGTCGCGGGCAACAAAGGCAGTAAATTATGTTTTATCAGTGTTTCTGTTTTTGTGGTTGCAACAGTATGACCGAGTATCAAACGCCAAAACAAACTAATATAAAAATGTTGTTGTGATTAATTTTTTTTTTTTTTAATTAGATTAAACATTTTAAGATTTGTTTTACTCCTTTTTCAAACGTTTTTATTTGAAAAGAGTAATTTACGATGTTCTCCTTCAAAAAGGAGTCAAACATATTTTGAATATATTTCGGTTTTGAACTATGAACTGGTTCTGAATAGCGACGCACAAAAACTATCGATTGCTTACGGAATCGGCAGCATTCCCAAGTCTGGTCACACTCTTGCAGCTTTTATTGCAAATTTTTATTTCCATAATTCAAGAGAATTTGCATTTCAGAGCGGAAAAGCAGCGGTTTTGCGTTCAAATACCAGCCACTGGACAGCCAACTTGAGGAATCAGCCTTTGGAGTATCATCAGTATTACGTGTTCGGAATATAAATCCCAGTGACCCGTTTCCTTTCGATGTCCAATGTCGGCGTCACAACGCGGCGAATGCAACAACAAATGAGTCGTATTGTTCTAATCGAATAAAGTGCCGACTAGTCCAATGAGACGTTAGCGACTATCAGGAGTAGTCGGCGCCATGTCCAGTTCGGTGTTTACGGAGTCGCCCAGTGCCCGGCCGGCGGCAGCAGATGCAGATTCCAATCTGGTGGTGGTCTACAGCAAGAATGGAGTTTCCTTCGACGAGCGCGCCATCGGGAACATCATGGGTAAGTGTCCTACTTTCAGTTCACCATTCATCCCAAACTAACTTGGTTTCCGGTAGAGGAAAAATCTATTTCCACCATCAGCGTGGTCCGTCTCACTTCGCCTACGCCAAGTATGGTAGACCAGGAGGAGGCCGAACGGCTAGAGGAGCTGGCCAGCTTCATGGACACGGCCACGGACTCGGAGCTGGACAGTGACAACGGTAGCCAAAGTGACGACGAGGATGCCAGCGATGCGGACGCCCAGGAGGAAGAGAATCAAAACACTGGCGAGGAGAACAATGATGACTCCACGGAGTCGGAAACCGATGCCCCACGCACACGCAGGCGCGTTGGCCGGAAACCGAAGATCATCAAGAAAAAGAAACGTCGCCGGCCAAAGGAACGACCTCAAATCGTGGGTCTTCGAGTAGAGCAATTTTATGCGGACAGCACCGCCGATATGGTTGTAAAGAACGCACTAAGTAAATAACGCACATAGCTGCGGTCAAAATAATGGAATATTACATTACCAAAACTTTATTATCTTTTTAGTTACCTTAGTCACCAACTAATATTCATCTCTTTTACAGAGCTCGCCGGAGTTTCCCTCTACAAGAGGACTCCTGAAACAGACGCTTTGATGGAGGTTATCCGTAACGACCACAACTACACACCGTTCACCTCTCCCGAGCAGCTGAAGAACCACAAACGGGCCGAGAAAGTGGCAATGGATATGCAGGCCCAGAGTCGCAAGATCATAATGCAGGCACCTAGCAATGTCAAGCTAATTAATGCCAAAAAGCGGATGCCACCCATTCACTTCAGTCCGCTGCAGGTAAAGGTCCAGAGACTGCCCGTCAAGCCCCACCAAGTTCAGCAGCCTGCTCAACCGCAACCGCAGTCAAAGGTGCATCTGATCCGCAAGACCATCCAGCAGCCACTGCCAAGACAAAAGCCAGAGATTATTACGAGTAGCATGGTGAACGTCAGGCCGAGACAAACACGGGCTCCCGTTAAGGTGATTGCTCCCGTGCAGGAGTACATTGAAGACGACGACGATGCCCAGAGCTCGAATGCCGCTGAAGAAGAGACTGCTGATAAGTCCTACGACACGGAGGAAATGAGCGAGGACAGCGATGACTTCCAGGACTCCGACAACGATAGGGACAGCGACATGGACTTCGATATGAGGCGCAGCGGCGGCCGAAATCCGAACAAAAGGAAGCGAGTGCGAAAGGTGGTCAGGGCTGTTCAAACGCCCAAAACGGCAAAGCCTCTGCCCCCGCATCAATCAACTCCTCAACACTTCCCCGAGCTGAAGAAACGCAAGGAAATTGTAGAACAGAAGGCTCCGCAGATCGGTCAAATCATCCAGCTGCCTCCGAAGGCGCCGAGCACAGTGATTGCCTTGGGCAGAGGTCTTCCAAGCACTTCGTTCCTTAAGATTCGACCAACTCATCAGACGCTGCCGGTCAAAAAACCTCCACTGCCAACGGCACCGCCAAATACCAAGGTGCGGCGTATGCCGGTTCTACAATATGGTCGGATTATAAACTCCACCACTCCTGGAGTTTTTACAGCGCCGCAACAAGATGTCAAGGAGATTATCATTAACAAGAACATGGCCAGCCCTAAGGGCGTGTTCACCAATCTCAACAGCCTGTTGGGGGAGAACAACAATGCAACTATTAAATCCTCGCCAGATCCTTCGCGCCATCGGGCCATCATGTCACCGAGCACGCCGAGATCGAGTTACAGTCAGCAGCCGGCGCCAATCGTGGTCCCTGTCCCTGCCCAAGCTTCGACCCCATCCAAGGGCTTCATGCCCATCGGCGTGGACACGGCTCAGTCGCATAAGTTACCCGCCCAAATAGTGATCGAGACCCACCAGAGCTCCTCCGAGTTGGCAGCCGAAAACGACAAGCAGCTCGATCTGATTAACTCGATTGTGCAGGACGAATTGCTTAAGTCAACGTTAGTGGAGGAGCCGCCAGTGAACGCAGACGAAAACATACCAAAACTTGTGAAGATGTTGGAAAGTACCGCAGCGGATCTAAATCCTGCACCAGTTTCTTTGCCCAATCAGAACTTTGCCACTTCAGGCTTGGAGGGAGATGCAGATTTGGTGGATCCCATTGACATAATGGATACGCCCGACGAGGATGAGATAACGGCAGATTTCCTTCAGCACGTAGTGGGTCTTATCGAGGAGGACAAACAGTTTGAAGCCGAGGTGGTGAAGCAAGTGTTAGCAAGCACCGAACCAGGAGCCCTAGACGCCATTGTGTCGTTACCCACTTCAATTCAGCCTGTAGTCCTACCGCAAACATCCACAGTTCTGGTAAGTTTATAGCCTCCTGCTCTTTAAATTCAAAGCTTATCTGGGTCACTTTACTTTTTTTCAGCCACAAGCGAATCTGCCGACTCCTGCAGTCATTGCAGAACCCGCGCAATCGATGACCTCATTGCCTATGGCCTGCAGCACACCCTCGAGGAGCGTGGCAAACACTCTGCCCTCCTCGGCGAAGGTAGTGCGTGGCAACGGTCGAGTCATTTACCTGCCTCCCATGGAAGCGCCCACCACGCGGGCCAAGCGTCGAGCGCAGTTTCCCTCGTCCTCGGGAATGTCCACCAGCAGCACGGCGGAATCGGGCAACCTCTCCTTTGGCGAAACGTCGCTGGATACGAGCACCAATCAACTGGCCAATAGCAGCAGCCTGAGCAATGACAGTCAATCGGGAATTGGGCCAAAACGTCCAAATCCCAGAGAACCATCGATGGCCAGGCGTTCCACAGTGCCCAGAAGATCTAAGAAGCTTAACACAAGTCAAAACAATGATCCCGAGGCTTCCGAATCTCAAGAGGACGATGATGACCCCAATAAGTAAGCAATAAATTTAAATAGGCATAGGCCCTTATTAATAACTCAACAAAAAACATTTTAAATATCAACTAATTAATCCCGATTTTTGGTTAACAGGCTTTGGTGTATTTGTCGTCAGCCACACAACAATCGTTTTATGATCTGTTGCGATCTCTGTGAAGATTGGTTCCACGGAACATGTGTGGGAGTAACCAAGGCCATGGGCACAGACATGGAAAACAAGGGCATCGACTGGAAGTGCCCCAAGTGTGTAAAAATGCAGGAAGAGAAGGTAACGTAAAATAAGTAGTTGAGAGTTATAATTATATTACTGATATTTTAATTTTTTAGAGCCAACCACGAATAACAGACATGTTAGTCACCAGAACACCCGCTCAAATTGAGGAAAAACCTATTGAAACCAAAGTACTAACGGCACCAGCGGAGATTGTTCATGTTGCGACTCCTTTGGCACCCAGGCGAACTCTACCCGTGGGTGTTACTGTGGCAAGTTCTCCTATACGTGTTCCCATGGTGAAACCAGCCAAGAAGTTTCCTCCCAGCACAATCCCTCACCAGCAGCAGCAGCTAAACTTTATCAAATTGGGTCCAACACCTGGTAACCGGGTTTCGGAGACAGTTTGTGTGGTCTGCAAGCGGCCAGCGGGTCCGAATTCAGTTTACTGTGGCGAAGAATGCATACGAAAGTATGCACAAAACGCTTTTCACGCCCACACCGCTACGAAGAGCCCAGAAAGTCCGTTGCCACACAATGCCAGCGCCCAATCGCCACTGAACAACTCTTTGGAGGCCAAGAAAAACAAAAGAAGGATCTCTTTGAGGACGTGTTGAGGCAAGCGGACTCTGTCTCGAAAGTGGAACGGGTAAGCAAGAAGCCGGATTTTAATATACGTGTTTATTTTTTAAAAAATATATTATTTCCTTTCAGATAAATGTGTTTGAGCGTAGAACTGGAAGAGTAATCACCGGCCATTTGGCACCCACCGCCCATCAGTTCCGAAAATGGCTACAAGAGAATCCTACCTTCGAGGTCTTGCCCTCAGGAGCCTTCCAATCAACCGACCCAGAGGTATGGGTATTTTCTTATTTTGTAATGCACAGTTATCACTTAAAATGTATTTATAGAAGCGTCTGCTTAAACGGCCATTGGAATCACCCTCATCCACCGAAGTGGCCGTACCTGCAGTAGCAAAGAAGACGCTTGAAACCGCGACTAGATTATCTCAACCCATCACGGTTCAGGTAAACCCAGTGGCCGTCTCCTCCATGCGACCCTTGCCCAAAAAGGAGAAAGAGAAGCCTCCCTCACAGTTAACCACACCTAGTCGTAGTCCTGGCAAGCCAGAGCCAGTTCGAATTGGCATTCGGCGGTCACTCAGGGAGCAATTGCTGGCGCGGATCAAGGAGGCCCAGGCTGCAGAGCTAACCTCTGGCCAGACCACAACGCAATGGCTGACAGCACTTCAGGTGGACCAGTTCGTAAAGGGCGTGGAGTCGGAAATGTTTAACTCGTTCGGAAGAGACGTGGGAGCCAAGTATAAGGCCAAGTATCGGTCGCTAATGTTCAACATTAAAGATCGCAAGAACAAGACTCTCTTCGAGAAAATTTGTGCCAATCAAGTGGAACCAAAGCAACTGGTGAGAATGACACCCGAGGAGTTAGCTAGCCAAGAGTTGGCCAAGTGGCGAGAGGAGGAGAATCGACACCAGCTGGACATGATCAAGAAATCAGAGCTAGACATGCTGTCGTGCGCCCAAAACTATTTAGTGAAAACTCACAAGGGCGAGGAGGTTATCGCCAGCAAGGTGGATGTTACGCTGCCCGATGAAGACGTTAACGAACCAACAACGGTTGACAAAAAACAGTCGTCGCTGGTCAGTGAATCGGATACCTCCTTACTAGACCGCTCCTCATCTAAAGATAAGTCGGGAACATCGAAGGAGAAGCGCCACAAGAGCCACAAACATCATCATCGCAAACGCAGTCGAAGTCGATCGAACAGTCGGGGTCGAAACGTCGAGAAGCGTCATCGCAGGCACCACAACGAAGGGGATTCTGTTACTAGTTCTGGCGGAGGAGAACGAGAGCATCGCTCCCGCGAGAAACAAAGTAGAGATAGAGACGAAGTTGTCCGCTCGCCTTCACTTAAAAAGCGAGAAGAAAGCAATCAGTCGCCGGTGGCTAAGAAGATTCCGGAAAAGAAAACAGAGGCGAGTGCCAATAATCTGATTGATCAAATTCTGGAATCGGAGAAAACAGTTGAGCAGGCTGCGAATCTGGGACAACCTAAACCGTCACCCAAGCCGCTTCCAACGCTGCCAAGTTCCACGAAAGCACCCGAGCCATCAGATAGCTACTCCCGCTATGTGCAGGGCTTGAACACGAGTGCACTGTGGTCCGGGCCACTAAAGATGATTGACGTGACCGACTTCGAGATGGCCATGTACCCGGTTTTGGGTAACTGTCTTCAGCTGGGCAAGCTAATGCCCAGCCGGCTGGACGTGATTGGTCGCATTACCCGCGTTAATGTCTGGGATTACATCACAAAGCTGAAGAAGAGCCCCACAAAGGAAGTCGTAATCGTAAATATCTTCCCCGCATCCCCTAGCGAGACGTTCAAGTTCGACCACTTCTTCGACTACCTCGACTCGCGTCAGCGGCTGGGCGTCATGGGAGTGGATTCAGATCAGATCAGGGACTTCTACATATTCCCCTTGGGCAGCGGCGATGAGTTGCCGCCGGCGCTACAGACCACGGTACGCGTGCCTTTTTACGAGGACGCCCAAAGACCCAACACACTGCTGGGTATCATTGTGCGTTGTCTGAGCAAGCGACCTGTAGAGACCCAGTCTACGCCTCCATCAGTGCCTTCTCCGGTTCCCTCATCAAGCAATAAGATGGCAAAGGTAATAACTTGTTAACTGAAAGCTTCATCAGTTTAATTATTTGAATAAAATATTGTTTCCTTCGCAGAAATCTCGCAGCACAACCTTGTTTACGCCGCAAGGCAGTCCCAAACGCAAGGCGAGCACCCACTCCACCAGCTCCAAAGAAGATGAGTTCGATATTGATGCCATTATCAAGGCGCCAATCACAAAGCTGCAGAAGAGTACGTATTTACAAATATTGCTTTGAATGAACCAGCTTTACAGTGAATTCTTTTTTTTAGCGGTACCGAAAGCTGTGCCCCTGCCTCCGATGCAAAATGATGCCGATGAACCCTACTCGCCTGGGGGCTCCGACGAAGAGTTGGTGCCGGCTGCTCCAAGAATCGCAAACGATATTGAGCGGCAGGTAAACGAAATTAACAAACAAATTGCCGCGCAACAGATGGAAATTGCCGGCCTGCTTAAAGTAGAGCCTTCTGTAAGTACTAAATTCCAATATTGTTTTTAGTGTATTTTAATTAATTTATCTTTTGTAGGGATCTGCGTCCTCATCGAATGTACTAGCTGGCATATCTATTCCACCAAATCTTTCAAGAATCCTGGCAAGCATCAAGGACAAGTCGGATCCATCGGCCAATGCCGTCGACGGCGATGAGGAATACAATCCCGAGGACGCCATCACTACGACCAGTTCGTTTGGTAGGTCAACTTATCTGTAGCAAAGTATAAATCAATTTTTTAACAACGATCCCTTGCAGCATCGAAGCCCAAGAGCAAAAGTCGGTTGGCGCATCTAAGTGAAGCTGAGCTTCTTAGCATGGTGCCGGACAATATGGCAGGTGTGATACCTAGCTCGTTAAAGACCCGCCACCAGCAGCATCCACCGCCGCTTCCGCCACCGCCACCTCCTCCGGGTGTCTAGGGAATCCCACCTGAAGTAGGCCTTCAACCCGCGCGCTAATCCTTTTATCGTTATTAGTTTCTGAATGAAATTCACGACTTTTGATTTGAAATTGTCTCTCGCCCCTCCCCCCTCATTGTGTACATTCTCATCCAGCGATTTCAATACCATCTATGTATTATATAACTGGCCAATCGGAACTATTTGGTTTTCACCCCCAACCACACCGCCCCGCACTTTAACAGGATCCCCCATCGCATTGCAATGCAAATTATGAATCGGTTTTCACATTATACTCTAACAACTCCTGTACATTTCCTCGAAAATAAAAAGTGCTACGTAACATTTGTTTTAGAGATACGATAATCGCAGTGATTTTCTTTATTTTCGTTAGCACCTAGGGCTTAGTTGATCTCGCAGGGATCGTCCTTGCCGCTGAAGTGAGCGCACGTGATCTTCGGTCCGTTGTGCACTCTTGGGATGGCGATCCGAAAGAGAGTTCCGTGCGGCATGCACACACAGATCTTGTACTGAACACTGCCCGTCCGAAGCCCCATTTCGGAGCTGACGATGGGGATGCGGTCCATGTCCAGGAAGATTCCTGTTCCGGCCTCCAGGATGGTAGCGCCCTGCGTGGAATTGATGGAGACGTGATGCTCGGCTTGCATCTCCACACTAGCTCCGTCGAAGTACACGCCTTCGGAGCCTTTGATGGCAACGCGACCATCGCTATACATCACTAGAGGTTCATCGATGGGACTGGCGATTCCACTGGCACTCACCACTTTGGCCTGCAAGGCCTCCACTCCATCCGGAATGTTGTACTGCGGACGGTGGGTGGTGAAAAGGGGTTGCTTATCGACGGGGTCCTTGACCTCAAACAGATTCGTGGCCTGGATGAGGATGCCCTCCTTGTTGAGGACGATCCTATCGCGTTCGTTGGTGGCGCCATTATTATTGCGGAACACCCGCACATGGACACCAGCCTCTCCGTCACCTTCGCCAGCATCACTGCTGATGGTCACCGGAACGTCAGAGAAGCCGTGAATCTGGCCAATCGAGTTCGTCTGCACCCGCTCCAAGTCAGTGGAACCGTAGAACTTGACCACATCCACTTCGGGAATCACCTCCATGCCCTGAACGCCCTTTCCTAGGCGTAACACGCCCACAATTGTAAGGGTCAGGATGAGATTGCCCACGGTCAGGACCAAAAGGAGAATTACAATAGTCCAGAAGGCAAAGGTGTTGCGTCCTTGGTGGCCAGGATGCAGGCGGGAGCAGCTGTCGCTGTTGTACTTCTCGTCAAAGTAGTCCACCGTATCAGTTTTGGAGTCGTCGCGACAGAAATCCAATTCCGGAATCATTGATCCGATGGGTAGAGTCACGGACAACGCGTTCTCTGAGTTATCATCGTCGGAATACGACGGCGATGGTCCCCGGATAAAGGTGTTTTCAAAAGTATTTATCATTAGATCGGAATACTCTAATAATTTCGTTTAAAAAACTGTCTGCACAATTGCTGTATCCAGTGGTACAAAAATAGTCAATGTACGTGTGAGGAATACAATTCTTTGACATGCGCAGAAATTTTAAACCGCCAGTTTCGAATACTTTATAGATAAACTGAATACAGAAAACAATTCAAGGAAACCCTTTTTAAAATAATAAATTTATACAATTTAAGGAAACTTTTTGGAAATTTTACAATAATTTTGTGTACCTTAGTTTTGTATACGAGTATAACATATGAAAGTGAATGTGTTGCAGGACATCATAGTCCCTTAATTTTCAATTAATAATTTTTTCATATTTTGTGAGTTAAAATCCCGTTTTGTATAATACTTCAGTTACGTCTCTATTTTTCGAATGAGTGAAAGTTTTTTGTAACTACCATCTAACATGTGTAATATAATATAACAAATTTAATATTGTGAAGACCGCTTATTAACTATTATTATGATTTTGAATGTTGTTATGTCTGGTAACTAAAACCTATATAAAAATAAGGCTCGAATGAAGAACATAATCTGTCACAAAGTTAATGTTTTGTTTTTGAAAAATAAGCACTGCTTGCATTTATTTATAGTTCCGATTCCGAACTAGTTCCGATTTAAATACACCCTGCAGCCCTGCACATGTGAAGTGGGCTTGACTTTGGTATTTTTTGAAGTTAAGTTTTCGTTCACACCGCTGTCTCCATTTTGCAAAGATGTCCTTTAAGGTAAGCTTTTGCCAGAGATCTGAGTACCACTAAATAACCCCTAACCGCTCAAATGACGCAGCCCATCGATCCGAAGCGCGACGAGATCCGGCGCTATCTGGAGCGCGGCAGCGTCCTAGACTCGCTGACCAAGATCTTCATACGCGTGATCAAGGAGCGGCCCGAGAATCCGATGGAGTACATCCGGAATCACATCGGTGTGGTGCGCCACCAGCACGACAAGTACGAGCGCCTGCAACAGGACCTGCAGCTAGCTAACGAAGAGATTCAGCGGCTGCGTGGCATCATAAACAGCATTAATCCAGAGGTACTACAGGGCCATCCAGGGCCCGTAATTCCAAGTGAAGCTGCCCCGGAGGCTTCCGAACAAGAGGTGGCAGAGCAATCACAGGATGTGGAGCCCACGCAGCAGCAGAACGGAGAATCCACACCGGAGACGCCTTCTGCTTCAGTTGTGGCGGAGGTCAATTCCGCTGTGGAGGCCTGCCAGATTGAGGAGAAAGTGGTGGCTTCCAACGAGGACGTACCAGCCCCAGTTCAACCAAGCCCATCCGTCCAAGTGGAGGCGAGTTCCTCCAACGAGTAGATCTCAGAAGACAGTAGCTCACCAAGCTCACACCAAAAACATCCCATTTTAGAACGCATCCATTTAGAACAAATGTTAAGTATTTTCCTAAATGAAAATGTAAATAAAGCTTGATACAAATATGCATTCCTGCGAATTATGGATTTTTCAAATTTTTATTGAAATCAGTTTCATAATTCATACACGTTTTATATCATTTGTTTATTAATACAAAGGATTATTGATAATACATATTAATAATAGTTAATTTTTAAAAAACACATCTTAAAAATGATGGATGGGGAGGATAGATTTAATGACAAACGGAAAGACGCAAGGGAGTTTCAATGCAAAAATAATAAATTTGATTCTTTTGGATGCAGATATATTCCTGTGGTCCATTTGATCGGACTGCAATGTGGACGAACAAAAACTGATTCAAGGTCGAAACTTAGTGTTTATATTTTCACTTCTTGGCAAGCGTTCTCCTCTACTCAACGATTTCCCATCTTCGATTTTTATGTTTGTTTTGTTTTGGTACTCTTAAGGCCAAAGAGCGCTACGGGGCCCCTTTTCTATATGCTTTGTGACCGACTAAGGTCCAGTCGCTCTCCGTACATCTAATCCAATATTATGCTGGGTGCTCTGCTCGTACGGACCTGTTTACCTAGTGTTTAAAATTTGGACAAAACCTATAATCGCAGGTTGGTGTGTGTTTTGTGTGGGTGTATGGTTGGTCGGTCTGTCGCTAGATATATATATGCGGGGGCTATTAAAAATAAATATGTGGCTTTTAATCATGGTATTTGTCAATGTGTTTTTGTAATTGCGAATCAAATCTCAATTGGGAAAAAAAATTCATTCTTCTGCTTAGGACCCAGGATGTCCTTTTGGTCGAGACGCCACTCCTCCATGCATTTGCTGGCTGTCCGTTGAGGGATTTTCTTGTGAATTTTGACTCGCCCGGCTGCCGATAATAAAAGTGACCAAAAACAGAGAGATAAGATTGAAATGAATGATTCACTGTTCGATTTTTCTGCGATTGGCAGAACTTACGTTTCATCCATAATCTGATGTGTGTGGTTTCGAAGCATTTTATTTCTGGTTGTTGGTGTGTGTGTTTTTGTTTTGTTTGTTGTTTTTAGTTTTTATATAGAAAAAGACTGCTTTTGTTGCTGCATGTGTGATATTACTTTTTACGCTTGTCAGCCGGCTTGAGGATTTGGAACGAGCACATCAGCGTGTCGTCCACGGACATCATGGCGCCGGCGTTGTCGAACTCGCCGCAGTAGTTGGGCGCCGAGAAGAGGGTGACCAGCTGGCGCTTGGAGAAGAATTCGTACCCATCCTCGACGACCTGATGGGCTCGGCAGATGAGATCGAACTCGTGCTTCTGCAAGAACTTGGCCACCACCTCGGCGCCGAAAGTGAAACTGACGCCGCGGTCGTTTTCGCCCCAGCCCATGGTGTCTTTGTCCGGATCGGACCAGAGCAGATCGCAGAGAAGTCCCTGATCGGGCACATCGGTGGGCCGCATGATGCGGCGGATCTGCTCCATGGAGGTCAGATCGGGACTCAGGCCGCCGTGGCAACAGAAGATCTTCTCGTCGACGATGGCCGCCACCGGAAGGCAGTTGAAGCAGTCGGTGAAGGTCTTCCACAACTTGATGCTGTAGCGACGCTTGCATTCGTCGTAGAATCCGTATATGCGATTAATGCTGGCACACTCGTGGTTGCCGCGCAGCAGGAAGAAGTTCTCCGAGTATTTGATCTTGTAGGCGAGCAGCAGGCAGATGGTCTCCAGCGATTGCTTGCCGCGATCGACGTAGTCGCCCAGGAACAGGTAGTTGGACTCCGGTGGGAATCCGCCGTACTCGAACAGGCGCAGCAAATCATAGTACTGGCCATGGATATCACCGCAGATCTTCAGCGGGGCCTCCAGCTCGAGCAGGATTGGCTGCGAGAGGAATATCTCGCGGGACTTCAGGCAGAGGCCGCGGATCTCGCTTTCCGAGAGCTGTACGTTCTTGCCTGGCCGTGCCCCACGCACCTCGAGAAGTCGCGATATTATGCTGTCGATATTCATCACGTCGCCCATGTTTGCGTCTTTTGCTGGTGCACTGCTGCTACTGCTGGGTGTCGTGGTTGCCGCGAACGATGGATAGTAGCGCCGAAATAGCCTCGAAATCTGTAGTTTCCAAATCTATTTCTGCTAAATACTTTTCACAGCTAACTAGTATGAAAATTTCTCCAGTGTGTCCACATTGCCCGAGCAGCAGGAAGGAACGAAACAGGCAGTTAGTCATGCCCAGGTGTGCATGGGTCGTCTCTTTCCCACCCTTTTGCAGCTCTTCTGCGTTGTACGTTGTTAATGGGTGCAAGGGAGACAAAAAGACTACACCTTGGTTAAGCTGCCAGACCGCTGGAAAAGAATATGTGGCCAGACCAAGGACGCCATCTTATCTAATCGATTACTTATCGCTAAGCGATTCGATTGGTTTTTCTGCCTACGCCCGTCTATCATCCAATTAACTGTTAAATTAGGCGGGTTCAAATTTATATAAAATGCTTTTGAACGATATTTTAAGCGGAAAAGCTGATGATGCCGTCTATATTATTGCGGAAATCGGGCAGAATCATCAGGGCTGTCTGGAAACAGCCAAGAAGATGATCTCGGAGGCCAAGAAAGCCGGCTGTCATTGCGTAAAGTTTCAGAAATCCGATTTACCTGCAAAGTTTACACGATCCGCTCTAGATCGAGAATATATAAGCGATCACGCGTGGGGAAAAACTTACGGGGAGCATAAAGACTACCTGGAGTTCTCCAAGGATCAATACCTCGAACTTCAGGCTTTTAGCAAGGAAATAAATGTGGACTTTACAGCTTCTGCTATGGACGAGGTAGTATCTATTAATTGTCTTAATTGAATTGAGATGCTTTTACTTTATCCCTAGAGAGCTTTTTTTCATAAAATTCTTTATCTGAAGGTTTAACTAAAAATAAATAAAGAAGTATAACGTATAAGACAATAATTTAAGAAGTTAATTTGTGGCTAGGTATTTTGAATATACGTTACTGTAAATTTAATTGTCTTCGCATTCATAAAACATTTTTACCCCCGATGTTTTTTTTAACCAGCGCTCCTTGGATTTTCTCGTGGAACTGAAAGTCCCTTTCATTAAAATTGGCTCTGGAGATGCCAACAACTTTCCACTTATAAATAAGGCAGCCAATTTACACTTACCCTTGGTTATCTCCACCGGAATGCAGACCATGACAACTGTAGAAAGGATTGTGCAAACAATGGAGGAGGCTGGAAAAAAGAACTTCGCTCTTATGCACTGTGTTTCATCTTATCCAACTGCTCCAAAGGACTGCAGTTTGCAGTTAATATCCTTGCTGAAGAGGCGCTTTCCCAACGTAGTAATTGGTTATTCGGGCCACGAACTGGGAGTTGGTATCAGTCAAGCTGCTGTTTTGCTCGGTGCACGCATAGTGGAGCGTCATTTTACGCTGGATAAGAATCAAAAAGGATCCGACCATCGATGCTCCCTTGAACCGTACGAATTAAAAATACTGACAACAACAATTAATGATTTTAAAATTTGTGCATTACCGATGTCACCGAAAGACATATTACAAAAACTGAACGACGGTCAAGAACTGGAAGAAGCTCTTCAGGATGTTCAAAGTAAAACAATTTTACCCTGTGAGTTGCCCTGCCGAAATAAACTGGGCAAATCCATTGTGGCAGCTAGGAGTCTCCGAAAAGGACACCGTCTTCAGCTACAGGACATGGCAATCAAAGTTAGCGAGCCAAACGGCATAACTGCTGAAGCATACTTCGACATTATTGGCAAGGAATTAACAGACAATATTGGTGAGGATGAACCCATACTTGGGAGTAGTATAATCCTTTAAGTTAAAGGTTTTGAAAAATACTTGATGTGCAATATGAAATACAAATGTAAATGAATAGCCTGCGAAGTTTTACTCTGCTCCATCGTCGCTGCCGTCATCTTCATTCTCATTCTCGATCATTTCGATATCCTCCTCGAGGTCGCCCTCCTTTTTGTCAGTGGGTTTTTCGTAGACAGCGGTTAATGGAGAAACACACACGCCGTTCCATACGGACATTTCACGCACGATGCTTGTGTTGCCCTCGAGTCCAAGAATGTGTTTGTACCCGCCGTGGGCCAGCACGCGGAGTAACGTTTGCGACGTGTAGCAACACACATCCTGTTGCTCCAGCGTCATGGCAGTGTGCACTCGGATGTGTCCCGGTTCGGTGGGATCTGTGATGCCAGCTGAGCCGGGCAAAAAGAGTCCAGCGGAGAGCAGCTGGAAGACGCGACGGAAGGCCAAATTTATGGGCAGTGCCTGGCGCGACGGATTGTTCATAATGGCCAGGTGAGCGATGAGGTCGAGCATCCATGCTGACAAAGGTGAAAAAGCATCAAAGCGCCTGGTGAGATCCTTAAGAATACGAATAAGCACCTTGATCGAGGAGTGGTGAGCGTTCTCCTCGAACCAACGAGTGTGGCGGATGGCAGCAAGATGGCTCTGCATAAGCTTATGATCCAAGTGAGTCTCGGGCTCAAGCTTGCGCAGATTCTGCGGCAAGGTGGCGATTAAAATGCGCACCTTGGCGTGCACATTTGCGATGTCAAAGCCGCGGTCGTGGACCTGAACAGTGTGCTGGTCGCCTTTGGTAAGTACCTCGGTCTTCATGCTGGCCTTAAGGTCGGCCTCCACCTTCTTGGCCAGGGCATCGACCGACTCCTTGGTGGGCAGGGTCTTCAAAATGACCACCACGTCGGCCACATTATTGCCGGTCAGAATTGTACCCTTTTTAAAGGAGCCAACCTGGCGCACCTCCTCAAGTTGCTATTAAATAACGATATTGAAGATCGACAGTTGGCAAGGAATTTTAATATACTAACACAAGTGGTCAGATCACCGGGGGCCACCACCAGATTGTCCAGCACAGCTTGCACCTTGGTTACTAGATTTCCGATGGCCGTCTGCTCGCTAGGAGTGGGACTCAGGTCCTGGTTACGCTTCAGTAAGGCCTGCAAAATAACTCGTTCATATTACCCGATTTTCTACCCATGTGCGTATATTGATTTATTTTACCGCAGTCAAAGCCGAGTCGTCAACAGCACCGGCGAGTGGAACCTTCGGAAAGAAAACCTCAGCCAGGGTCAAATCGAATGGATGGCGTGGCACAAAGGTTTTCTTGAACGGTGGACGGATGCCCCCGCGCATGGGGCGTCCTCCTCGGAGAGCTCCGCGAACCATATTCCTGTGGGGATGAATTTTAAAGTATTTTCGCGACGCCGGAGCGTTCTACTTTTTTTGGACGATGATAACAGTGTGGCCGAAAATGGACCGGTGAAAAACACCATGCTGTTTAAAACATACCAAGCATATATGTAGATGCATTTTATGGATTATAGTAAATATTGAGGGTATTACATATAAGGCTAAGCTTTGAATTTGTAAGTTTTCAAATTTAACAAACAATTTTTCTCAAAATCTTGCGAAATTTATATTTAAAAAATTTTTGAACTTAGAAGAAAGTAATACATAGTGTTACGCGAAATTATGTTAGATCGGTTTCGAATGTCATGCCCATCACAATCTTAATGTCTGTTAAAAAACTTTATTAATTTGTTTTGCAATTAAGACCAACACAATTCACAGATATTTCAATAAACAAAAACAACCGATAAAAATAAGCTAAGGTCAGCCAAATTTGCAACTTATATGGTTGTTTTTTGTCTATTATCTTGCTTTAAAAATTGTTAGTTTATTTTTTAAAAAAGATTTATTATTAAATTTCAGAGACGAAAAAGTCAATATGCCGTACGACGAAACATAATGAATATTTTTAAGGAAACGCTTATAGAGGGAATTTCAATTTCGACCATGATTTCTAAGTGCACTGGCTTTAAAACAAAAAATTGTGATCTGTTCCCCGTTTCAAGTTTTTCTTGAACAAATTTACTAACATGCACAATAATACATATTTTTAATACAATAATACAATATTTTTAACATCATTTAAAAACAAAAAACTGAATTTGTGTGGCCAAACTTTTAGTAAGCAATGTCTTTTCGGCATTCCGAATTCGGCCACACTGCCGGCCAATTGCTGTGTCATTTTTGTTTCTGTGCGAACGAAGTCGGCTTTTTTATTTTACACATCAAATTACTGTTGCTAAAGCTCAGGAAATATGGCTACGGAACGCTATAGCTTTTCTCTGACCACATTCAGGTGAGGAAACCAGAAAAACTAAACGGGAACAGGAGACTTTTTAGTGAATCTCAACCTGCCGCCATGACTGGGCAATAACTAACATTTTTGCACTCTTGCAGTCCATCTGGAAAGCTTGTCCAATTGGAGTATGCATTGGCCGCTGTATCTGGCGGAGCTCCCTCCGTGGGTATCATGGGTGAGTGTTCAGTAATATTTGTATTATTCGCAAAATATAAAAATCACATTTTTGGGTGCAGCTTCCAACGGCGTCGTCATTGCCACAGAGAACAAACACAAGTCGCCGCTGTATGAGGAGCATAGTGTGCACCGCGTGGAGATGATCTACAAGCACATCGGCATGGTTTACTCGGGAATGGGTCCGGACTACCGCCTGCTGGTAAAGCAGGCCCGAAAAATCGCCCAGACCTACTACCTGACCTACAAGGAGCCGATTCCAGTATCGCAGTTAGTTCAGCGAGTTGCCACCCTCATGCAGGAGTACACCCAGTCTGGGTAAAACTGGAACATCTACCTTTTGTTTTTCTTGATTAACAGATTTTCATTTGATTCTCCAGCGGCGTTCGTCCCTTTGGTGTTTCTCTGCTGATCTGTGGCTGGGATAATGGCCGCCCGTATTTGTATCAGTCCGATCCTTCCGGCGCCTACTTCGCCTGGAAGGCCACTGCCATGGGCAAGAACGCAGTGAACGGCAAAACCTTCCTGGAGAAGCGGTAAGTATAAAGTAAACCCTCAAAATATCTGAATCAAAATCTTAAACAAACTTTCCAACGGCAGCTACAGCGAAGATTTAGAACTGGATGACGCTGTACACACCGCCATCCTCACTCTGAAAGAAGGTTTCGAGGGAAAAATGACTGCCGACAACATTGAAATCGGAATCTGCGATCAAAACGGATTCCAGCGTTTGGACCCCGCCTCGATCAAGGACTACTTGGCTAGCATCCCCTAAACGTTAAACGCCCCGCTCAGATTAACCCAAGCTAAGCTTTTTTTGGATAAGTACGGGACATTAAAAACAAATAAAATTTTCAACTGCGGTGTTATTTAAAATTTAGGATCTTTTAAAAAAGCATTTGATTTACTTGGCTTCGATGGTCTCAAAGTAACCAGCACAAGTCTCCGGATCGAATACGAAGAGATTGCGGTGCGGCGCTTCCATTTTGGTAACCACTTTAATGACTTCTTGGGCCACAACGCCACCAACTACTGCCACAGCTGGAGAAATCTGGGCAAATATCATGCCCAAAGCTTCATCACTAAGGGCGTTGTTGGGCAACAGTTCGTCGCAAATCCCGCGCAGCAATTTCAGATCCGCATCTCTACTCTTGTAGTTGGGATCTCGCTGGTGGGTGGTGCGGAACTTCTGCAGAACACTCAGCAGCAGGACGCCTGGTCCGTTTCGTTTCAGCTTGCGCGAATAACTGGGTGCTGTTATATCAAAATCAATCCAGGCCAAGTAGCCGGGATAATCAACTTCGCGCTGTGTTGGAATGGACACGGTTTCGTACTTCTTTTTCTTATCCGGGTTGGATACGACCTTGTGTTTGATTACATCCCTGAAAACGACAGAGTACAACATAAGTTTATCGTAGGATATTAAGAATATGCAAAGGAAAATGAGGAATTTCAAGATTAAGATACATACTCTACGTAGCTGTGCTTCTGCAGACTGGCAAAATAGAAGCCAAACGTGCCCCAGACATCAGTGGCTATAAACTTTACGCCTAGTTCCCGGCAAATGTTGTCGATGCGCAGCAGCTCTTCGTTGGTCTCGCCATTGACAACTACCACGTCAAACTGGCCAAAGAACTCAGCGGTCTTCTCCTTCAATGGTTCTTTGTCGGCGGAAATGTCCACCATCGGATTAAGCGCCCTTGCCCGAACCAAAGACGCCTCCGCGCGGTTAGTGTTTAGGGATTCACGTGCGGCGAGGAACTGCGAACAAAAGTCTACCTCAGTGACCAGTTTGTCATCCAACAGTTTCACAGAGTTAACACCGGACAGGATGATGTTCTTGGTTATCTCGGCGCCAAGGCCACACAGTCCGGCAATGAGAATCTTGGCAGTGCGCAGGCTGCAAACCACATTTTTGCAAGTTATAATATCGCCATTGCAAAAAGCCGGCTTTTTTTTACACTTACCGCTTTTGGGATTCCAGACCCCATAGTCTAATTTGTCGGTCGTACAGCTCGTTCTCCGCCTCCGTGAGCTCCACGCCCGTCTCATTGGTATCCATTTCCACGCCCATTATTTATTTGAATTGTTAAACGTTAATAATTTGCACAAATCTAAACTTTGTTTGCTAAAAGAATTCAGAAAGACGCCAGCGAAATGCACTAACGCGTTTTAAAAACACCTTAACGCAGTTTAGGGAATTAGTCCTGCCAACTGTTGGCAAATAATGTTTTTTTTTTTAAACGTTTTATTTATGTTAAAAAGATATACGAGTTCCATTTTTATACATTAAAGCTTTTAAATTGTATCTCGACAAAAAATTTGTAATTTTCATGATAACGAAGTTCAAAAGTACAATTTTAGCTATGAAACATTAAAATGAATGGACCTAACGAAAAAAAGCTAGATGGCGATTGTGAAAATCAAACAGTGGCAACTCTATAACACAATTACCATTGAATTGTTTTTACGAAATTGGACGAATATTAATTTTCCGGTAAGCACTCTCGCTTATTTACCCCTTCTATCTTATAACCAGATTTTATAGGGGAACTGAAGATGTTGCGGAAATTAGGAAGACTGGTTGGGCAGCAGGTGGGTCAGCAGGCACGTTTTACAGCTTACCGCACATTCTCTTCGACTAACGCGCTGCGAAAAGGTATGTCGGCAGAAAAAAGCCGGTGACATAATGTGGGGCATATTTAGCGACCCTTACACCTAATCCATTCCAGATCCTACGCCGCAGAAGGCGGATTCAGCACCGCCACAGAACATCCTCATCGAAAAAGACAAGAACATCACGCTGATTGGTATAAATCGACCGCAGCAGCGCAATGCCATCGACTCACTCACCGCCTCGCAACTTTGCGACGCCTTCTCCCAATTCGAGGCAGACGACACTTCACCAGTGGCCGTCTTGTACGGTGTAGGCGGTTCCTTCTGCTCCGGCTTTGACATCCTTGAGATTAGCACCGACGAAAAGGAGGAGATAAGCGTGGACATTCTTATGCGGCCAGAGGGTTCCGTAGGTCCCACCCGGCGACAAATCAAGAAGCCAGTCGTTTGCGGGATCAATGGCTATTGCATAGCCAACGGTTTGGAGTTGGCCCTCATGTGCGACCTGCGCGTCATGGAGGAGTCCGCTGTGCTAGGATTCTTCAATCGCCGCTTTGGTGTCCCTATGCTCGATGCCGGTACCATTCGGCTGCCGGCCATGATTGGCCTGTCCCGTGCTTTAGATTTAATACTAACAGGACGTCCGGTCGGTTCCCAAGAGGCCCATGATATCGGTCTAGTCAATCGGATAGTGCCCACGGGCACCGCACTTGGCAATGCCCTAGAACTGGCCACGTGCCTGGCCAAGTTCCCGCAACGTGCACTCATCCACGATCGCAACTCGGTCTATTCGAGCGCTTTCGAAACGTCCACGTTCCACCAGGCGGTGCAAAACGAGGTGATGTTTACTTCCCGTGAAATAATCGAGGACATGCAGAACGGCATCAAGTGGTTTAACCAGAGTAAGTTGCTTTACTTTACTGCTAGTTTGATCTCTACATTTTTGTATCTTTCTTTTAAGCGTTCAAGCCAGACACTACACACTCATGGCTAAAACGGGATCGCTCGATGGCCGATTGGGACGATGAGGAAGTTGCTGAGGCCGCTGCTCAAAAGGAGAAACTAAAGCAGGAACAGGAAGCAGCCCTGGCAGAGGCTGAAAAACAAAAGCAGGCCGAAAAGACGCAGAAAAAGTCGAAAAAGGCCGAAGAAAAGCATGATGAAAGCGCGGATAGTAAAGATCCTAAAGCAACACCAAAAGAAAAGTAGTTGCGCCTTATCCAAACAAAATTATCTGTCCCAAGTCATTTAATTTAATTTTGTAAATAACGCATTCATAAGCAGTTCCAAACTGAACCATTCGACCTTGCTAACTTATTCAAATACATTACTCTAATCGGAACAAAGTGTTACAGTTTAACTTACTATAAAATCTTAAACAAGAGCGTAAGTTTTAAAAGCTTTTGAGAGGTAAATTACGAATATTTAACGCCATCGTTAAACTTGACTATTGGTTAATACGAGGAGCTAGCACTAAGAGTTGCAATTGCTTTTTAATTTAATTCCTTTAAATGATTGAATGTTCAGATCAAATTCTTGTCATTGCGCAAGTTAATCAATAAATGTACTTCTAGTACATTACTTCCTAGGTATGGAAAAAGTGTGGCAAACACATTTAAACAAAATTTGTTCAGCAAGTAAAATGGTTAATGCTGCACTATTTTTTTGTAGTTTTTTTCCTACTTTGCTTTACGATCTCTAAGTCTGACTTAGACCCTTGGAACTACATGAATTTCGATTGAAGCCATTACTGCAATACATAAAAATAGCTTTCCCCAGCTTATTCGCTAAAATTTTCTTTGCTGCCGCCTTTCAACAGGTGTTCCAAAGATAATCAAGAATCAGTATACACTTTTAGACCAGGGAACCTGATAGCCAAGAGCATCAATATGTGCAATTAATCAATAAAAGTACCTATTTACACACAAAAATTGAAAGTCGCAAGAAAACAACAATTTAACTGCTTATTTATCAACGGTTTGCGACAGTAGTTATAGGTTTTGTCGATTATAAGTGATATTGCTTATCAAAAAAGAGATTTCTTGGCGGTGATCACGTTTAAGGTTGAGGGTTAATTTGAGCAGGTCGAAAGTGATAAGTCTAATCGGCATGTCTGTCGGAAAGTTTTGATTCTACGATGTCTGGAAATATATGGACTTGGCTTTCAGTAATTCTTCCTTAACTTCGAGCACATGAATGATAACATCGGCCAGGGCTTGGGCATTAACTCCGGCCTCCAGGAGTTCCAGGCAGAGGTCGAGGGCCGTTTTGGACAATCGGGTGTGAATCAGGGCCGACATTCCATGCAGGGCGATGTGCAGCGGTGGCGAAGTGTGCAAACGGAGGAAACTACCAGAGGCTTGCTGAAACATCGTCTTTAATTCCGGGTACTCGTTTGACTCAGTTCCTTGCGACATTGTTTTACTTATGATGTTTGATGGGTTGACAATTTAAAATATGAAGTAAAACCGAGTGGATACGGCAGTTAGGATCAGTCCCCCAGTTAGAGACACCTTGTTCCAGAAGTGAAAGCGTTTAAGATCCCTCATAGCCAGCGAATTCTCATGAAAGGACTCTTTTGACCACATGTGCTTATCCATGGAGTGCAGAGCGAGCAAAAGAACCAGCAGTCCGGTAGATAGCCTTACCCGAAAACGGACCATCACGAAGACCAGCAGGAGTCGAAGAAAGTATTTGTAGACGATGTGCCACACAATGGAGTCGAGATCCTTGCAGTTGAGGTATGTGATCAGTAGAAAGGATTCTACGGCCTGGCGTCGGGATTTCAGCATCAACATTAGGATCGCACTGATCAAGCCACAGAGCTCCATGTACCTGGGCAGACTCCACAGCACCGGATTGGCAGCCATTCGCAGGTGGGCAGCCAGCCAAAGAACTCCCGTAGCCAAAAATCTTCTTTTGAGGACCACAAGGAAAAGGGATCCCATAACTTGCGCCATTGCCAGAAGACTTATATAGACCCCAGCTACCCAATAGCTACAGTGCCAACTCATGGTCAGCGCAATCCTCTCCAGGTGCCAATGGTGGTAAGTGTGCAAAGCATCCGCCAGGAAATTCGATACTATAAGACAACGGGCCAAAGTGGCCAAAACAATTTTAAGAGCCCGCTTTTGATGTACTTCGAGGATAAGGGGATCGATCTCCATCATCATCAGCGGCTTGTAAAGTTATTTCCTTAATTCTTTTGGCAAATATAAAATGAAGTATTATTCATACAAATTTGTCGATTTAATGAGCTGGGATATCTTGATTAAACGGAAAACCAAATTTTGGGTAAACGGCAAAGAAGGATAAGCTGTTAAGCCTAGTTATGTTATGAATGCAATATACACTGGTTGCCCTTCAGTAAGTTAAGGTATTAAAAACAATTTACTCCAAAAACATTAAAACAAATGTTGATTTAATTAAAAAAAAGTCAAGTCAATAAAGGGCACGATGACGGCGTCATTAGAATTTCCCACATTTTTGTTAAGATTTTAGCCATTTTTGTGCAATACAAGTTTAAAATTTTGCTTTAGGTCACGGAAATTAAATAAATCTTTATTTAATGAGGGCTTGTTAAGATTAAAGGGATTTAGAAAGAATTTTTTTTAAAGAGTATAAATCAAACATTCCCATGTAATGTAAATGTAAAATTAACAATGTTTTTTACTTGTTAATATTTATCTACAAATGAAATGTTCAACTTTTGTCGAAATAAGATATGGAAAATTAAATAAAATTGGTTATATAAAAAATATAATTTTATTATTTTTGATAAAATATATACCCTTAAAGACTTTAATTAGCAATCCCTCGCAGGTTCAAAAGAAGATAATCAAGAGGATATCGATATCCATTAAACTCGCTATCGATATATGCCTGGCTTATAACTACGTGGAATTGTCATCGCAAAGACAGGAGGTTCTTTGGTTAAAATAAAATTGGCCATTAAATCTAATAAATATAATAATTTCCGGAAACTTGGATATCGTTTTGGTAAGTTCTAATTAATAGACACGCCAATAACAAACAATTTAATACGTTGTACGCAATTTTCGACACTCTCGTTATCAAAGATCTGAACTTTTGCCGGCGTTGATTTTATTGTCTAGCGTGAAACTGATTAGAAACATTTCCGATTATCAACTAATGGAAATTTATTTAATAGATTGTATTACTGTAAACAGTGCAATGCACCGAAAGTTGTTTACATGTGACCTTAGCGCGCGCACGCCCCGGTGACGTCACACCTCATGCACCAAGTCCCCAATGGTTTTAACCCTTTTCAGGGGCATTTCGAAGTACTACTAAAAGGTTTCAATCAGACCATAATATCAGAACAAAACACCCTTGCAAAAGGTTACCTATTGTTGGCAGGAATTTGCAATTCTTAAGAAGGACGTATGCAAATCTTATTACTTCCGTCTTCCTAGATTCTTTATTTTCTAATGGCTAGCGTTTTTTACACAAAAAAAAAAAAAACCAAAAAAATTAATCAACTGAAAATGCTGTTAATTGTAATTCATAATTCATAATTAGTTTTTTATGTAGATATCTGAAAAGTGGTTTGGCTTTATAAAAAGCAAAGAAATTATGAACATATAAAAAAGGGTATTCCAGCTAAGGTTTTTAAAATAAGTTAACAATTGACGTCCAAAGAATTACCACGTAAAGAATCAGATCTTGTGTTGAGATTTATAGATTGCGAACTATTCAGTATTTAATTCAATAAAAATCAACATGTGTGGCAATATATTCATTTCTACAGATTTGAAGCTCATTTTTTAACTGCGCACTATTAGTGCTTTGTTGTTTGATATGCATACATGTGTCAATATATAGTAGTATTACGCATATATTAACCCATATATGTTTATATATTTTTGCTAACAGTGCAGTGCCTTTGATAGGAGAAAAGGTCTTTGATAGAACTTTTCTGGGTTCTTTCCTAGTTGCAATCGTCCAAATTGTATTAATTTCTATACCCTTTAAAGATAATTTTAAGAAACTGTTTAATCATTTTCTTTTTATTTGGTGGCGGTGCATTTCAAAATTGATGGTGATTGCATAAATATGCAATTTTTTAAACCCCAGCATTTCGGAAAAAAACTCGTGTCTCTCTTAACCTCATCTTCTGAAATCTTTAAACAAAAAATATGCAAAGTAGCCTTCTATTTGTCCGTCTTCAGCGGAATATGTAAAGTTATTGGCCCAATGCGCGAGGAGGTTGGTCTTACTGACTTAACTGGTTTGGACCGACCAAAGTACGAGAACCGTAAAGCTCACTAAAAACAGATTATGAGAGCCCAGGTGTATTCATGGCTAAGGCATTATCATAATAGCCGGCAAACCCAAAAAAAACATCGATTAGATTGGGTAAAATTGTCTCAATCCTGCATCTGGGTGGATTCAAAGTGCGAAGGCTAACCTAATGCGGTGATCTGTAAGCCCTATTTTTAACTTTTGGTAATTGTGTTGTTTACCACCCTAATAGCAACTCAGTCCAAAACTCCAGCGTTTTATTACGGATTCAATTACTCACTTAGGAGCTAGGCGGTACTGCACAAATAGTTGGTGTCATTTCGCAGATGTTTACAATTTCACAGAGATTAGGAGGGAAGATTGGACTACGTGCATGCCGGTAATCTTGGGAACTCGGGGGGAAATAGCCACAAAATGCACACGCCGGCAGAGAAAAGCTCTGACGTTGCCTCGCCGCCTCACCTAATCGATTTGTTTTCGTTTTGGCAAGTGTGCGAACGGTTGGTCAGTTCAAATCGAATTCGTCTAGAGTGTGGACGTGTGCTGTTGGCACACTTTAGTGCAAAAGATTCAAATACCGAAGAGATCTACTGTTTTCGGACTGTGCTCAAAAAGAAGTTGAGGTGTGCCATTTTCGTAGAAGCAAACAGGTTGGTTTTCCAGCTGTACTCTGGTAGTGACTTGTTGAGCCATTGCAACAGGATTCAGTCATTCCCCGGACCAGTGTTTACGTAAATCGAGAAAAGTCGCTCTACGCAAGAGTTTTTTATTGCTTTTGGTTTACCTACGAACTCTACACTTGTGAATTTTATTTTGAGGCCCTCTGGCTCCACGATCAAGTTTATGTATATAGCGGTCACTCTTCGTTTGTCAAGGTTTCAGTTGAACGGTCACTGTGTATATTGGAAGGTTAGATTTTGGTAGGGTGAAATAATTTATGCCATGCGTTTGCAGTGCTAAGATGATATACAAATTACGGCATCTCCAGAATCCCCACGGATCATCGAAAAAAAAAGAATTGTAGGGCGTTTCATCAGAGTCGAAATCACTTTTTCAATTAGTCCAATACAAAAGCTTTTCAATGCTCTTGGAGTTTTGTACTTTAATGCGAAATTAAAATCCAATCACATTTGCAAGGGCACTCGAAAGTTCTGTACTCGACCCGACGCATTCGATTCTTCCGTGCTCTGTTTGATTTATCATATGAATTAATTTTTTCCTTTTTTGCATTTCAACTAAGCTGAGCATTTTCTCTTTTTTTTTACGGTGAATGAACTTTGACTGCAATTATACATGGGTACGCATTGTAATTTACCGCTTAAATTGCAAATTAAATGTTTCGAACTTTGCGAAAAATGATTTGTCACTGGCTATACTTACGGTTTGCATGTCCGGCGAACTAGTTTCACAGCAAAAGTCTATTTGTCAAACTAGGTAAAGTGCAAATATTCAATTGACAGATAAAATATCTAAACAAAGCGTCCGACAACAAAAAATAGGTTGTACTAATTACATAAGTAGTTGTTTCCAATCAATTTTTAATTTGCGTTTTTTTGAAAATAGTACTTCAGGTCAAATGATTTAGTATAAACATACTTATTACTGAATTGAGTTTTAAGTGTAAATATTTATTTTTTTATTTTATTTCGACCTAACAAGTATAAATAAAAATATTAACAACGCTCGAATTGATATTCCAAAGAAATTATGCAGCTTACTTTTTGTGAAACAAATTTATCTTTTTTTAACAATAACAATTTCTTAAAAATCTTTGCCATTCATTAAAAAAAAAATTTAACAAGGATATTAATTTGGTTCGTAAAACCTTTTGGTGGAATACAGTTTTTTGCGGTTAATATCTCAGTGAAGCATCACGCTTTTGCAACGTGATAACGGGCCGCAACACTACTTTACCCCACTCTTGCTCTCTTTTTATTGGCGCCCTCTCTTTCTCTCTAGTGTAAGCTCCCACGCTTTTAGCTCCGGAAAAAAAAATATGAAAAAATACCTAGCAAGAAATTGGCAAGTGGCGACGCAGCGGTAAATTTCAAGTTCAATGCGTTTTTTTTGATAAATGGATAAATGTTTGCTGGCTTTTTTGCCGGTTTTCATTCACATTGAAAATACATATTCATTTTATTACTCTCCCTTGGCTCCAAAAATAATCGGCTGTTTTGTTGACATGTTGGCGGCATTAGCTTTTTCTCTCTCCTTGTCCGACTATCTCGTGCCCTTTCTTTCGCCATGTTAAAAGCTTTCGCTTGTGATCTGCTGTTCTTACATTACAAATATATATATGTTTGTATGTACATATGTACGAATGCGGAATTCTTGTTCTTTTTACCCTATTTTGACATGCAGGGGCGTACAATGTCGACTATCTCCAGAGGAGTTTTAAGGGAACCAAATAATCAGAAAATGACAAGTTGCCAAAGGGCCAGAAACAATAAAATTCGAAAAAGATGAAAGTTTAAGAATTCCAGATCCCCCTTGGTAACGCCGGTGTTCGCACTTTCTTCTAATCGCTTTATTTTTTTGTCTATTCCCATGAGCATCGTATGATTTTTAAGCTCTGGCCTGACACACAGGTTCACGTGTTTAATTGGGTGATGTTCCCTGCCAGCAGGTCCGAAGTACATACTTGACTGCCCAGTATTGTGTGTAATAACTGGCTATCTGATGAAACCGCAATTAGCGGCTGATTCACATGTGATTGGATCGGAAGAGAGATAGCGATAAAGATATGGCTACGTTGCTAAGACCCAACAGGTTGTGTTAAGGGCGGCCAGCCGATTAGATTGGGCCAAAGTCCCCACGTCTAGACATATCAAAACCTAACCCTGACCTTAGCAAAATGCCCCAACTGGCCAAAATCTAATCTGCACACACCTGCAAAAAGCTTCACAGTGCGACTAATCTAAAAGCTTGCGAGCGAGCTTTTCGGCAGCTGCCGCCGCTTCTTCGGGGGAAACACATCCCCACATCAGATTTAAAACCTCAGTTAACCGAAGCGGCTTGTCATTAACTTGCGACAAATAAAACATATTTTTTGGTTGTAAACCAGGTACAACAAATAGGTGTCTCAAGTGCAATTCGTCGAATGTGGACAAGTGTTTGCTGGCGATTCACTTAATGCTGAATAATAGTTTGCAATTCTTGTTAATTTTGCAAATTCCGTGGTGCGCGAGTTTGTGTGTGTGTGTGTGTGTATGTTCCTGTATAACAAAAAGCACGCTAAAGTTGATTGGACAAGGAATTTTCCACAGAGCTTGGCTCTTAACCTTGAGCCAAGGTTCCCGTTCCCGGTGACCCACAAAACACATGTCCCAATAGTCCACCTGGTGCTTTTTTCCCACGCCGGCTTTTTCATTATTCATGCTGCGAATCCTGACACAAGGACGTTTATTGATTTTTTTTAACACCATAAGACGAGTTATAATTTGCATTAGGCGAGAATTAAATATCCAAAGGGTACTCAACTCGGCACCTCAAATCACTTCCCAAAAAGCGTGTCAAGTTCAGCTAGCTGGCTAATTGGCCAAGCCACACTAATTGCTATTTTGTTTGTTTCGTTACTGACTTGTTTTTTCTTCTCTTTTTATGTATTATTACTGACAGTTGATGCAAAATGCCGCCCAACGCCCAACAAGGTGCCCAGTCCATCACGGACTCGCTGATCGCCGCGGCTAGTGCCGCTGCAGATTCGGAAGTCAGTCCCAAGCTGCAGCAGGACTCCACCGGAGTGCTCTTCGAATGCGATGTGGAGACAACCGACGGAGGTCTCGCCAAGGACATCACTGTGTTGAAGAAAGCCGAGCGACGCCGTCTGAAGCTCGTATGGCGCAACATCATCGCCTTTGGATACCTTCATCTGGCGGCCCTGTACGGCGTCTATCTCATGGTTACCAGTGCCAAGTGGGCGACCATAGGTTTCGGTAAGTCCAGCGGGGCTTATCCATCTAAAATAACCTTTTTCGAGGCTAAATGCAAGGTCATTCTAATAAAAAAAAATTAATTACACAATTAGAAAAACACTTTCCTAGAAGAAAACTATTCAGTTTGAACTGATTTAACCTTTTAAGTACTCGCATTTTTCCATTAACTTTCTTAAATTACTGCGTAATATGTTGTTCACACATTATGGAAATTTTTGATGCTTTTAAAATTGCAATGTGAATTTAGTTAATCTTGGCAACCGATGTCATCTGGATGTCGCGTGCCGAACGCTTGACTTCTCAAGGGTTATCTATGGCTTTGGAACTGATAACCTTCATAAAGACCCATTTATGGTCACCCAGTCGATTGGGCTTTCCATAAATGCGATAATCTTTACGTGCTGATATTTGATATTTCGTCGTAAATCGGCCAAATCGGAGATAATTTTTACTTTTTTATAATTAAAAACAAATTTTTTTCTTATTATATTTATAGTTTTTTTTGTGCTATATAGTTAAATACAATAATACAATTTTTTGTGCATTACTAATTTGACTTTCTTTCTTGCAGCTCTCTTCTTATATTTGGTGTCTGGTCTGGGCATTACTGCTGGTGCCCATCGTCTCTGGGCGCATAGATCCTACAAGGCCAAGTGGCCCCTGCGCGTGATTCTGGTCATCTTCAACACTATTGCCTTCCAAGATGCCGCCTACCACTGGGCGCGCGACCATCGTGTGCACCATAAATATTCGGAGACTGATGCCGATCCTCACAACGCCACTCGTGGTTTCTTCTTCTCGCACGTCGGTTGGCTGTTGTGCAAGAAGCACCCGGATGTGAAGGCCAAAGGCAAGGGAGTCGATCTATCTGATCTCCGCGCCGATAAGGTCCTCATGTTCCAGAAAAAGTAAGTTAAATAAGGGTAATTAGAATTGTGCCGAAGTCTTACTGAAATGAAATAATTTACAGGTACTACATGCTCCTGATGCCCATTGCCTGCTTCATTATTCCTACTTTGACGCCCATGTATTTCTGGGGTGAATCTTTCATGAACGCCTGGTTCGTGGCCACCATGTTCCGCTGGTGCTTCATCCTCAACGTAACCTGGTTGGTGAACAGTGCCGCCCACAAATTCGGTGGACGGCCTTACGACAAGTAAGTGTTGAGGCCATAGAAAACATTCTGAACTACTGCTAACACCGTTTAATTTTACAGGCTCATCAACCCCTCGGAGAACCGCGCGGTGGCCCTCCTAGCCTTCGGCGAGGGTTGGCATAACTACCACCACGTCTTCCCCTGGGACTACAAAACGGCCGAGCTTGGCGATTACTCGCTAAACTACACCACCGCTTTCATTGATTTCTTTGCCAAGATCGGCTGGGCCTACGACCTAAAAACAGTGTCCTCTGATATCATTAAGAAGCGAGTTAAGCGCACCGGTGACGGCACTCACGCCACGTGGGGATGGGGTGACGTAGACCAACCTAAGGAAGAAATCGAAGATGCTCTCATCACATACAAAAAGACCGAATAGGCAGGCTGAGCTTAGCGCTAATAATGGGAGGGTAAAGCAGAAAATCAATCATATTAAATGAAAAAAAAGTAACAGAATTTTCCATTTTGCACTTGTCCGTGGAACCAATTTCCTAAAAAAGCAAAATAAGCCCATTTAATTAATTCTAAGATAAAACGTTGATTATAACTGTTTGTTGTATCTCGAAAACTTTATACCGTCTGTGTTAAACCAGCTCTGGAAATGTTTTTATTTCGCTCTGGAATTGCTTTTTAAAAGAGGCGCAAACTAACTTTGTATTTATACATGCATATAATTGCTTAAAACCTGGATATTGATGTACAATAGACGGCAATTGGAGCTTTTCATTCACTGTTATCTCGAGGACACTTTGGTATTTGAGAGAAACGTTCAGTTAAAAAATCTTAAAAGTTACACAAATAATGGAGGAAAACTTTCCGTTTCAATGAAAAAGAAATACCTGCAAATGAAAGATTTTAGTATTTAGCATAAGCCAAAAAGACAAAAAGAAATATCAAGGAACTAATATATAAAATATATAATAAACGATCGATGTTAGAATACTAAAAGGCACCTTCACCTATACATATGATATTTCTTTAAATGTTATTAAATAAAATGGGAAACGCCTCTGGGTTACAAATCCCAGTAGACTTTTCTATAACATAAAAACGTATAGGTATTTTTTTCGAACAGCACAATTCATTTATTTCTGTCGCACGCAGCCTCACAGACGTTCAAAACTTAAATCAAAATTATTGTGCTTGCTAAAAATGGATAACTTTCGTGTGCCTAAAAAAGTTAATCGGCATGTTCTCAAAGCTATTTCCGTTCTCCAATCGTCAAGAACAGATTTCGTCCGCTATGATAAAATAGTTAATCAAGTTAAGTTCCAAATGCGCTACCACAAGCCGGTTATCGATGTGGACGAGTTCATCAACGACTCTCTTACCAATATGCTGAACATGGGCTTACTGTCACGTTTGGGACGATCAAAATATGCAGTTAGCAGTCCAATTTTCGGGACTGTGGGAAGGGCAGTGGCCAAACCCAATACAAAAGTACCAGGTAATCCTGGTACCTCAAAACGACGTACGGTCCAGAATGCTGTAAGTGTGGGAACGTCAGGATCCTATTATAAGGATCATCAGACGAGATTAGAGCTAGAGTGTCTGTCCGTTTGTCAGTCCCTACGGACGTCGAGAACTACACTTTAAAATATTTACAGTGAACCCTAAATGGTTGTAGCTTAATTACATTGATCTATATTGTTACAGCGTTGCAAGCGGAGCACTGGTCGTTTAAATCCATGGAAGCCGGCGACCAAGCTCGTTAGCGATGACTCTTTATCTGGAAACGAGATGGAAAAGATTCGTAAGAGAATGCGCTGCAATACGAAGCGTATTATGAAAAATAAACGAGTAGTAACCTATCCGCAACCAGGGTGCAATAAGACCCGAGAGAATTCCAGTATAAAGATTCTACTCAATCCAAGGTTATCTGCCCATAAAGGACTGCGCATTATTCGAAACCTTCAAAAAGAAATTTGCGATGATTGCCTTCCATCGGTTTTGATGATTAATGTTAGAATGGATACAGATGAGGATCAATATCATGATTCGGATTCTTCGGCGACTTTAATTAGCTCTGATAGCTCTGCTAGTCATTCGTCTGGAAAGGAATCTGATGTTGAAAATGCTTCAGTGATTGGACTTTGTGGAAGTCCTTATGATATACGCTCTCTACAGGTGCCGCAGATAGAACAGCGAATGGAAGAGGAAATAGCGCCGGAGGTAGCAGAAGCGTTTGGACAGGAGGTTAAACATCAAATTGAACAGAAAATTGAAAATCAAATTGAACAGCCAATTGAACAACAAATTGAAAAGCAAATTGAACAGCAGATGGAACAGCAAATGAAAGATCAAGATAATCGGTCTTCATCGCGTGTTTCAGTCTTGCAAAATGACCACCAAACAGCTTCCCAAAAGGCCTCTTCTTTATCATCCATTGCAGCAGGCAAGGTAGTATCTGATGAATTACAAGACAAATTAACTAAAAAAAATAAGGGCGAAATAACTGAGAACAAGCTATCATTAATATCTGAAAAAGATTCTCCGAATCCCCAGGAGATACAAAACGAAATCTCCGAGGAAGCACAAACTTTAATATCTCGGGAGGAATTGCTCAAATCACGCTCGCAAAGTCCAAAATCTTCCCTATCTTTAGAAGTTCAAGGACTCTTAGAAGAACAAGGAACTTTTCTTGAAGGAGTTCAGCCTTTTATAACTGAAGAAATCGTAGGAACCCAAATTTCAAAATCCTTTATTGCCCAAGAAGCAATTTCTGAGCAGAAAACCGATAGCGCATTTAATTTTGACTTTTATAAATGATTTGAATAATAAAACTAATCGAGTACCCGCGCCAGCATCGATATATCGATAGTTGGCTTGCGTGACTTTTTTTGTAAAATCACATATGTGATTTGTGTATGTGTATACGTGAGGGGATTTCTCTCTCTCTCTTTCTCTGTTTTCGGTTTCTTACTGCTCTACTAAATGTAGGGCATATCGAATAATAGGCTAACCTCCGCCAAACAGGTTAAATTACGACATAGAAAATAAAAGGCTCACCTTGGATACTTATTAGAGGAAACTAATTTTATCCTTTCCTTTTTAAGCGCGCTGTTTCTAGAATTTTTATTTCACTTGGCTTTCTCGAATAATCGGTTTTACTTTTCGTTTATCGTTTGGGGAAACCAATTGCAGCGGAAGATTTCGAAATCGTTCGGTTTTCGATCTAGGGGAAATTTAACGACTCGACGAGACTGCCTTAAAATTATTCCACCATGGGTAGAGCATTTTAAAGTCGTCATGCGCGGGCTTTTATAATACTCTTTTTAGAGCACTGGCTCTCCAATTGTCTCCCTCCAGACTCTCTCGAATTATGACTAGCTACCGAGACTACCTTATAACTATTCTACCATGCTAAAGGTAGAGTATTTAAAAGTCGCCTTACACGGCTTTGTACATTTCTCTTTTTAGCGCGCTGGCTCCCCGTTTTTTCCTCAATCAACTCTCAGTTCTCGACGCGTAAACATTGCATTTAACAATCGAGCTCAGTGTTTTACTTTGTGTTTTCGCGTGATTTTATTTGTGTTTTGTATTTAAACCATTTGGATTTGGTTATACATTGCGTTCCAGAAGTGTTGAATAGACGCAGACGGTTAAATCTGAATTCCGTTGTATTTTAAACGCCTATTGAGAGAGAGAGCTCCCATAGTTCACGCCCCCTCACTTGTGACGTCGTCGAATGCAAATGCAGTGTGCGCGGCAAGTTAATTGAATTCGATTTGATTGCACTCGCGGTGGGAAAAGATATAGCGGCTACGTGATGGATAGAAAATTCCTAATGATTCTGATCCTGGGCTTCGGCTTTATGTTCGTTTTCACGGCGTTCCAGACCATGTGTAACATAGAGGTAGGTTCACTCTCTGCTCTCTTTATTTGTATGTATGCGTGGGCGTTGTTGTTGACATCCTTGCCATTGGACGTTCGTCCTTGTCCTTGCCAATAGACAACGCAGTGCCCTTGCCACCCACAAAACCACCCACACAACCGCCCAAGCCCAACGTAACAGGATGTGACGGTTCAAGCAGCAATTGCTGGGTCGTAAATTAGCCCCTGATTTGTGGCGGTGTAAAGTGTCGAGGAGTTGCTTATTATAACGATTTTATTCACTGCTCCAAAGGTCACCAGTAATTCAGCGTTCATTGTTCGCTCTGTAAAACACATTTGCTTGCTTCAATTGATAAGAAGTATGAGCCCTGGGTAACTCATCTTCTACTATAGAGCAGTTATCGTTTGTTAAAAAAAAGAATATTAATAGTAGTAGTGAACCCGTATAACAGAATAATTCTTTAAATTTCTACCTCTGTTATTTAGCTTACAATGTATGATAGGCTGTAGACCATTTAAACCTTATCATCTGTCATAGAGCCCTTATCGTTAATAATGCAAATACAGACGTGGAAACCACATGGAGTCAGAAAAGTTGACCCCAATAAAGGAATAACTTTCTTTCAATTGTATTCCCATATTCCATGCTTTTATGGGGTAAAATTGTTGTAAAACTTGTATTTAAAGGCACCCTGCTCAACAAATTTCATTCAGATTAACTGAAAAATATATTTTGAGATAAGTAATATTGAATGAAATCTGAAAAACGTCAGAATAGAATCTTGAATTTGCCAAAGCCGCTGACGCATTTATTCTTTACTTCATGGAGTCATCAGTTCACTGATAAATACCCAAACAAAACATTTTATTTAGCTAATACATATACATACATACATATATGATTAAATTAGCACGGATGCGATTGGAATTAACTTTGAGATGCCCAAAAACCAATGCCTAATCGAAATGAAATATATAAGAATTTATAATATTATTATATCTGCGCAGTTATGCAAGTTCCGCTCTATTTCGTTTATTATTTCCGAAAACCAGCTGGTGATAATCCCGTTATTGGCAGCTTTGAGGGGCATACTAAAATCTATTGGCACAATCAAGTGCCAGCGATTACCTAATTAATATTTGGAAATAAGCACTATGTACGTACTTAACATTAATGATAGGCAAAGATAACCCCAGTGATGTGTTCATTGACTTGTTGCATTATAACGGCTTATTTTGTCGATAATTTATTGCGGGTAATAAAAGCCATAAGATCAAGGCCAGCGCCATCAAAAACAAAACCAGAAAACAGGCATTCTATATATACTTATTTTTATACTATGTAAAACCATATCGACTCACACGCAGATCGTATGGTTGGATTCATTAAGCAACTGGATTGTCGGGTATACGAAAAAAAAAGTTCTTTTTTACGTTTATCTTGTCATTACGTATGCGACGCATTTTCGTTGTGGCCAAAACTCGATTTCCAAGCTGACCATCAAATGGGTCTTTGTCATTGTTTTGCAAACAGCTCATTTTTCGAATCATTTTGTTATGGTTCAATGGACTTTATGAACACCTTCTGATAAATACCGCAAAAAATGGGTTAAAATGGAGTGAAGCGTTGTAATTGGACCCTTTGGTTTTTTGCTTTTTCTGGTTAGCTTTGTGTTTTTAATTTGGCCTTTCAGCGCGGCAAGCGGCGCATGCGCAATATATTTTTGCTATCTTTGTGCCTGCCCTCCAGTTAGTGTTTCTCTTTATAAACAATTTATGACGGCAACAGTAAAAAAAAAGCAAAAGTAACTTGAAATTCCAAGCAGGGCGTGCTTTGGCGTGTATAAACACACAGGGAAAAACTAGAGATTTATAATTATTAATAATCATGTAAAAAGGAAATTGTATTTATCGGTATTGGATAAGCTTTTTTGGGGATATAAATATAAACCAAAAACATACCTTTATTATATATACTCCAGCCCTTTTTTCATCAAAAGAAAGTATTATTTTTTTTACAAATTTTCAATGAGTTTGGTTAAAAATTCTTTTATTTATTTATTTAATTAATTATTTATCTAATCAACAATACATTTTGGTAAATTAAATTAAGATTAAGATAAACACCAACTTTAATTAAAGCAAATTTTTCTTGAGTGCTGTTGTCTAAACTTATAGTCCAACAATCGATCGATCGATCGGGCAGAGTTTGGCCCGTTATTCGTGGCTATTAGAGAGCAATTTTGAAGCGAGGCCTTGGCTCATATGGTGCAACCGTTGGAGTGGCAGAGAACACTTTCAGAGACCGCTTTCCACCTGATTGCGCAATCGAAATCAAACGCCCAACACAAAACGCGTCAAACGGCGACTCTTTCAATGTCATTGCAATTGCAAGTTCGCCGCCGCCGCAAATAAAAAAAACACGAACACACACATTGTCAGTCGTCAGGCTCAAGGCCACGTCAGCAATAGAGTAAGCCAGGTTGACCAACATACATATGTATGCATGCACCCAACACATCAATTTGGCCAAGACGCTTGGGCGAAGGGGGTGGCGACGGGCGGAGCGCCTGCGCCCAGCCAAAAAGCATAGCCATCAGCCGGTTGCACAACAACAAAACGAAAAGTGGGTGTGCGCCGACGAGCCCACCACTCACTCCCCAAACCACCTGAACCCCGAGCTCCCCACCACCCAACTGCACCACCACCACACCAATCGTATGCAGCAATGTCTGGCCAAAAGAGCGGAAAATCAAGTCTAGCTTGGTAAGGCCGAGTGTATCGAACACCCTATAAATATACGGCGGTCTTACCAAATATGGAAATTAAGCTTGGTATTTCATATTCGGATTGTAACATTTTCACAAAATCAAGAAATTTAACCAAATAAAAATTTCCTAAATAAGTGGTTTCAAATTTTTATTTTTTGAGCAACATATTTTTATTACTCTTGAAACGTAACAAACCAGTTAGAATTTATTTTAGCTTATTTTATTGTACTTCCATTATATTACTTCAGTTCAAGAATGAAAATCTTGATTTTAAAATTTAACTTGAATTTTTGGACTTGTAGGTTTAAAGTTTACAGATCTACTAAGCCTTTCAAAAACATATCACCAACAAAAACTATCATAGTTAATACCGAAGCTGATCTTATATTTTCATACCGACAAAATGTCCAAACATTGGAATAAATTGGAAAAAAAGAGTATTGAATTCGCCAATGATCATGAGGTGCAGCTTGACAAACGAACGTATGGATTTATGAAGACCGTGAGGGCGGACACTCCAATCCCAAAGGCCCACAAGAAAGTCAGTGCAGCATCACTGATGGAAAGATTGCACTCCGTGCACGGAAAACTGACAGTTGATGAAAGTTCGCTAGAATCATTTGGTTCTTCAACGTCATATACGGAGTCAATGGAATCAGACAAAATGGCCTTTAAGATGAAACGGAAACTATTCGATCGAGGCGAGTTTACCATTACAAGAGGCTTCAGGCTTAGTGAAGAAGTCCATCCTGTCGTCTCAGGTACAAAATATAAGGCCAAAGATGTTGCAACGAAGAATCTGGAGGAAATCGAGGAATATTGTCGCCAGATGAACATAAAATTTGACTGATTTTTGTTTTTCTAATAGGTTAAACCAAACCCTTCCGAAAACAACAGTCATCTTTCAAATAATAACATCAACTATCAACATATATTTTGCACTACAACGAAATTACCAAATACGATGTTGATGAAGAACCACAATGCAATTCCATATTTTGCAATCCGAGCCAATTGATGAAAGCGAGAAAGTAGGGTGATAAAGAAATTGATAAAACCGAACCTACCATAACACGAGGACAGAAGTTAGTGGCCATCTAAATATAAAATACAGGCGTAATGATAAGGGAAGCTAACTTCTGAAGACTTTAAGGAATACTGCCTTCAGATGGAACTTAACTTTCTAACTGAATCGAAGATAAGCTATTATCTTCAAGTTTATTTTGTATTTTGAATATCCTTTTTAAAAGTATTGAATCTTAAAAAAAAAATGTCATTGCTCAAAATTAAATAAAAAAGAAGTTAATATTAAATGCTAAACGTAATAAGAATGAATTATTTACTTCATCACATCATTTTGAAGATGGAGGCCTATTTTTGCGAAATGATTATCCAATTTGGTAAATTATTTATTTTCATTTTTGCACTCAGCAACCAATGAATTGTTAAGTTCACAATTTATCAATTCGGAACTGCGACATTTAACTACAAAATAAGTGGGAGACAAAATATCTTGCAATTTTCAAGCTTTTTTTTGTTGCATGCAAACTTAAAGTAAAAGTCAAAATACCTTTTGCAAGGAAAAACACACCAAACTTGTTTCAGCATTTTTGAAGTTTTTCGTGAGTCGTTGTGCCAGTTTTTTTGCGTAATAAATAAATAAACCGAAATGACGATCGGTTTTATAAGTTGTTCGTTACATTCTCCTGCAATTCCGCGTACGCACAATTCTTTCTTCATTGCATTCGACTTTCTTTCGAGTCTCGTTTGCTTAAAACTTGACCCAATTCTCTTGCTCTGAGGTGTTATTTCCCCTCAATTCAATAATATAGTCATCATCAGCGAATTTTCATTGAGCTCCATTGGTGCTGATAAGTAAAACATGCACTTGAGATTTCTTATCATCACCGTCTTATAGTCGTCTATAACACTTTGCTTTTTATGTTTATGTGGCTGTACCATAAACAATCTTATTGATATATATATATACGTAAGAAATTCTACAGCCAGTGAGAACATTTTCAAACCCCAAAGTTGCTTTAACCACTTTCCAAAGATAGATTTAAAAATAGTTCCTGAATTTTCAAGGCCACTCAACGTATACTATTAATTTTTACTGACAAATCAGTTCCGCTTCGCGATTGCAGACAATTACATACTCAACTTTCACTTGCCGCAATTCCATTCGTATTTCTTTGTAGCACGCTTTAAAACATTATCAGTATTTGTAACCTCTCAAGTTCTCAAGTTGGACTTCAAAATGGGCACGAGGACCAGTTCAGATTTGCGCCACTTAATTGATGCAAATAAAAATCTAAATCGTGTCACAGTCAGAATTTTGCACTCAGATAACGATATCACTCGGTCGTTTACCAAGATGCGTCCTTTAGAATGGAAAATTTTTAGACTCAACCACAAAACATGTTTCGCATGTGCAGCTTGTAATTTTCCATTGACAGTGGCAAGAATTGTAAAGTTGCACTTGAATCTGTTCCAAGTCGCGCCCAGAAATAAATTGAACTGAGCAGCTGTGGTTATTTAAACACTTAAGCCATTCAGATGAATGGAGCATTGCACCCAAGACAAAGCACTATTTTCTACTGATACTCAAATAGGTACCTTTTTTATTATATATATTATTCTTGATTAAATGAAAACACAATTTATCCACCGAATTTAAAATGTATTCTGCGAGCATTGGTGGTTTTTGTTTAGGGAGATTTGGTATCCGGACAGGAAATACCTGTATGATATGTACTTGAACCGAGAACACGTTTACCGTATAACATTTAAAGAAAAACAATAAACAAATACGTTGCTGCCGGTTCATTGGCATGCAGTCGTCAAAATGTGTCTGGCACGTTTCCAAAATGCTAATCGTTTCACTTTTCGATTCCGTCTACCCGATAGAAAACCATACTGGACAGCATTTCCCAGGAGGATGAGAGCTTCAAGGGTGAGGGCTATACCAGTCTGGCCATCATCTATCTGTTCTTCTCGCTCTCCAATTGGTTGGCACCCTCGTTTATTTCGTTTACGGGTCCCCGAGTTGCCATGGTCGTGGGCGCATTGACATATACGTGAGTCGATTCTCTTTAAAGGGTCAATAAAGTTTGGTAACTGATGTTCCCTTTTTCCAGGGCGTTTATGATCACATTCATGTTCCCGTCCACGGTGTTGCTGTACGTGGGCAGTGCGGTGCTGGGATTGGGAGCCTCGATCACCTGGACGGGTCAGGGAACCTACCTGGCTCGCTGCAGTGAATCCAACACCATCTCCCGCAATTCGGGCGTCTTTTGGGCCCTGCTGCAGTGCAGCATGTTCATTGGCAATCTGTTCGTGTACTACCAGTTCCAGGATAAGACCCGCATCGACAAGGAGACAAGGAACCTGGTCATTGGAGTGCTCACAATAATCGCCATTCTGGGCATCGTGTTCCTGGCCGCCCTGAGATTTATGGCTGACAATGCCGAGCATGACAACGAACTGGAGCAGAAGCACACGGGCTGCGGACAGGCAATGTACGCATTGAAGTCGGCAGGACAGTTGTTCCTCACCAAGAAGATGCTGCTTCTCAGCTTGGCCTTCTTTTATACAGGTGCGTTTAAGAAATATAGAAATAATTGTATGTTAAAAATAAATAAATAAGAAATTAAATTAGAAAGATTTTATCTTGTCAGAATCAACGAATTGTTTATCATATTATATTTAAATGTTTTTTGTACAAGTTTTAAATGTCTTTACTTTTAATTTACAGGCCTGGAACTGTCGTTCTTCAGTGGCGTTTTTGGCTCAGCTATTGGCTTCACCACGAAAATTGCGGAAACGCCGAAGGAGATCGTGGGCCTGGTGGGCATTTGCATTGGAGCCGGCGAGGTCTTCGGAGGCGGACTCTTTGGCATACTGGGCAACAAGACGACGCGTTATGGACGCGATCCCATCGTGATTGCCGGCTATGTGATGCACATGGCAGCCTTCTTCATGACGTTCATCAACCTGCCGAACAGCGCACCGTTCAAAGATACCACCGAAATATCCTACCTGGATCCGCCTAGAGCCAGCATTGCCCTGATCTGCGCATTCCTATTGGGTCTGGGCGATGCCTGTTTCAACACTCAGATTTACTCGATGCTGGGCGGCGAGTATGTAAACAATGCGGTGGGCGCATTTGCCCTGTTTAAGTTCACCCAGTCGGTGGCGGCTGCGATCAGCTTCTTCTACTCTTCGCACTTCGGGCTGTATGTGCAGCTGGGCATCCTGGTGGTCATGGGAACCATCGGAACGATCGCCTTCGTCTTCGTCGAGTGGGGCTTCAAGCGGCAACACCGGGAGCAGGAGGCTTTGGAGAAGTAATCCCGCCTGGACTGGACTGGACTGGACTCCTAGGATCTAGAGTATTAGCTGCAGGTTCTCGTTAGGGCTTTAGGACTATAGCCATTTGTCCGCTTTTGTTGAATTCCTCGGAATGCGTTGATTCCGTGCGACTGCGTCGTCTTCCTAGACAATAACTGTTAAGTGTTGTTGCGCGCTGCTGTTGCATTCGTAGGTATTTTATTGTTGGCATTCCAAAACGTAATTATAATCTAGTTGTCTATGTTTTGATATGTGTGTATTGTATATGTGCGTTTATTTATTGAGATTGTGCAATTGTAAATTATCTAAACCACAGATTTGGAGTATTATAAGAAAAAGGCACAACCGTGCAAATATATAATGAATTTTAAGAAAAGGGAATTGTTTTTTAATACACAAGGACAAATTTTAGCATGAAAAAGTAAAATGGGTGTTCTTTCTCAATATAACTTAGTTTTAATCATATAATTTAATAATACTTGAGATAGTTTTAAAGTATTTATTAAAATTAATTGTGTATTAAACTTAAATTAGAAACGTTTGTTAATATGATTAAAACTACTTTAAAGACATTTTATAGTAATACAGTTTTTGAAGGGTTACGTTTTGTAATTATGTATTATGCAAATGAATAATAAAATCATTTATATTTTTAAATTGTGTTAACGGTCTAAGACGTATACTCGATATTTTAATATTCGATAAGTGCGAAAGGCATTTGGCTCATATCGATTGTCCCACGAGGTACAATTATTTGGTCCATCGCTAAAACAAACCATTCGCAATATCTGAAAACTTTTGTGGAAACCATGAAAAATGGCAAAGAATAAATCGACGGTGTACCTGGGCTACGAGGATGAGGAGGTTACAGCCAAGCAGGAGCAGTTCCTGAACAGCTGCACCAACAAAATCGGCGGCACACCAGTAAAAATAATGATTTGATGGGCATCGCAGAGACAGCTGATAATTGAAATTGATTTTTACCAACAGGACTGGCCAAGACATGAGTTGACGATTCCGACCTGTCCACTGTGCGGTGCAGTGCGTCCGCTGATCGTACAGATGTACGCCCCTCTGGACCGCTCTCAGTTTCACCGTAGCCTGTACGTCTTCGGTTGCGTGAGTCCCGCATGCTCGCAGAACTCCAAGAGCTGGACATGTGTGCGCACCCAGCACCTGGATCACCAGTTTGAGGTCATCAGTGAGCAGTCGCCCAAGGCCACGCCCACAGGAAAGCAGCACTCAAAGAAGAAGAGCAAGTCCTCCGGATTGCAGGCGGTCAACTGGTGTAGTGGAGCGGACGATTGGGGCGACAGTCAAGGTGAAGCCAACTCTGTGCCGCTCGACGAAGCCATGGACATCACCGCTGACGAAGAGCAAAACGAGCGGAATGGAAATGTGCGGCCAAATGCTTTGCAATATGCAAAGGGCGATGTAAAACTGGAGGAACCAGTTAAATTCGAGCAGGTTAAAATTGGCGGCGATGATGAGGACGACGAAGACGAAAGCACCTCAGTTGAGAACGATTTGATCTCAGGCTTCCATCAAATTGACATGATCTCACCTCAAAACGCCGAGGATGATCCAAATGCCAACTGTGCAGCAGCCGCTGCTCCCAGTTTGGATGTTGCAGGAGCCAGTGCCGCTACCGCAGCCATTTGCGCCGAGATCGAAGGTCCCGAAACGGATCTGGTGCTGGTCGATACGCCTAAGAAGCCGGAACGCGACCTAATTGCCTTGCTAAAGCACACTTCGCTCTCGTTGTCGCAAATAAAGGATCTCACTCTGAAGTCCTACTACATTGCCGTTGATGTAGAGAGCAAGACTCAAGTTGAAGAATACGAAAACTATGGCGGAGCTCTGTCCATGGACCACATTCGTGATTTGTACCAGGAGTACAAGCTGAGGGACGAAGATGCGGCACATTCTCCCACGGGTGCCTCTGGATCTGGCGAACCGGGTGATGAGCACGAGTCCTACGAGAAGGCCCTACCCGCCCATGGCGACATAGTGTTTCACAACTTTATCACTACCATCCAGCAGAATCCGGGCCAATTGTTAAGGTAAGACTGCCAGCTTTAACACCTAAGTAGAAGTCCTGAAGATCTTCATTTATCTTTTCTAGGTATTCCCGAGATGCGCTACCTCTCTTGGTGGCTCCACTGACGGAACCACTGCCCAAGTGTCAGAACTGCAAGGGCGAAACCATCTGCGAGGTGCAACTGCTGCCCACACTCATTCCCAAGCTGCGCTTCCAGTTGAACGGCTGCAATGCACCAATTGAGTTCGGCAACGTGCTGGTTTTCACCTGCCTAAAGAGCTGCTGGGACACGCCCGACCTAATGCGCTACGAGCACATTGTGGTGCAGTCCGAATCTTAGGACGGCTTCCGGCCATTTTGAAAAGCCATAGAACCCACTCGCTGTAGCAGCTAACGGTTGCAGACCGGTGCAACGAATTTTTAACGCAAACTGCAGAGGAAAAGCTAAGCTTCTCGATTATCCTAGGAAGATTTTATGCTCTAGTTGTTAAGAACGTTGTAAGCTTTTAGACACTCCGATAAGGATAGTTGCTAATAATATCTCGTTATTTTCACTCCCCCTCTAACAGGGTTTCAAATTGAAGTGTTTTATTTTCCGTTCGTAGGAAGCTGAACTAACTTAAGCTAAAGGTGCATCGGCATCAAGGTGATAGCTCCTTACGGTGGAGAACCTAAGCGGTGGATATTTGGCCTCTGTCAGGTCGAACTCTGAGCTAACGTCCACCTTGTTACGCTTCTGCACGAGTGTGTAGTGCGACCACACCAACTGCGTGCAACGACGCTTGGTAGATCCTGCGATGCGTAGCTCAATGAGGAACTGCGAGGAGTCCTCCTCCAGGGGCATAATGCTCCCGCGTCTCTGACGGATGTGTCCGGATCCGCGCACCTGCGACTTTTGCAGCACCAGAGTTACTGTGCTTCCAAACAGTCGATAGCGACCTCGGAGCATTTCAGGCCGTATGTTGTGTAGATTCTTCAGCTTGGAGACACCTTGTGTCGGCTCATCGGCGCTTGTCATCATCAGCACCTTGCCATCGGGCATAAATCGAATGTAGCGATAGTACTCCACCAGCTGCACAGGGCGGTAGAATTGATCTTGGAAGCTGTTTTCTCCCATTCGCAGGTACGTGGTCTTGCTGATGTAGCAGCCGTTGAAGAGAACACGCTCTCTTCGGATGAACATGTCGCGCCAAGAGTAGTAAACATTGCTGATGTCCGAATCCTGGGACTCCAGGGATCCAACGTTGTGGCCCCATACCCTAGAAAAAAGTTTATTGATTAAACAGCAGGCAAGACTGAGCTGAAAAACATTTTTGCAGACTAAGCTGAATGCGAACAAAAAATAATAAAATATTAAAAAAAATAATTTTAACCATTTCCGACAAAATCAGAAAGCATCCAGCAAGCAATATAAATTTGTATGATTATGCTCTTCGGCAAAGATGAAAAGCTTTCTTACTTAACACAGGCTAGCCTCCAAAGCTCCTCATCCCGGGCGTAGACATAGAAACCTTTGGAAACGGCGGCACACTGCTCTAGCGAGCGCATATCCAGTTGGGAGGACACCACCCAACGAAGGATGCGCATCACAATCTCAGGCGGAAGATCCGCAAAGTGTAGGCCGGTTGTCAAGACACTTGAATCTCTGCTGGACGCAAACAGCTTGCCGTTATAAATGGTGTCCTGCCGCAGGTCCTGCTGGAACTTTTCATACAGGTTGTCGACGATCTCCTCGCCGCCTTCCGAAAAATCCTTCTGGCCCAAATCCAGTTGCTTGGCCAAATCGCTGGCCAGATTGTGATACTTCTTGTTGGCATCGCTGCTAAGCTTCTGCTGCTCGTAAAACTTAAACTCAATATCCGGAACGATTTGGGTGGCCTTCCGGTAAAAGGGAATTGCGTCGTAGACCTTTCCCCGCTGCTCCAACTGTACGGCGGTACGATAAAGACTTTCCGCTTTAGCTTGCAGGAGATCTGCCTCGCTGAGATTGGAGTTTGCCGTCGCCAGAGGATCTCTTCCAGCTTCAGAACGATTCCGGGATCCAGTGTTTGTGTGACCTTGAAGCTCCCGCTGCCAACTTTCCCGGAACTCATCCAGCGCATTCGGGCCCATTTCCTGGCCAGCCACTTCGCCATCCGAGTCCAAATCCGACATGGTTATCGTAAAGCTAGTCTGTGAAGGCCGAACAGATCGTTAAAATAGATTCATTTACATTTATCTGACGCAATTTCTAACCTGAAAGGTATTAGTATTGGTCGTTAGAAGATGGGAAAATTCGGACCGGAATTAAACTTATAATGAAGGGCCGCGCGTACTGCTGATTTTGGCCGCGGGCTTCACCCCAGAATTTCAAAGTAGTGTGCAACTGGGAGCAACATGTGGCCATTGGTAAGACCCCAAAGATTAAGTTAATTCAGATACGCAAACGGGAACACTTCTACCTGTGTAAATTTATAGTTTACAGTGTGAACGAAGCGCTGTTAAAAGGCAATCTCAGAAATGATTCCGGTCATACTGAATTTTGTTATCTGTAATAGTCATATTATCGTTATGGATTCTATTTTTTCAATTACCCTTTAATCATAACATTTTTTTTTAAGTTACATTTTTATCTTCAAAAATGTCCAAGTCCTTCCCATTTCAAAGGCCGCATTCAAGTGCTTGACCAATTTGAAACTCAATAACTTATCGATAAGCACCGCTCAACAGCTGATTCCAACGCGGCTCTGTTTTGTTTTGATTGCTTATTTGTTTGAGCCGCATTATCAGCAGGTAAAATGTGTGTTTTTTTTTTCAATCAACATGGTAGAATAACATACAACTTTAGGCCTCACTGGCAGGAACAATGTCAGCGGACTACTCCCATCTGAGTTCCGCCATCCTGGAACAATGTTTTGGCAAGGTGGTGCAGTCTGTGGCCGATTGCCTCTTCTCGGCCACCACGAGGACCTTGGGTCAGATCACCAGTGCCACCAAGTTCTCACGCAAGGAAGTGGCTCTCGCTCTGGCTGTACTCGTTAAGTACAGGTTGGTGGACTTCTCGGCCTCTAAGCAAAATCCTTTTCTGGCGGAGTACGCCCTCCGGCGAGAGGATATCCTTTGCCTTCTGCGGTATCCACGGTAAGAAAATAAATAATAATAATATTAAAAATAACTCATAAGGTGTGTTTTTACCTTTTATGGGGTATTACAAAAATACCAATATATCAACTTTTTAGCTCTTTCTTAAATGTTTGGAACACTTAAAATGTATTATTAAGGTATTATTATTATTGAGGCTTTTTTTAAATGTATGGCATTCGTTTTTAGCTACGTGCACCTGGTTCAAACTAAATACGGAAATGTTGGTGCTTCCATAGCCGAGGAGCTTATTAGTTCTGGATCAGATACTGCAAGTGGAATTCTGATCAAATGCCTAACAGAGGGCGAGAATAAGTCGGAAAGCCCAGAAGCCTATCGCAATACCTTCCTCCAAATGATAACTGACCATTATATCATTAAAAGGCCGGAACTATTGGTGGCCGAAGACCAGGATGAAAGTGTGCCGAAATTCGAAAGCAATGAGTGCGACTTTTTCAGGCATCCCAACATTGATCTTCAGTTGCTCGCTAAAATTCGAAAGGGCGATGCTACTCTGGCGGAAGCCAAGGACAACTCTATGGTCTGGAACCTAAACTACGATCGGTTCCACCAGGACTTTCGGGACACCATAATGGTGGATGCCATTGAAAGAAAACTTGGGGAAAATGCGGCAGAGTGTTTTAGATTTATTCTGAAAATCATGTACAACACAACTGATCCTTGGCAGAGAGTATGGTAAAATAATATTAACGCATTAAAATTGCTAAACCAAATTATTATTACAGAAACTTTCGAACCAGATACCTTTTGTGGAAATTAAACAGGCAATCGAAAGAAAATCGAATAACCTTGATCTTATGAAGTATTTGGACCAGTACATAAGCTTGTTAAGTAAGTTTAGATTGCTGAAAAGTATAAATGGTATTATTTATTCAATTTTTGGTTTTTATAGCGGACGATTCAATGGGATTTTTCCGGAGAGTAGGCGACATGGGTGGGGGAGTGTACGTTGTGGATATGGAACATGCATTTGAATCGCTAGCTTTTGCTTGTGTCGAGTGTGTCATTACTGAACGTTTTGGCTCAAAGGCAGCACGGATATTTCGAGTAATACGATGCAAGAAGTACATTGAGCAGGAGGACTTGCAGAAGGAAGCCATGATCCCCTCTAAAGAGGCAAAATCTCTGGCCTATAGTCTGTTCCAGGAACAGTTTATACATGTGAAGATAATTAAGAAGCCTGGAGGAGGCAGCAATGGCCCAGCCAAATCATTTTATCTTTTCCAAGTTAGGGAAAAGGATGTAAGTAATTATAAATCAATAGATTCAATTATTTGCAATCGTATTCTTTTGTAGACGGTGCGTATGTTGCTAGATGCCAGTTACAAGGCTCTTTATAATACTATCGAAAGGTCTAACTTTGAGAAAAATGAGCACAAGGGTCTAATTGAAAAATCACAAAGACTTGACAGTATAGTGGAGACAATGAAAGAACGCGGCGAGACTGACGAATATATTGCCGAGGTAACTAAATACTTAAAGAAAACTTAAGGCTGTTTTTATTGGCTCTTTTGCTTTTCAGATTGTTGAAACATTTACACCACCCGAATGCGAGATCCTTAATAAGGTAAAGAATCGGATAAAGACCTTGTCAAAGGCTGAACTAACCCTGGACGATACCATCTTCCTTTTGCAAATGTATCAGCATCATTGCACTTCGCTTCCGACAGGCATTCGAAAATTTAAATAAAAAAAATTCAATTTAGGGAATAGATTGTCTTATTTATTTGAGGTGATTATCATTTAAAAACATTTTTTTATACTACACATTACAGAGATTTTGTTCATTTATAAAAATCAAATAATTTGGTAAAAACAATTAAAGCAGAAGCTTCTTTAAATCAATAAGGTATATAGATTCGGGTTTATTAAAACTCACATATGCAAATTAAATGACTGTACGCTTAATCACAGGCTATCTAAAACAAGTTATGCATAAAAGGGCTAGTTACTTTCTGGAGTAATTACACTCCGTTTCCTGTGAATAATTCTTTGTTCGCGATGTGCTTTTTGCAGTTTAATGAAGTGCTCCTCCAAGGCATCGAAATCTATTCCACTTTTGTACTCCAGTGAGTTTCGCTCGTCGCTGTAAACAATATAAATTGTGTATGCGAGTAGCCATTAGTCAATAAAATATCTTACATGGGATCGTGGCCCCAGTAATTAGGTACACATTGAAGACGATTTCGAAGAGTATCAAAAGCTTCTGTCTGCGGCAGCAACATTAGAATGCCAAACAAAGCGTGGGCCAAATACTGAGCATCCGCACAATTATTTGCTTTCGAAACGAGAGTTAGACGTAAAGGAGCAAATATTGGAGACTCTATTAACTGAACCAATTTATCCAATTCGGTAAGCAGCTCCAAGGTGATTTCAACATCAGCACTGGAAAAGTGTGATTAAAAAAAAAAAATTTCTTAGATTATGTGTTGAATTTACTTACAATAATGTTACCAAACGGGATACATGCTGGTAGCTCTGGGCCAGCAAACACAAGGATAGCGTGGACACTGGACAGTGGGCCCAACTTTTGTAAAGGCATTGAAAAAGATCTGCTGACTTTTCATTGGAAATATTCCGCAGGCTCGTACGCAATTCGAAAAGCTCCGTTGATGTCAGAAGAATTATGTTTAGCAGACGCACAACTGTAGATGCAAACTTTAAATTGGGCACTTCTTCAGCTATTATCTCGGCAAAAGTGCGGTAAATATATTCGGCATTCAGCAACACACAGAGTTTCCTAAAATCCACACATTAGTCAACTTTTTGATTTCGATAACCATATGTAAAATTACCTTATAATTAGGCTGGCTCTGTTTTCCAAAATCAGTTTCTCTTCGCTAAAGAGATTCAGCAGGCTAAGTAAAAACTTCCGGTAGTGCGATTTGTTAAAGTCATTTAACTCTGCAAGTAAACTACAAATTAGTTAAAAATAAAAATTACTTTAAAAATAATTTCTTACCCCTGCTATCTTGAGAGTTAACAATTTCTGCCAAAACCGACAGACTTTGCAGGACTACCTCATCCGAATTATCAGCTAGCGTTGACAATAGATTATTATTTAAGTTGCTGGCATGCACGGACATTTCATTTGGAAAATTGGTAAAAAGATGATGGATCCATTTAAGTACTGCGATCTTTGTGTGCATAGAGTTGTGCGTGAGATACTGTGACAGAACATCCATAATTGAACGCAAATCGATCTTGGCCACCGTCTGTTTTTTCAGCTCTTTAGTCGACACCAGCGACATCATCGAGTTGTTAACGGAAACGGCGCACTCTTTAATACCTATAAAAAATAGATAAATAAAAAGACTGTTTTATACTGCCCTCTTATCTCTTACTTCTCTTGGATTCCACATTATATTCAAGGCACGGCAATATCGCCGTGAAAATTCCACTTGCATAGGGCAACACATTTGGCCCAAATATTTGAACAAACTCTCGGATCCAGGTTATTGCAATAGACTTGATGAGCTCATTGGGTGACTGAGCGTGGGTAATTAGCGTGTTTATAGTGTCCTCCATCCTCACGGAGGAAGAGTCGTTTCTTATGGACTTTAGAAACTGACTGATAGTAGTTTCACACATGCGTTGAATTTCGAGTGTATTGTCCTCGAGCATGAGAAAAAGGCCGTCCAGTATCTCGGTCAAATAGTTGACCATATTGATGTCCGGCACAGCGTTTAGGATCGATATCCATGAGATCACATACTGACGGGCAAAGGCATCCTTCACATAGATGTGCTCTCTCAGCAAAGGAATAAAGGCTTCGAGGTTAAAGGTCTGCGACGATTCCGTGACAATGTCCTTAAAAAAATAAGGTGATATGGTGGTAAATTGCTTTCGATAATTTTAAAGTATTATATGATGGAACTCTTATCGAGTGTACCTTTAGTAGTCGATCCAGTAGCTCGCTGCCGTCCTTAACCATCTGATCTGAATCAGTAACAAGTCTAGATAATGCGGCGAAAAGCTCCGGTAATAATGGAATGATGGCGGCTCGGGCCACCTTGACTACGTTGTACAAGGACTCGCAGGCGAAATAGCGAACACGCAGGTCCGGATCCGACAGACAGGTCATGATGGGAGTCACAAGGCCCTGGACGTACTTTCCCGAATCCTAAAAAACATTAAAAATTTAACTTATCTAGTTATGGGTCCGATGAGTAATGGTTCTACCTTGCCCAACCCTAATCCCGTGGCTGCGAGACCGATAAGCGCCCCTTTTCTGCGGTTCGCATCCCGTGAAGTCGCATAGTCCGTAGCTAGAACCTCGATTAGTTTACGGATCTGTGCCGAGTTGTTCTTGTTGTTGAATTCGGTGACCATTCTGTGGGAGAATCGGATATCCCAATTGGGATGACGAATCTTTTGTCGTGTTGGAATACTCACTTCTCGATTTCCTGCGAGGCCAATTTCCGTTTTTCGTACACCTTGTCGCCAAGCGCCTTGGCACAGGACTCACTTAAAGGGGCGTACGGCGGTTCCATTCTGCAATCCGTAATATCAACAAAATAACAATATTTATAGGCGGGTTTTCGGGTTTCTCTGCATCTCTTTGCCAACAGCTGACTGATGGGGCTGCCAACCTGGCCTCCAAAGAGTGCAAATTTACTGCAAGCGCAAAATTCAAACAAAGTGTTCAAAAATTTAACTTGCTAAATTTATAAATGTTTTATATAAAGGAAGCCATAATACAGATAATACATATTTTTAGTTGCCTCTGACTTTAAAATTTATCTTCTGTCTTTCGAATAATAAAACGAATAGACCATCCTACATTTACATTTTAAACAATTTTGTTTTTCTCTTAAAATGTCTACAAAAGACATTTAAATCAACATATTGTTTCAGAATCATCAGCACAACTTAATTTTTTTTTTTAGTTTTCCAATTTATTTTTAAGTGTTTTAAAAGCTTCAACTAACTTTTTTTCCCACGATACTGACTTCTTAGTAAAAACACAAAAATATGTTTCTTTAAAGTAAAATAAATAATTTATTTTTTCGTATTGCTAAATAAGCGTATAGCAATTTGTTGCTAACTTAAGGCAGAAATAATTTAGTTACAACTATGATATTTTATGAGAATGGCAATCAAATTATTTACATCTGTAATGAAAGCTTTAACTAGGAATGGAGATTTGTTGGTGAAATCTAATGAGTATCTTATGCTTAGTCGACCTCCTCGACTGTGGGTCCTGAGTAGCCGCCAAATCCTCCGGCCTGCTGGCCGCAGTTGGCTCCTGGACCACCAGCTGCCCCCGCTCCGGCTGCCTGGTGCATCTTGGTCATGATGGGGGAGCAGTGGCGGGTGAGCTCCTCCATCTTGTGGTCGAACTCCTCCTTCTCGGCGGTGGTGTTGCCATCCAACCACCGGATGGTCTCGTTGCACTTCTCCAGCACCGAGTTCTTGTCGGCCTCGTCCAGTTTGCCAGCCTCTGCCTGCTCCACAGCCTGCTTCACGTTGAAGACGTAGCCCTCCAGAGCGTTTCGGGATGTTATGCGCTGGCGCTGCTTCTCGTCCTCGTCGGCGTACTTCTCCGCCTCGTTCACCATGCGGTCAATCTCCGCCTGCGAGAGGCGTCCCTTGTCGTTCTTGATCGTGATGTTCTTGGCCTTGCCCGTGCTCATCTCCTTGGCGGACACGTTCAGGATGCCGTTGGCGTCCATGTCGAAGGTGACCTCTATCTGGGGCACGCCCCGTGGAGCAGGTGGAATGCCGGACAGGTCGAAGGTGCCCAGCGCATTGTTGTCCTTGGTCATCGCACGCTCGCCCTCGTACACCTGGATGGAGACTCCGGGCTGGTTGTCCGAGTACGTGGAGAACGTCTTGGTCTGCTTGCACGGGATGCGGCAGTTGCGCTCGATCAGCTTGGTCATCACCCCGCCGGCGGTCTCGATTCCGAGCGAGAGTGGGGCCACGTCCACCAGCAGCACGTCCTGGATCTTGCCGGTCTGGTCTCCGCTGAGGATCGCGGCCTGGACCGCCGCTCCGTAGGCCACCGCCTCGTCCGGGTTGATGGAGAGGTTGAGGCTCTTGCCGTTGAAGAACTGCTGCAGCAGGCTCTGCACCTTAGGGATGCGCGTGGATCCACCCACGAGCACGATGTCGTGGATCTGGCCCTTGTCCATCTTGGCGTCGTTGAGCGCCTTCTCCACGGGCTGCAGGGTGTTGCGGAAGAGGTCCGCGCACAGCTCCTCGAACCTGGCGCGGCTCACCTTGGTGTAAAAGTCGTGGCCCTCGAACAGGGCGTCGATCTCGATGGTGGCCTCCGTGCTAGATGACAGCGTGCGCTTGGCCCGCTCGGCCGCCGTCCTGAGGCGTCGCAGTGCCCTGGGATTGGAGCGCAGGTCCTTCTTGAATTTGCGCTTGAACTCGTCAGCCAGGTGGTTCACCAGTCGGTTGTCGAAGTCCTCGCCACCCAGATGGGTGTCTCCTGCCGTGGAGCGCACCTCGAACAGCGATCCCTCGTCTATGGTCAGGATGGAGACATCGAAGGTGCCGCCACCCAAGTCAAAGATGAGCACGTTGCGCTCCCCCTTGAGGTTCTTGTCGAGTCCGTAGGCCAGTGCAGCGGCTGTGGGCTCGTTGATGATGCGGAGCACGTTCAGACCGGCGATGTGACCCGCGTCCTTGGTGGCCTGGCGCTGGGAGTCGTTGAAGTAGGCGGGCACCGTGATGACGGCGTCAGTGATGCTCTCGCCCAGATACGCCTCCGCCGTCTCCTTCATCTTGGCCAGCACCATCGAGCTGATCTCCTCCGGCGCGAATCGTTTGGCCTCACCCTTGAATTCGACGCCGATCTTGGGCTTTCCGCTGTCGCTGACCACCTTGAAGGGCCAGTGCTTCATGTCCTCTGCAATTTTCGGGTCGTCGTACTTGCGTCCGATGAGGCGCTTGGCGTCGAAGACTGTGTTCCTGGGGTTCATGGCCACCTGGTTCTTGGCGGCGTCGCCGATGAGCCTTTCAGAGTCTGTGAATGCCACATAGGAGGGCGTGGTGCGGTTGCCCTGGTCGTTGGCGATGATCTCCACCTTGCCGTGCTGGTAGACACCAACGCAGGAGTACGTGGTGCCCAGATCGATTCCAATGGCTGGCATTGTGTGTGTGTTTGCTTACTTGGCAATGGGTAAGTGGTAATCCAACTTTAAAACTCTTGTTGTTGTTCTCGCTTATATTTCCTTGATTGGTAGTTAATCAGTTGATACTTGTGTTTTTAATTCACTTTTAGTTACTAGTATTTCACTTGTGTTTAGCTTCTTCAGCTGCGTTTGGTTGGTTTGCTTAGCTTTTGCTTAGTGATGTTTTCACTTTGCTTGTTTGAAATGAATTGACGCTAAGAGCGCCGAGCGGCTCTATTTATACCCCAGCGCTCTCTTCTCGAACGTTCGAGACGCACTCTCCCGAACCGCCAAGAACTGAGTGAGAGAGCAAGCTGCTGCAGCAATGGGAGTGAGCGAGAGAGGGAGACTGCTAAATTAAGAGAGGGTAAAAAAGTGTACTTTTGTTGGGTTCGAAAATTCTCGACTTTTCTCCGGGCCAAACAAATCGACCTACCGCAATAAACGGTTTTGTTTTGAAGTTCTGGAAAATTCGGAACTATACTTTTTGTTTATATAAAAAGCTGGGTGAATAACTTAGTTTAAAGCTAGAAACTTAATTGTGCTCGACAAAAGAATGTGTGGATGCCAATTTATTTGCATTTCCGAGGTTTAAAATGACAGGTGTTGAATTAATCTGTATGTTTTTAGATGTTTGTTTTTTTAGTTTTTAGTAAAGTCAGTAAAGTTGTTAAAAATCTGACCTTTTGTATACTTTTTAATGTATGTATACAACTTGAAAAGTTTAAGAAAATTAGGACATTCTAGAGGCCGAGTTATTTTTTGGGCCAACTTAAAAAATTAAATTTCGAGTTACAGGAGATTAATGTTTTGATCGCTCTCTAAAGGAGACCGGTAACTTTTTAATTAAATTCGGAAACCGCATACCTAGAGATTTTTCCCGTTTTTTTTTTATAATTTTTAAGTTTTTAACGAACTTAATATCCTCATTAAAATACATACATATGTATGTATAATACATACATATGCGTATCTTTTTAAATCTCTTTAGCACATTGACATTGAACTGCATGCACATCAAGTTGTTTTACATAAGAAAGCAAATTAATAATAAATTAAGTAAATTAACATTTTAATAAAAATAATAAACCTTTACTAAAGAATTTACCAACTTTACTGACAACTCAAAAATACATATGTCAGATTTTAAATCAATTTTAATTTAAGCCCCTACTAACAACTTTATTGACTTTACTAAAAACTAAAATAAAAAAAGCTAATAATATACAGATTAATTTAACACCTGTCAATTTGTACCCCGAAAATGCAATTAAATTGGCATTCGCATCTTCTTTTGTCGAACACACTACAGTATCTAGCTTTAAACTTTAAACAGCTTTTTATATAAACAAAATGTATAGTTCCGAATTTTCCAGAACTTCAAAACAAAACCGTTTATTGCGGTAGGTCGATTTGTTTGGCCCGGAGAAAAGTCGAGAATTTTCGAACCCAACAAAAGTACACTTTTTTACCCTCTCTTAATTTAGCAGTCTCCCTCTCTCGCTCACTCCCATTGCTGCAGCAGCTTGCTCTCTCACTCAGTTCTTGGCGGTTCGGGAGAGTGCGTCTCGAACGTTCGAGAAGAGAGCGCTGGGGTATAAATAGAGCCGCTCGGCGCTCTTAGCGTCAATTCATTTCAAACAAGCAAAGTGAAAACATCACTAAGCAAAAGCTAAGCAAACCAACCAAACGCAGCTGAAGAAGCTAAACACAAGTGAAATACTAGTAACTAAAAGTGAATTAAAAACACAAGTATCAACTGATTAACTACCAATCAAGGAAATATAAGCGAGAACAACAACAAGAGTTTTAAAGTTGGATTACCACTTACCCATTGCCAAGTAAGCAAACACACACACAATGCCAGCCATTGGAATCGATCTGGACACCACGTACTCCTGTGTTGGTGTCTACCAGCACGGCAAGGTGGAGATCATCGCCAACGACCAGGGCAACCGCACCACGCCCTCCTATGTGGCATTCACAGACTCTGAGCGGCTCATCGGCGACGCCGCCAAGAACCAGGTGGCCATGAACCCCAGGAACACAGTCTTCGACGCCAAGCGCCTCATCGGACGCAAGTACGACGACCCGAAAATTGCAGAGGACATGAAGCACTGGCCCTTCAAGGTGGTCAGCGACAGCGGAAAGCCCAAGATCGGCGTCGAATTCAAGGGTGAGGCCAAGCGATTCGCGCCGGAGGAGATCAGCTCGATGGTGCTGGCCAAGATGAAGGAGACGGCGGAGGCGTATCTGGGCGAGAGCATCACTGACGCCGTCATCACGGTGCCCGCCTACTTCAACGACTCCCAGCGCCAGGCCACCAAGGACGCGGGTCACATCGCCGGTCTGAACGTGCTCCGCATCATCAACGAGCCCACAGCCGCTGCACTGGCCTACGGACTGGACAAGAACCTCAAGGGGGAGCGCAACGTGCTCATCTTTGACTTGGGTGGCGGCACCTTCGATGTTTCCATCCTGACCATAGATGAGGGATCGCTGTTCGAGGTGCGCTCCACGGCAGGAGACACCCATCTGGGTGGCGAGGACTTCGACAACCGACTGGTGAACCACCTGGCTGACGAGTTCAAGCGCAAATTCAAGAAGGACCTGCGCTCCAATCCCAGGGCACTGCGACGCCTCAGGACGGCGGCGGAGCGGGCCAAGCGCACGCTGTCATCCAGCACGGAGGCCACAATCGAGATCGACGCCCTGTTCGAGGGCGAGGACTTCTACACAAAGGTGAGCCGCGCCAGGTTCGAGGAGCTGTGCGCGGACCTCTTCCGCAACACCCTGCAGCCCGTCGAGAAGGCGCTCAACGACGCCAAGATGGACAAGGGCCAGATCCACGACATCGTGCTCGTGGGTGGATCCACGCGCATCCCTAAGGTGCAGAGCCTGCTGCAGCAGTTCTTCAACGGCAAGAGCCTCAACCTCTCCATCAACCCGGACGAGGCGGTGGCCTACGGAGCGGCGGTCCAGGCCGCGATCCTCAGCGGAGACCAGACCGGCAAGATCCAGGACGTGCTGCTGGTGGACGTGGCCCCACTCTCGCTCGGAATTGAGACCGCCGGCGGGGTGATGACCAAGCTGATCGAGCGCAACTGCCGCATCCCGTGCAAGCAGACCAAGACGTTCTCCACGTACTCGGACAACCAGCCCGGAGTCTCCATCCAGGTGTACGAGGGCGAGCGTGCGATGACCAAGGACAACAATGCGCTGGGCACCTTCGACCTGTCCGGCATTCCACCTGCTCCACGGGGCGTGCCCCAGATAGAGGTCACCTTCGACATGGACGCCAACGGCATCCTGAACGTGTCCGCCAAGGAGATGAGCACGGGCAAGGCCAAGAACATCACGATCAAGAACGACAAGGGACGCCTCTCGCAGGCGGAGATTGACCGCATGGTGAACGAGGCGGAGAAGTACGCCGACGAGGACGAGAAGCAGCGCCAGCGCATAACATCCCGAAACGCTCTGGAGGGCTACGTCTTCAACGTGAAGCAGGCTGTGGAGCAGGCAGAGGCTGGCAAACTGGACGAGGCCGACAAGAACTCGGTGCTGGAGAAGTGCAACGAGACCATCCGGTGGTTGGATGGCAACACCACCGCCGAGAAGGAGGAGTTCGACCACAAGATGGAGGAGCTCACCCGCCACTGCTCCCCCATCATGACCAAGATGCACCAGGCCGGAGCCGGAGCGGGGGCAGCTGGTGGTCCAGGAGCCAACTGCGGCCAGCAGGCCGGAGGATTTGGCGGCTACTCAGGACCCACAGTCGAGGAGGTCGACTAAGCCAAAGATACTCATTAGTTGCCATCAATAAATCCTCATTCCATCTTAAGTTTTTAAGTGTTTAAGTTTGTGATAAAAAAAAAATCTCTAAATAAGTAATAGGCCTAACTAAAGTGATTCAGTTTTAAGTTAGCAACAAATTGTTTTACGCTTAATTAGAAACATGCTAAAATAAATTGTATATTTTTAATTTTAAAACAAAAATGCATTATTTTTACTTATGCAATTCACTTTGAATTTGCAGAAATGGAATATTATCTGAGTGGTAATCATCCGACTTTTTGTAAGTATTCTATAAATTGTTTAACCTAGATGCAGAAGATAAAAGCTTGCACCTCAAGTTTCCTGATATCAAAATTTAAATCTTTTTTGAATAAAAATAGATAACAAATGGGTGCAGTTCGCTTTGAGCAAAATTCTGCACTAGTCGGCATAATTATTTTGGGGCAAACCTCTTTTTAACTATTAAACTTAGCAATACTTGAAATAATCAAATAACTCAATATTTTTGCTAAGAATGCATGCAAACAACGGCTTTTTACTAAATTCCTTTTTTTTTGCTATACTTGTTCTAAGTTTAAGCTTCCTTAATAATACTTAAAGGTACTTGTCAAAATACTTATGCCACCATGTGAAATAATTATGCCGACTAGTGTATCTTAAGAGTTTGTTAGAGTGCGGTGTCGAAATAAAAAACAAATCCAGCTTATGGATAACTGAATCTGGATATATACATAAGTTTGAATGGTACAGGATTCAAAATTTATGCACAAGTGGTTGATGTAAGCTTTTTTAGACTCCGTGATTCTTACCAATATTGCTACTTACACGAAGACATTGAGTTTTCTGACATCAAGTCCCTTACATACATATATTTCTAACTAGTTTTAAAACACAATAGTTCCACACTTTAATTTGCAGTAGTTTAGTTCAGCAAGTACATTGAAATACATAGCGATACACGGCCTTACATACTTAGACACACTCACATACGTCGTACAGATACTTAGACGAGATGTATTACTAACTCAACGCAAACCAATTCAACTAGAAATACAATCAATTTCCTTTACTATCACAAAAGTCGTCGCAACACAGGAGAGAGGGGAATCCATCTAACTAAATTGAAATAAGTGAATCGATTTTGCAGCGAACAGCGAAATTTCCTACAGCTTGCCAATATTGGTTGTTCGTAGTTCATTCTTGTTTACTCATTGGTAGATTGTCTTTCTGCTTGAAAATTCATAACGTCACCTACTCAATTCTTCCTTCGTTCCTTTTTTTCTTTACATAATTTCGATTGCATAATTTAATAGTTTTCAATTTCATTTAACACGATTATGTAGATTTGGTTTGCTAGTTTTCTAGTTTACATATGATACTTAATGCTATAGGTAAGAATATGGCTTTGCACTTTTTCCATAAATCTGATTTGTTGGAAAAAAATATGTCTGGTTTTAATCGGTTAAGAAATAATGTATGGCTTCAATATTTATAAGTACTAACTAGCTTTTTCAAAAAGCATTTGTATGAGTTACAGGAAAAACAAAAAATAGTATTCGTTTACCCTAAAATGTAGTTTGCTGTTTTGAAAACAGAAGACTTGGTTGAAACTTCATCAGAAAAAACGTTTTTTTAGTTTGTTGTAGACTTTGTAGTTCTTAAATCATCTATGGAAAAAGTGTTTCACCTTCGACAAGCCGAAGCCCAGACCTTAAATATTTCTTACAACTCATTTGACAACATTTCCTTTTAAATCGTAATTTTTTCTATGCATTTGCGCGCTTTCTAATTTGTTTTTACTCTTCCATATGTATATTTTTTACGTATATCTCCTGTTTAGTTGGACAAACAACACTTATATATGGATAGTATAGTTCCGGGGCAGCATTGTCCCTGCAACCGCTGCTTGGCGGGCTGAGAACACAACTTGAATTTAAATTCCCTATCGTTGCTTAAACGAAAATGTACACGTATACATAAACACACATTGAGTATTGCTTAGCTCCAAGGATTTTCCTAGCTAAAGATCCTTGCACGAACGCTTCTGGTATTGCCGTTTGCTTTTGTTTTCCCTCGCATTGTTTTTCTTCCTTTGGTATAACGATTCACTCAAGTATTAAATATCACTTATAGGGGCATTGCGCCGCATCGAATGTGGGCTGGGGCGATTGCCGACCGGAGTTATCCGGTCTAGACGTAGTAGGCGTTGTAGGGATTGCGTTTCTCCAGACAGGGCAGCACACACTCCAGCGTGTTGCGGAACGCCTCGCGGAAATCGCGGTTAAAGTAGGCATATATAAGCGGATTCAGCGTGGAGTTGAAGTAACCGATCCAGAATAAGACCACCACGAGCACATCGGGACATGGACAGGCCGGTCCGCAGAGCGAGGTGATGACATACCTGTACGGACACAAGATTGACAGTGAGAATAGCATGAAGATGAGTTGCCTGAGTGCCGGATTACCGATTACGGATTACGGCCTACCCAGCACCAGCACCACCACTTACCACAGAAAGAAGGGCAGCCAGCAGAGCAGAAAGACGCCCATGATGATGCCCAAAGTGCGGGCGGCCTTGTGCTCGGCCTTCCATCCTTTGGCCGGTCGAACGGAGCCGCCTGTGGGGGCAGATAAAGAGTTTAGCACCAAATTGGGGGAGGCAATTGGCTGATTAAGTTCAATTCGATTCGATTCGATTCGATACGATACGATTCGTTTCGATTCGATCCGTTTCGCTTCGCCTCGAATCGACTCAATTCGCCCGTCTTCGGAACTTTGACCAGAGTCAAGTTCTTGTTAAGCCATTGCAATTGACAGTTTTCTGGTTCTGTGTTATGTGCGTGTGTGTGGCTACACTCGGTAAAAACTATTACTCTGTATTACAAATTTAAAATTTATTTAACTTTTTTTGCTAGTGCCTCACATTTTTGATTTATGGTACACCTTAATAAATATGAATATAATTAGTCTAGGAATAGTAATCAGATTTTGGAAAAAACCGATTATGTTTTTTTCTTTAGAAGTTGGAAGGTCAAAAGATTAAGGTTAGTACTATAATTTAGAAAACAGATGGTATTTATTAATTAAGCTGAAGTTAGCTGGAATATATTTTTTATTTATTCCTATTTAAAATTAAAATATAACTAGTAATTTTTGTAATTTACAAGTTGAGTTGTAACTGTGCCTTTAGATGAAAAAATATATAATTTTCTTTTTATCAGGTAGTTTCATTATTTATAATTTCTAATTCATTTGAAAATAACGTAAATCAACATAAAAACGTTTAATTATTTGCAGTTCCTTATCTTCAAGGAGTATTGTTTTGACAGTGCTTAAAACTCCCTTTTTAAACTTAGTTTACCACTTTTGAAAATGGCCAATATTATTACTATGCAGGTTTGAATAATTGTATCATCTTAAAAAATAATTTGTAGCAGTGCAAAAGCTCGCCAATATATTTCTTAATTTTTTTTTCTGAGTGCAAAATGAAAAATGCGGTTTATGTTCGTTTTATTGTTCGAGAAAGGGGATGCCAGCATGTTGCGTATACGCCGTGTATGTGTGACGACGGGTCGAGTCCTGGTATGTTTAACTTTGACATTAGTGATACCCTTGCTGTTGCATGTTGCTGGCTATCGATGGCCCCGCCACGCCCCTTCGCCCACCTTGCAGGCAACTGTCATTAAACTGCTGGAAAGGCCAACATGTGTCGGTATCTTGCTTCTCTGTTGAGTGGGTGTGCTGGTGTGTGTTTGCTCTTGTGTGTGTGTGTGTGCGGGGAAAGTAATAAAAACGAGGCAAACAATTGAAAATATTTACACAGGACACTTGTTATCACAAAGACATACAACACCCCGCATCTATTCAGTTCGCCCGCCCGAACATAAACATAAACATCATGGAGAAGTGGAAGTGCGGGAGCGGCAGGAATGAGAAAACAAATCAGACAGACAACAGTGAGCAACAGGAAGTGGCGGACAATCCCCCCGTTCGTCCAACCAGACGACCAGGCCACCAGCCCATCCCCTGATGGCTGCCACATGGAGCCGGTGGACAGAACAGAACCAGGTGAGCAGGTGAAATCATAATGCAAAACGAAAGGCTGTTTGTGTGGAGGCGCAATAAAGCAAGGCAAACGCACGTGCAAACGGAAGCAATTATGTACAGCATGAGGGCAGCGAGGGGGTGGGAAAGAGAAGGAAGCATGAGGTAGGTTTTCTTTTTTTTTTTTTTAGGGTGCTGGTGGGCGTACGGTGCGTATGACCCTCCGGATTTAGTCGCCTAAGCTGGTTAGCAGGGTATACAGATAAGAGGGTGCCAAAAAGTGGCATTTCTGTGGGGATTTGCCAGTCAGGCAGGGTCTTGTGGTGAGGGTTTCGGAAAACTGGTGTGACTTTTCGGTTTCTCCTTGGAATTGATACCGTAATGCTAACGACGAGTTGTGGTGTCTCACCACTTAAACGAATCGGATAACAGCAAGTTTAAATTCAAGGAAATATTTTGTGGGTATGTTTAAAATTGTATTTATTTTAAGAAATGGAGAAAAAGAATAGAAACTATACTTTGGTTCAGTAAATTGATATTGACTTAATTTCATTTAATTTTTTGAACTTGTTTAAAATGTTCAGTTCTGAGAAGGAATTTGGTCAAAAAAGATTACTGCTTATCTTTTATATTATAATAAAGTGAAAATTCTAAAAGTTGTTGTGTACAAATACAGATTATTTGGTAGTAAACTTGATTGTGTTCTGATGTGTATATATCAATCAATGTAAAAAACTACAGTTAATGGTGAAGCTTAGCTGAAGTGATTTAGGTAGGACAAATTATATATTCTGTACTGTTTCATAAATACAAAATACAGTTGTTTAACTTATTAAAGCAGTGTGGAAGTATGAAATGGGTTCAAGAGTGAGATGACAATAGATAGAGTGGTCATATGAAAGTGAACAGTAAAAAATCGATTGATTGACACCAATAGGGTTAAAAGCGTGAGTGAATGCGACAGGTGCTGAAGCCGAGACAAGCAAAAAGACAGACAGAGACAGAAAGCAAGAGAGAGGGGAAGAGAGATCGGGTGGAGGGAGGAGAGGAGGGGGATACGACAAGACTCACCGGTTGCACCACAGTGACTGCATCCGGTTTTGAAGCGGCGCTTCCGGTTCTTGCTCTGCTGCCAACATGCTGTGACCGCCGCCGTTCGTTTGTGCCAGAAGCGAGTGGAACTGGACCTCGATCCCGATCCCGAACCCGATCCCGGACCGGATTTCGAACCCTGGCCAAGGTCGGGAGCTGATTCGTGACTACTACGTTTACTACTAGCCATTGCAGTTGCACTTGCATTGGTGGTTTCAGTGGTGTCGATTGTGGTGCCGGCGTTTGCTTTTGCTGTTGCATTTGTTGTGGTTGTGGTGGTGGTGGTGGTGCCGCTGCTGCTGCTGATGTCGGCGCCGCAGAGCGGACACTTGGGCAGCGGACTGGGCACCGCGGCGAAGGTGATGCCACGTGGCCGCTGCTCAATGCTCTCCGCCTCCTCCTCATCCACAAAGATGCAGATGCCGCCGCGTCGGATCAGCGAGGATTTGTTTGAGAACTCGTGCTCTGCTTGCAGTTGGTTTTTGGTTTTTGGTTTTCGGTTTTCGGTTTTCGTATTTGTTTAGTTTTCAATTTGGCCACCGCATTTTTGGGTTTTTTGTTTGGAGTTGGTTTTTGGAGTAGAAGTTTTGTTTGGTTGGACAAAATTTGGTGATTTGATTTACATATATACACATACAACACACAACGAAATGGCGTGGAAAAGATACAGATAGAGATAGAGAGAGAGAGAGACAGATAGATACGAGTAGTATATAGTACAATGTACAACAGGATTTTCACGGGACAGGAGGACATCAGTTTCGGGCACACTCTCCAGATTTTCAGATCACATGCATGTGGATGCCATGCACCGGCAAACACAAAGGATCGGGTTCAACGGGGAGGGAATTCAGGAGTCTATCACTGGATTTCTATCTCTTGAAGTAGAGGTTCCCTTTCTGTCTTCATTTGCAGGTGCAACTAACTAAAAGCTGGCACTATTCTATGCAAGGCTTATCTACTAAGATTCCATTTAGAATAGATATACTTTGGAGATACCTTTTGGAGGGTTACAGTTCGAGTTCTCCAAAAAAAAGTTTTTTAGGTTCTATGGTTAAGGAATATCTAACCTTTCGGAACTCGCACTGTTTTTCAGGCTCGGAGATTAAATTGTACAAAATATTTACTCTGTTTGTAATGTATAAAATTTGAATATCATGTTTTAATTGTCTTTTTAGAAGGGAACTGGAATATGATACCAGTGGAGTTGGTTACAAGTAGGATTCTCTCCGTAATAAAACTTAATGGTTTATAAATAATTGGAAGTACCATTGAAGTCAAAGTAGTTGACGCCTTTGTAGTATCTATATTTTTTTTGTTATACTTATATTTGTTTTTGTAAAAGTTGTGTTTTTATCAATTTACTTCTTAATTTTAAAATAAAAACTTTTTAGGTATGCACAAGGACAATTGCTTCTTGGCTTTCAAGCACTTTTTTGCACAAGGAATTTAAAAATGGTTTAAATGAAACGTTTTAACTCCAAAAGGACAATTGACCAAAAAAACAGGGCGAGCTCCGAAGGGTCGGAAGAAGGTCGTCCTAGGAGAGACACCTAATCCAGGCACGAACTGGCACAGTCTACACACCAACCGGACTACCGGACTACCGCTACTCACTTGCTGAACTGGTGGAGACGCGGCCCATGGGAATGTAGCTCCGACTGTCGCTGTTCTCCTGCGAGAAGTTGATGACGTTCACGTCGTAGGTCACCACGGAGGCCTGTCGCTTTCGCACAGTCTGGATGCCATCGTAGCCGGCTAGTATGCTGCAGCGTCCTTGGCGCCCAGCCCCACCCACGCCCAGTCCGCCGGAAACACTCACGTCCGCATCGCCGGCGCTATCTTTGCGCTTGAACAGCGGCGACGTGACATCCCGGTGCTCATCGCCGCCACATCCTTCGACCGGCGATAGCGTGGAGTCGAGTATGATCTCCGGCTTGGGCGATATGTTCGTCGGCGGCTGCTGGACTGGATTGGGCTGGGGCACTGGCACGGGCATGGGCAGCGTGGTCACCACGTCCAGGGAAACGGTGGAGGCATCACTGGGCGTGTAACCAGGTCCGGCGGCATGCGGCGGCGGCGACAGGAAGTACACATTGATGGACGCCGACTGCGGATTCGAGCCGCTGGAGGAATCCATGCCAGCTCCTCCTCCTCCTCCTACTCCTACTCCATTCGCCACGGAAATCGAAGGTGGAGCTGGGGTGTTCGGTGGGGACATCAGGTAGTTGGCGCACACCTGGTCACTTAGCGTACTCAACCTCTGTGGAGCTCCAGCGGGACGACCGAGTGGGAAGCTGAGCGATCGAAAGATCTCGGCCAGCTCCGAACTGCTGGCGATGAGCAGGCCACTCGGCTCCGGCAGCTCCGGTGGCGAAAGTGAGGGAGGTGGTGTGGAAGGATGCTGGGGCGACTCCCCAAAGCAATCGGCCAACTGGGCCAACTCGTCCTCGCTGCGAATCCGCGCCTCTGGCGGGGTCTTCACCTCACTGAAGTCAATCAGCTGGACGCCATCGCTGAACTGCTGGATCACACTGGCTCCGCTTTGTTCACTCAGCACATTGATGTCCAGCAGGATATCCGGTTTGTTGGGTGTGGAATCGGTGTCGCTGTGCTGCCGCTGGCGTCGCTCAAGTTTGCGTTCCTTGCCGCCGCCGCATCCGTTGTAGCTGTGCGATAGCTTCCGATTCCTGGAGCGCCGGAAGAAGCTAGATCCCTCGGAGTTGGCCTGGTGGCGCTTCTTCTCCAGCGCAAAGCACTCGGTGCTCGAACGCTTCGTCTTGGCCAGGAGCGAAAGGATATTGAAGCCCTTCTCCTTTCCCGGAAGCGGTTGATCGGGCAGTGCTCTGGATTCACTGATGGTGCGCAGGAATTCCGAATCGCTGGAGGCGAATGCCTTTCTCCCACAGGCAGCTGCTCCTGCCTTCAACCGGATGAAGTCCGTTTCGCTGAGGGCGGCGTACTTGCCGCCACCTGGACCACTAATGATGGTGCCCCCAGTCTGCCGCTTGAAGTACAGATAGTTATCCTCGATCAGACGCTTCAGCTCCTTGTTGTCCTCGGCCAAGGGAAGATGGGTGTCGTACAGGTCGTTGCCCTCGCTCTCGTCGCTGTTGAGACCAAACACCCGGTAAGCAGTGGATTCCGGTTCGGGTTCACTGTTCCCACTGCCGCTGGTCAAGCTGAGCTGCTGCTGCGGTCCATTAGGATGAGAATCATCCTTGTCCAGCTCCTTGGGAGGCATCGCCACCTTGCCCTCCGTCCAGATCTGCGGATTGAACACTGGCGCCGGTGGCTGCAATTGGTTGTGGGAAGTCGGCTGCTGCTGGAGCGCCATCATCGAGGGCGCACTGTCCGTGTGGGTGACCTTCTCGTACCGCTCCTGCTCCAAGTCGCGCAGATCTATGCTGCTCCTGCTAAGACGACGTGGTGGTGGCGACGGCACTCGCAGTTCATCGCACTCATCTCTGTCGTCGTCCTCGTCGGTGGCCGGTTGCAGCATGTCCTGTGGGTGTGGCAAAAAAAAAGAAGCAAACAAACACACTCACACAAATGACAGGGAGTCATGTTGGCGCATCAATTACGCAGAGCCACAAGGAATAAAAAACTCTGCAGTAGAGTGCTTCCCCTAGCTTCTAATCTAATCGCTCCACTTCCTTCTGTACAGAATATGGAAAATGGAAAAAGAGCTTTGGTGCTGGATGTCAGTGCTGCCATCGTGGGTTTCTGCATTTCGTGTTGCTTAAAGTCTTTGATTTGAATGTTTTTGCCTCATATTTAATCCTTTTTATTTTCCTTGCCTTAAGTTTAAAGATTTTTACATACATAAGTGTCCATAGGAGTTCTTCTTTATTAAGTTTTTATATGGCAAAACAAATTAAACATTTTAAATATTTGAGTGCAGGATTAAGAAGAAATAAGTGGTTTATAGTTTGTATAGTTTTTGCCAGCAGAATTATTTGGACATAAATCACAAGTAAACATATTAGGATTAGTTGTGTTGGCTAATGTTTACTTACAAGGGAAAGATCTTTGATATACTTGCCATACATTATATTGTAATTAAATATTGTTGGTAAAATATTTTCGGAACTAATTTAACATTTTAAAATTAATTTTTATACTTTCGAATATTTCATTGAATTAGTACAACAAAATCTTTTTATTTGGTATTAACCATTAAACTGTTATTAATTATGTAGACTTATTGCAAAAAATGTAGAGGTGATTTGCATTCTCCCACAGACAGCACTGATTTCCTTCAATAAACTAGGACCGCCACCCCCCGAAACTCACCTCCAAGTTGCTCAGAGCACTCTGCGTCTCCTCCCTGGCCGATGCCACATTGAGATCGCAGTCGCTGGGATGCAGATAGCTCAGGTTGGTGGGCTGCTGGGCGTGGCCCATGTGGACGCTGTTCAGCAGGATGTTGGAGCTGGTCCGACTGAGGGCCTTGCGCTGCCGAATGGCCTCCCTGGAAAACCGCAGAGAGCAGAGAACAGATAGCAGATAGCAGAGAACAGAGACCAGCAATTAAGCAGGCCATCAACTTCGGAAAGGGAAGGGGGAAACTCACTTAAAGATGCGCCAGTACATCACGAGCATCACAATGCCGGGGATCCAGAAGCTAACCGAGCTGGAGATGAGGGCGTAGGCCTTGTTGACCACAAATGAGCACTGGTCCGGATGCAGGGACACCTCCCGCAGGTGCTCCTCCGTGGTGTACCAGCCGAGGAAGATGGGCGTGAAGGATATGAGGGCGGGCAGGATCCAAACGTTGGCCAGCATGAAGCACACCGTTTTGTGTGTCATATTCAATGGATACTCCAGAGGACGCACGATGGCGTAGTATCTGTTAAACAGGCGGTGAAAAGGGAGGGGTTTGGCGTCTTTATTAATGGAAATGAATTGCGGACAGGGCTCCTCCACTCGGGCACCAGGTGGCTTTCATCCAACCATCCACCCTTCCTTTTAGCACAGTAATTGATTATCGCTCTTTGGCTGGCTGGTAAATTGTGATTCGGTACTCTGCTTGTCCCGCCAAAGAACCGATTTATTAAACTATCAAAAAGCTGTTGCACTTGGTCTCTGGTTAAATGCTTTGAAAGTGAATTACTTTTGCATAATACAAGTATTAAAACATTTTTAATAAAAAGCATGGTTTTTGATGGAAATTTTGTCAATTATTATCTTTATCCTTTTAGCGTTAAAAACAAATATTAAAGACTAAACTATTTTAATTTAACACAATATAGTCATTGTTTTGAAAACTAATTTAAAAAGATATCATTAACATGAATAACAGAATATTTATGTATAAATATTTGGACTTTATCAAAACTTTTTTCTTCGTTTTTAAGATTTCATGAATTTATTAATAATTCTGGCAATGGCATCGATTAATCAGAGTCGAATAATATTCAAATATTGGATTTTTATTTGTAAATTTGCTTAATAAAATTGGAGGTGTTAAATGGCTTTAATATAAATGGTATAATAATAATTATTCAACAAAAAGTACATACTGCATTCTTTTTGTACTATTTAGTAGAAAAGAAAAAGACTATATGTTGTGATGACTGGTCGATTTTATCCGAAAATGACGGATTTATTAGTTTAGCTAAATTCCCTCAGGGGCCGTCATTAATTTTCTAATTTCGATTGGTCAGGTTGTGTGTTTCCTTTGTTTTTCGGCATGTTTCGTGGACATCGAAAGGTGAGCGAAACACGAATTAATTAAGGCAGACAAAAGGACCTCGCCCAGTGTCCATTGACCATCCTTGGCAACCATTGTTGTTGTTGGTCAAGCGGAGAATCGCAGCTGTTGGAGCTTCACAACCAGGGATATGGCGCCAATTAACGGCTTGACAGAATCGGAGGATGGGAACGGAGGAGGATTTAGGGTGGGCTATATAGAAAACGCCCACTGCCCACACTTCAGCCAGCTGCAAATCATTTGGGCCGCATTCATCATACGGGCGGGGCCTAATGTTTGCTTTTGATGTGCGCGCCTTTCGCAGTAATTAATTGTTTCTTCTTGGCAATGCGCCGGATTTTCGGGTATTGAAAGTGATTCGGCCGCCAGGCATCTGGGCAAGATTAATGGTTTTCGGTCGATTTAAATGGGTGAGCCGCCGTCGGTTGAGCCGGCAATTGAGTTTAAACCGCTTAATATAGCGATGCGGCGACACAAATGGGCACTCACCTGTCCACCGATATGCAGCAGAGATGCAGGATGCTCGCCGTGGAAAAGTAAACATCCAGGCTGTTGTACACGTTGCACATGAACGGTCCGAACATCCACTTGCCGCCGGATAGCTCCACGGAGGCGTTGAATGTCATCGCGCAGAGGGCCACCAGCATGTCGGCCATCGCCAGCGACACAACAAAGTAATTGGTTATCACCCTGTGAACGAAACAAAGGCCGTTGGAATTTGTGAGTGTCCTGCGTTCTGGGTGCGATTTGCCCGGCTTTCCGATTCCTAAAACCCCCACACACTCGTCGTCACGCGGCAACCACGACAAAACGAATGGCATATGGCATGCATCATCATGTGTGGCAAGTCCGGTGGTTTTTCCCTTTGACTCTGGCTATGACTTTGGCTTTCCTTCTCTTCCGCCGGCTAAACACTGCGATACTCCACAACTCCACAACTGCACTACTGCTTAACATTTCCATTTCCGGCCTGTAGGTCACCGGTATGCAGCAATTTCCTCGGCTGTCATAAGTCATTCGACTCACTAGGCAGCTGCCACCTTCAGCTGGAAGTCACTGCCACGGGGAGTTATTATCTTGTCTTCGGGGCAAATTTTGCATAATGGGAAAAGGGTTTATGCTAAGTTGGGAGTAGCACTGTTATGATGGAAATATATTTTGTTATAGGGTTTGCTTTATTTTTAAGCACCAGAAATGTTAATTACAATTTATTGCGTTAGTCTTTTTTCTAGTCTGCTTTGCTGCCAATTAAATTTTTTTAGTAATCCACAAAGCAAAAAAAAAATCTCGATTTTTATTTAACCTTTTTTCCTATAAATTTAATATAATATATTAAATCCTGACCTTTTGTTTAGTGCAAATTCAATGTGATGCAAAAATATACTTAAATTATCATCTATTCAAGATAAAAAAAAATATTGTTATGGAAACCAGCATCTATTCAAAATGAAAAAAATCTATTATTGTTATGGAAACATTTAAAAAAGTGATAGAAAAACTTTATAATAAATGATTAGAGAGGTGCCATTTACGATGCACACATGTGCATATAAAAGTTGGTTCCTTCAACTAATTCAGCTTGTGAACGAAATCGTAAACAGAGTAAATGATTAATTATTTTAATGCTCCTTATATCTCCTGCTCTTAAGTACAGCTCCATTTTAAAAGATTTCTAATGCGATTCTGCATTGCGTTCACCAGTTGCGTTCTTTAATAAGGTTGTAAACGATAATCTGAGCACTTAAAGCTGCTTTAGGGGCATAATAAAGTCTTTAATCAACGTCTTTCCTCTGCTGCAGAAGGCATAAACGTTGCGTAACATTAACTGTCTGCTGTGGGCGTAGATATGAAAGAGGGCGTGGCAGTCGGCAAAAGGGATTCCAGACCTGCGCTCAATGGTATGCTACACTTATTTGCAGTGGACTCCAGGGCGTCCTGCCATCGCAACGCTTGTGTGTCGCATTTAACTTCGTTTTTTGCTTTATTATTCCACTTGTCGCTCATTTAAATTACATTTATTACGCTGGCAGAAAAGGATTCACCCACGAAACCCTCCCTTCCCCCAGATTCCCCAAACAATTTGCATTGTCCTGCGATCCCTGCAGCAATGACCCTCAATTAAAGCCGGGTTAAAAAGGTGGCAACAACAACAACAACAGTAAATGGCAAACAAGGACTTACCGTAGCTTTCGATTGCGCTGCACCGAAATGATGACCAACGCATTCCCTAGAACGGCGGCCAGGATAATTGACGAGAAGATGAACCCTTTGAGTAACAGCAGCGAAAAGTCCAGCCAGCTCTCCTCCAGCTCTTCGGGATTCTCCGCCAACAAGTCGCTGGCATTGGCAGTTATGTTTGGGCCAACGGTTGCGAGTAACTCGAACGACGACTCCGAGGACGAGAAGGACGAAAAGGAGCCCGACGAGGTGGCTGTTAATGACAGCGAAGTCAACGAGGCATCAACAAATTGCGAAGTTATGGGCAAACTGGTCGTTGCAACCGTTGCCGTTGTGGAAATGTGGCCGGTTAATGTTGCACGTTGCAGGTTGCTGGTTGAAGTTGATATTGCTGTTGCTGTTGCTGTTGTAGTGCCACCTGCAGCGAGTGCTGCAATCGATTTGCTCAGCCTGCTAGTTGCTGTTGCTGCCGTTTCTGCTGTTGAATTTGCCAATGCGGCTGTTATGGGCAATGTCATTGTCGTGGCCAAAAGGTCAGCCCCGTTAACCCCTGACATCTCTTCAGTTTCGCAGCCCGATTGAATCGCAGCTCATTTAAGTTGCTTCGCCAGTGCTTTTTCGCTGTCCTCGTGGTTTAACTTTTCCTCGGTTGCTGTGCGTAATTTAAAACGCGAGTAATTGCAATCTGCATTGCAAACAAGGCCGTCGAAGTTCGCAGTCATCATCCTGGTTGCCCTGTGTTTCGAGTGTTTGCTCAAAGCTGCCACCGGGATCCACTCCATTTCCCAATCCTTCACAGCTCCCCTCTTCCTTCGCTCTTCCCTCGCTTGGATCCCCACTCGCTGGAGCCTGTTGGCAGTGGCAGAAAGTCGGGACTTGCGATTCGATTCGGCACTCGAGCGCGCAACAGTCGACGACGGCGACACGGAAACTGCAAATGAATAAATAAATTATTTATGAAATAATCGCAGAGCGTGAGTCTGTGAAAACTGCATGGAATTGGCACAATGTGACTGGGAAACTGGGAAACTGGGAACTGTTGCCGCTGGGGAGTTTTTATATGCATATACAAAATTCAAGAGTCCATAAACCCCAACGCCCATATTGATTTGCTGAAGAAATACGAGTACAAAAGCGAATTCTCCCTTAAAAACCCCCGAGCAATGTGAGATGTCCGTCCGTTCGGACGCCACTTCAACCTTCCTTCCTCCAGCACATTAAAATAACAAAAATGTATATATTGCGTATACGCAGTGTGAGCTCTTGGCATGCAGCTCTGCATTTCTATATTCCCAGCGGCGGTCCTGTCATCTGCTGACACTTGTGGGAAAATGTTATATAGACAAGTTGTTGCTTTAAATGCGAGATTAAAGCGTGATTATCTTCGCAGCGAGTGGCAAAGTTTTTATAGTGGCCAACGCCTCGCTGAAAAAGGGGAAAACTCTCTGGGAAATTCTTGATCCTCTGCTTTGGTTATGACTGAAACAAAGGACTTAAGACTGCTCAAAATCTGGGGTAATCTGCGGGTTTATATTATTTCGCCACTTTTGAGACTTCATTTGGCCGTTGGAAATCTAGCACATCATTGGGGGAAAAACTAAAAACGAGATTTCGCTTTAGCTGGCACATTGAATTGAAGCTGAATCGTCCTTGGCACTCACATAAATCGCTGGCTACAAGTTTTTATTCCACTTGTGTGGCAGAGTGGTTGCATCCCATTCCACCCCATCCTTCAGAGTTTAGATTTCAATATTTTTAAGGATTTATATATTTACTGGTAACCTTGCAAAGATGATTGCATCGCATCTCCTTGTGATGTCCTTGAGCTGTCGATTCAACTTGATTACTTAGTTTAATTCAAGACCATCAGGTCAACTCTCCACTCTCAAGATTGGCAAGTAAATGTTTTAATGCCCGGCTTTTGGCAGGATAAAGACCACATCAGTGCTTTCGATGCGAACGGGCTTATAAATTTCACAAGCCATTATTTATTGGTCGCCTGACTGCCTAAGTCCTTTGGCCCACTCACACTCTATTTGGCTTAATTATTGCCAGCGCGGAAAGTTTACAAAGCCGCCGGCCTTCCGGCACTTGGGTTCCGCCTGAGCACAAACGTCAACAGAGCCGGATCCGTGGATCCATGGAACCGTGGAGCCGTGGGTCAGCGGAAAGTGCGCCGGGCTCTCCTGCCCACACAGGACTCCTCAAAGTGGGCGGGGTGCAAAGTGCAAACTTCAAAGCGCCGCGCGCACAGGACACGACTAATTCAATTAAATCCCTTCGCCATCCCAGCAAGTTGAGCCTGCCGAAGGACACGAGGTTTACATGGGTGGAGAGGACATTAGCTGCCACCCCATTGGAGGACTTAACTCCTCAGGAGCATTAGCGAGCTGATAAAGCGAGCAAGAGCAAATAATTGATCCGCTGGCAAATTCGAATGGCAAACAACGAAGCAAGCAACTTATTGAATCTGCCCCTGGCTTCGGAATTCTCCTGACCAACTGGTAATTGAACAACTAAATTAGTGGCTTTCCAATTGACAGTTGAAAAAAGAAAACAGATATAAAAAGTGTAAATGGGAGAGATGGAAAATGAGTTCCATTTAGCATAGCTTCAATTAGTGACTATTGTAAATGGTTTGAAACAACATTTCTCATCTCAGCCAATGTTTTTTCAGTGGAATGTAGAGAATGAATACGGGGAATTAAAAAATTGTATATGTTTTTACAAAATTTGTAATATTATTCATTTTTATTTATTCCTTCAAACAACATTTGTGTGGAAGGAAAGAAACTTTTTTGATTTTCTTTCAAACCAAAAATTTTAAATAAAAATAACATCATGTGTATAAACAAACTCCGTGAATTTTTTGTAAACGAAATGGAAGAATGCTCTAGGGTTTAATATATGAACTATGTTAAAGTGCGTAAAAAATATTTGATATGCGACGAAAAAAGAAATTATTTCTTGTATAAAATGTAGTACCAAAAGTGCTGGTTAACTGCAATTTCTATTTCGATATTTGCTTGTTAGCTTTTTTTTTTTGATAAAAGCTGTGGGTGAAAATGAAATATCAGATCCGAAACAAGCTTTATTTTCCACCTGCAGTTGGCCATCCAATTAGTTCCCCCCCATAATCTGCTGATAAATTGCAGTGAAACTGCTGTGCAAGGTAATCCCTCAGTTTTAGTTTTGTCAAATTACATTTTTCGCAACTTTATGGTTGTTGATTTTTTTTTCAAGGATACTTTTTCAGCAGTTGGCAAATAGATAAATCCTTCAGAGTGTTGCCTGCGAAAAGAGGTCGTCCCACATTGAGTTACTAAATAAATAAATGCCAGCTGGGGGTCGTCAGGTCGGGTTCGTCCGGGTCATGTTTGTGTAAATTAGTGGCACAAATAAACACTCGTCCAGCAGCAGCAGCAGCTGCAACAGATGCACGGACCTTGGGTCCAGAAAAAACACTCGATTGATGGATTGTTGATGTCTGAAAAAGAGTGAGGAACCCTCCGAGTTTAGTTAATTGAAAATCCTGGTGATTTGCAGCCTGCCTTTATTGAAACCCGACCAAGTGTGCGAAGCTTTTGTACATCTTCCGGAGCGAATACGGAATTTGATTAGACAGCCTTGCTGTTGACCCATTCCGTTGAGTTGACAGTCGACAAACGGTGGAGTTGGATTGCGAATCTGCCAAATCAGATTTTAAATGCCTGCTGACAGGCGGCAGTGGAAGTTGGAAGCTGAAGCCTCTTGTCAGCTCAGGTGTGCCAGCTGTTTGCCCAGCAAATTGAACCTAATGCGGCTCACGGCTGGCATTTAAATAAGCCACCAGCGGAGCAGGAACCCAAGCCTTTCCCCCATCCGCAAACGGAGACCCAAGTCGAGATACATTGCGACGACAACTGTCAACATTTAAATAAGATTGATCGATTGGCAGCGTCAACGGCATTGACATTGCCTCTTCTTCGTGGGTGTTGGCTTTGATTTTGGTGTTGGTATTGGTGTTGGCCTTAATGCTCCCGCCTTTTGGGGCGTGACGGACTTTACACGCGCTTTGATTTCCATTAAACAGGATGCCCATGGTTCTGCTCTGGTGCACAGTGAAAAAGCTTACAAGGATCTTCGGAATGTTTCAAATCCTTCATCAAGTAAACTTAGTTTCTTACTCAAAATACAATAGAAGATGTACTTGATAGTGTGACAATAAAAGCTTCTCAAATGAATTGAATTAACCGATTAATGTTAATCACTACCAATATTTTAAAACATTAACCATTGGCCTAATTAACATGACCAAAGAGCTAAACCGCATGAATATAAAACTCACAAAGATAATTGCATTAACTCATCTGTGTATTTTGAACACAGAATTAAATGTGCATTTATTATACTTCTGACCACTTTGCCAATGTTTTTTAAAAACGTAGCTTCTGGCATTAAAACGATAAGTCACGTATCGGAATGAAAGCATTTAATGATTTTATTAAGCCAGCGTAATAAAACATTTCATGGCTTATCGATAAATATTACAGAAACCAGTTATTTAAAATACCTTCAGGCTCTTGTGACACCTCGTTTGTGGATGTTAAGAGATTAATTATGAGTTAAATGTTTTTAAAATGCCAAGCTGATATGATGGAAAACCAAGTGATATTTTCTGTGCAATTTTTTCGGCAACTGTAGCCTGTTCAATTGGTGTCCCAATCAGAATCCCATTGGCCGAGGCCCGATTTACAGTCGCTGGGTGTGCGACAAATTGGTGGCGCTTCCGTTTGGGATTTGCCGCTTGATTCGCCTGATTCGCCTGATCCGCTTGTTTACGCTGACCAGCGGGCAGCCTTCTGTCGGCATTAGAGTGCATAACAAATCACTTAGCGCCCGTCCATCTGGGATCTAATCACCCTCGCACGGGGGGCCTTTCGCATTTGGCTATAAAACTTGCGATTCGCTACGCAGCCGGTATCAGATTATCCAGCGACCCAGAGCGGTTCAAAGTGCTCCCGACTAGAGTTGAACCACAGGTCCTGCGCTTCCGGAGTGTCCTGTCCTGTCCTGGGAGGCCACTCGCTCGCAAACGGCTGAAAACACCGAACACCGAACAGTTATGTGTGGCCCCAGTTATTGCACACTGCTGCTAATCGCGGCTTCCTGCTACGTCCTCGTGGTTTGCAGCCAGGCGAAGTCCTTGCAGGTGAGTCTAATGTATCCTGGAACACCAAATAAGGTGGAGGGGGTGAGTGGGTGGCAAGCAAACAAGCCCCACTTAATTAGTGTTATTTGCCCCGGCACAAGTTCGCCAGCTTAGCGCGATAATTTTCGACGGCTGCCGGCGTTCTTGTATTTTTGCAACGGAAATTTTTGGGCGAAAAGTTTGCTTTCTTTTTTTTTGGTTGCCATGTGTCTGCTGCGTTTTGTGGCAGCTTCATTTCCCCTCTGTCAACAGCATTTGCGATGCTAGCAATTAGGTTGCAGATGGTGCAAGTTTTTTCCCTCCACAACGAAATCGATTCGCATCCAATTAACATTTTCGTTGCGTTGACAGCTACAGTGCATACACGTAATATCCACCACCAATTAAAATTACTTGATCTCCGGGTGATGCAGAGTGGTTTAGGGAAACCCAACGGGCTTCATTTAAGCACAAGGCCATATTTGCTTGATATCTTATTACATCACAGCTCAAAGCATTTTGCACCTTTAGTGCTAAAATTAGTTTGCCAAGATTAAAATAAAGTGTTTGCCAAGAGTTCATATTGAATAGTAACTTAGAATCACAGATAATCATTGGCCTTCCAAACCGGCAAATATTAATAACAAAACTTATATCAAAAGATGCCTGTTAAATTTATCAAAGCCAGCAATGTTCAATTGAGTTATTATTGAAAAAAAATGTTTATTAAATACAAGTTTAGATTTGAGTTATTTATTTAAAAGACTTTTTTTTAATTAAATAAATAAAAAATTAAATTTAGGCATGTAAATGCTTGTCAAACAATTAAAAAAATAACTTTTTTGTATATATGAGGGTTCTTAAAATTAAACGCTTTTGTTTTCCGTGTTACTTAAAAGGCTTTGCCAAATGAGGGTTCAATATCAAGTATACGCCCCACACACCCACCCGTATAGCGTTTTAGTGTGCGTTTATGGGCAAAGTGCGATTTACAAGCCGATTTCAGGTGTTGGCATTTCAATCTACATTGAGTTGTCTAATCAAGCGGCAGAGGATGCCTGCCTGGCTGTAAATTGAAACAATAAAGTGCTTGACTCGCACATTCGCAGACACCCACAATCGGGTTTTGGTTAGAAAGCTGACAGTGTGTGTGTGTGTAAGGGTGTACATGTGTGTGTAAGGGGCACGTACGAGTATGAGCATAAATAGGCGGCATAAAAATAACTTAACACGTGTCGACAGTTTGGCAGCCCGAAAACCCGCATACTCCAAAAAAAACCGAAAAAAACAACATAAAAAGCAGCCTCCGAGGAAATATCTCAAATATTTGGCTCCTTTTTTCATGCCTCGCGTGCGTCGCTTTTTTGTGCTTTGCTTTGTGGCACTTTATTTGTGCAGGGCACGAGCAAACTGGATTTGGCAAATCACATCAGTGCAGGAGGCTCTGCCAGAGGATCATCATCATCATCGCAATCTCCTTCAGCGGCGGCGGCGGCGGCGATGATGAGTGAAGCCCGCCAGAAACGCGCCATGGGCGAATACAAAGAGCTGACTGACATCATTGACGAGCTGGAGGAGAATAGTCTGGCCCAGAAGGCGAGTGCCACCATTCCGGTGGCCGGAATGCTGCCGCCGGGTCAGGAATTTGATTTGGACAGCATGCCGCCACTGACCTACTACCTGCTGCTCCAAAAGCTGCGACAACGTAAGTCTTCGCGTGGCACACGCTGCGTATACGCAACGTCTGGCTTTGGAGATGGAAGCGTGCTGAAATGTGAACGGAGCATCTGGAGTCCTTCTAATCGGATCCCGAATCACGTTCGCCTTCACGCCACCATCTCCATTACTTCCGCATTTTTTATCCATAAGCTTTTCCGCTTTGTTTTTGCAGAGAGAAAAACTTAATGTGAAGAACTTGTCGTCATTTATTATGCACGACGTTTCCGTTTTTAATATATTATGTGGTGATTTATTATTCATAAGTCATAGAGCCAAGAAGACAAGATTTTTATTGCTTGGGTGATTCTCTATTTCGTATTTTCAGTTGATGTTTTTAAAATACTTTATTGCTTAGTTAAAATGACAATGCATACTCCGTGTTTAGTGAAATATTCTAGCTCCAAATATTAATCAATTAAAACAACAAATGTTTTTTATTAATTATACAAATTAAAATGGAAATTTCTGTGTATTTTATATTGTGTTATTGTTTTCAAAAGTTAACTTGCTTAATATATATTTTTATCTTAAAAACAATTAACAAACTTTCTTTACATTGTGTATGTAGTATTTAGTTTTTATTATGGTTTTAAATATAGCTTGCGAATTTTTTTTTTTTGGTTATTGATTTATTACTTCTGTTGAATTGTACATTTGCTACCAATGTGTGTAGTTTTCCTTTTTGTATGTAAATACTTTTTTCGTGATCCCAATACAGTTCTAATCAACAAATAATATTTTTAAGAACTTCTTCGCTTCACATCCTAACCAATTTTCGGACGCAATTTTGCAGTGCAGAGCAGCGGCGAGCCCGCTTATCGCGTGCGGACGCCACGCCTTGGCCGCAGCATTGACTTTCAGCGGCTCTTGGACGGAGGAGAGGGGGCAGCGGTGGGGATGGCGGGGAGCGAGGAGGCCACCGGCGGGCAGTTCATGCAGCGCATGATAAAGAAATCGGTGCCGTTCAAGCCACGCCTGGGCAAACGTGCTCAAGTGTGCGGTGGCGATTGAGTCACGACAAGGACGCGAGGACATGCCACACGGAACCACGGAATAACGGAACCAGGGGAACCACGGAACCGGACGGAGGACGACGACGATACCAGGACAAGGTTGAGGCCAGGCAACTGGCCCTCGAGCTAACTTAACTCTTAACTTAATGGCCAGCTGAATTCGACGCAACGCAAAAATAATCCACATATGCATAGTGAATGACTAGTTACCAGCGCTATAACCCTTTTTTGAGAGGAACTAATGATGTGTATATATAGTACATGTATTTATTATTTATTTGAATAAATTGCAGCCCCCAAAAGTTTTGTTTGTCCCGCCATCGCCATGCGACGAATTTGCATCCCAAATGAGCCCCGAATTAAATAAACATGGCATTTTAATTTACGAGTCCATCGACAGTGACCCCTCGCTTTTGCTAAGGTCATATTTTTACAAAATACTAGTATTATGTTCAAATTTCCATGTTGACTCAATGAAAATTTCATAACCAGCAATAGGGCGTGCAAATTGGAAAAGTGCGGTGAGTTTTGCAACCGTTTCCACAAAATCACGCATTGCAGTTCGCATTTTGCAGTTGGCCTCATGTGTGCGTTGTGGCTGATAAAATATCTCATTTCCAACCAGCCCCCTTGAAATCCATTCCCACACTTTTGGCCAACCAAAAGCTGTCGGCTTTATTCAGCCTGATGAAGCATAAAAATATTTTACGGCCTTTGCAATGAATGCCAACTCGTTATCCATTTCACGAATGAATGTTGAAAACTTTATTTAAAGTATTTAACCAATATTTCCCATTAATAGCATTAATCCATAAAAGATATTTTCTCATTTTAAATAACTTATTCATCTGAAATTCTATAACGGCTGTTCTTTAAATTATTTTAACAAGGATTAAGCTCTTATATTATATTTTACTAAGATGACGTTGTTACTTAATATCAAAATTCTCTAACGAAATCCGAATTCTCGTTTAATTATATTATCAAGATTTATGCTGGAATTCTGCAAGACATAAAAACGAAAAGTCATTTAATTCCATTTCCATTTGCAGCTCCTGCTGACGCAGCTGTTCTCACAGCATCAGCAGCTGAAAGTTTTTGCAACTCATTAGAAACTTGCCACATGCCAATTAGTTGGCTTAACAAGGAGCGTTCCGTTCGCTCCAATAGTCGAAATCCGAAACTTGAATTCCCAATTTCTGGCTCTCCCCCAGCTTAAGTTATTGAACCCAGGTGGTCGAGAGGAAGTTAACCATTCGGGGGGTGAACCCTTCTAAAGGACTTGGGTTCGAATGCATCCTGGCAAGGATCACACATCACGAAAGCGGCAATCCAAGGAACAGCCAAGCAGAGGTTATATATCTGCCTGAATCGTGCTTAAATTGCGATAATGGGCACGCAGGCCAGGCCTCCGACCGCCTCGCCCCGTCGGAGATATTGAAACATTATAACTGCAAAATGGTAATAAATTTATCTCGAGCTCTTGGGAAAAACGAACCAAAAAAGACCAACCAACCAAGCAGGAGGTCGCGAGTCAGACACGCACATAAAGGCGGGCTGCACTTCGAAAAATATTAAATTAAACCAATATAATAATTTGTTAGTGTTAACATATATTTATTTAAAAGCTTTATGAGTTTTGGTATCTCACTTAAAATAATACAATATGTCCAATTAAAAAGATAAAATAGAGACACCGAATATCTACTTTTAATTTAAGTTATTCATAACTCAGTAAATATTTTAAATTCGCGTGCAGAGTTAATTCATCTATTTATTTGCGGTCACGTACCTTGAATACAGTTTCAAAGCGTTCGAGCGTAAACATTATTAGATTTTCTTATGAAATTCTGATTGCAATTTACTTGTTCAAATATGTCATAATTATTTTTATTCAAATTGTGAATGCAATGGTTTAGTTACCATGATTTTATCTGGGGAAATAAAAACAAAATTCACCAAATTTTTTTAAATCCTAAAGTAATTAACATAGATTGAGCTGCATTATATGAAAATATATTTTCATGAGAATTTTTTTAGATTAATAACAAATATTAAAGGTTCCTAAAAGAGGTTTCTGATCTACTTTAGAGTTTTTTTTATGTGTAGAGGAGGCCCGGGGAATCGGCCGGAACTTTGCATGATGGCAGACGTAGATTTACAGTCGAGTCGTTGCGTAAGGTTAAACTACCTTAACATCAGCTGGCTTCCTGTCTACGTGGGCGCGGGAGTCCTTTGGTCCTGCTTGCTCCCCTTCTTCTCCCTCGAGTTTCCTGCGCTATCTGGCTAACATTTACGGGTAAATATACATATATATATGCATATGTGCGAAATGATAAGTTGATTGTGCCTAAGTACGCGCGTGTGCGTGCAAGGAGAAATCACTTTGTCTGATTAAACGACGCCATTCCGGTTCAAACATTCGTTTTTCCCCAACTTGCGGGGCTGTCTGCCTGTCCAACCAGCTCATTCACCTTGGCCAAAAGCGATCTCCGCCATTAAGGTGAATTGTTAAAAATGTCTGCTAATATGGCGAACGTCTCGCTCCTTGCAATTCGCAGTTCACAGTGGAAACCCTTATTTATGGCGGCCGCAACCGACTGATTTAAATTGATGGCCCACCATTTTCCCCCTTCAGCGGGTGTGGCACTCACTTAATCAAATTTCAGCCAAGCCGAAAAAGGCTTCAAATTGGCTCGGTGTTTGTGTGTGTGTGTGTGCGGCCAAGATTATTTATACGCATTGTATTGTGTTTGCGGGCACTTTGATGTTGAGCACACCTGCATAATGGCAGTGACTTTATCGCACTTCGCCATCAAATATTAATTAGTAGGGACTGCCGACCTGTCGAAGTGATTGATAACTCGAGATTATCGTCTTCCTTGAGTGACCCCGGAACTTACTTACTTTCGTCTTTCAGCCGGCAAAGGAAATTGACAGGCAATTGGTGAGTACCACATTTGATTAGCCAGGCTGTCAATCAGGTTTCCTTTTAGTTTTTGTTTTTTGTTTTTTTTTAGAAATACCGAGTTGTGAAAGTCAACCATCGCAATTATCGTTAAGTATCCACGCAGCCGTCCAAAAGTAATTACAAACTTTTCGTATAATCTTTGTTTGGTCAAGAAATCCTTACGATTTTCTTGCCTAACTTCTTTCTTAGTTAGAAAATTTAAAAATATTTGGCCAACATTTATGGGATTTCCAGAGTCTTCCGCCCACTTCACAGCCAACTATTTCGTTTCGGGCTGATAAACTTTTCATACGCTTTTTGCTATTTCTGTGCTGGCAAAGTACACATAGTCCTCGCCTCTGACCCGTGGCCAAATACCAAAAGTTCGGAATGGATCCTGCCCCAAAATTCAGTTCCTGCGGAGTGGCAGAGTGGCAGAGCAGCTGAGTGGCAGGGGGCATGGGGCACGAAAAGCTCTTGGCTATAAATCCAATGACGGACAGGTGGGCGACGCCTCCGCCAGTTTTGCAGCGAACTAAAGCTGCAACTTTTTCTTGTTCTTGTTGTTGCCAGTGCGAATTCTGCTACCCTTGCATGGAATCAGGAATTTAGAAATTGCAAATGCAGCAGCCACATTACCACACACAAACACACACACACGCACACATGCATTCAGTGAGTATAGAATGGCTATTTCAACACAATGCTGCTGCTGCTTTTGCTGTTCCTCCTGCTGCTGCTAAAATCGAGGCCTTCCAAAGAGGACGAGGTCACCCGGGGAGCATAAAGGCGACCGAAAACCAATCGAAAATCCAGTTTTTGGCAATACGCGTCAGGGCCCCGTTGGCAATGGCAATGGCAGTGGCAGTGGAAGTAGCAGTGGCAGTAGAAATGGAAGTGGTAGTGGCTTTGACGTGGCCGCTGACGGTGCCACTGACATTGGCATTTGGCAAAATCCCGACCCTGTCATGCCACCCAATCCCCGCCAGCATTATTTTACAGTCGGTCTTCTCTAATCCAAACTAATAGCATGGGCTGCAGCAGTTCAAAGTGGATGATGGCCAACATATGGAGTTGTCCATCCATCAAAATCCTTACTGAAAACTATCACACAAACTGACTTGGTATGAGCACTTGAAATCTAATGCCTGTCAAAACTCACTGGCAGTAATTTTTATAGTTTGCACAGAAATATATGTGTCAAGGTTTGTCAGTCAAAAATGGATAAATAATTGTCTAAAGTTAGCAAGGGTTGAATGGATAAGGTATGGTATTACATCATCATTTGTTTTTAAAACATTGTTAGGAACAAAAAAAGATACATGAACATTTTTGTATAAAAAAAGCTCAATTAGTTTCAAGTTACTTGGTAAGTTTTCAAACAAATAAGAACATTGCTAGTATACTCGTTAAAATTCAGATCAGTATTCCATTTCCAGTTCATTGATTTGGATTTTACATCCTATAAGTAAAAGACTAAATCAGAAATAAGTTCCAATAAAAATGTACAATTCATACTTCTGATTTGCACACAATTACTCAACTTGTAGCCAGCTGGAAGCACTTTTAACTTTATAAGCTGCTATATACCTTAATCACTCCTTCCAGCGATTATCCCAAGAGTTGCTCCCCTTGAATTCCCTTAACAACGAAATTTCGCACTAAAAACTTCATTTGCACAACAGAGACTTTTGAGTTATGGAAGTTCCCGAGTTCTTGGATTTCGACAAAGTTTTGCCATTAAACTGGCAAACAATTTAGCTGTGCCAACAGCAAATTTGACTTAGGGAGGATCGACTGTGGCTGCAGGAACTGTTGCTGCTGTGTCAGAGTGCAACACTTTGTAGCGTTGATTTTTATTTAATATGCGAGTGACTTCGCAGGTTTTGCGGCACGACCAGCACCAACAATTCACGGCGGCACGCATGACCAAGCTGATGTGGCACATTGCCTCGTTGTTGCCCCAGTCATCATCCATCAATTTGCCTATGACAACCCGGCTGATGTGGCAAATTCACCGCCACCGATGGCCCAACGATTCGTTTTCGTTTAATTACTGTCAATTAGACAAACATTGTGTTTGCCGGACAGAGGCCTGCATATAATCAAATTACGTGCCACATCAGGATGTCTGGACGGGATGGCTAGGCCAGTTCGAATTTGCTCGATTGTGCCGCGCCAGCAATCAGATAATCGCCTGGCCACAGACCGATTCCAATAAAGTGGCGCCACAAGGATGCGACGATGCCCTTGAGGGGCACGGAAAATGGAAAGCTCGCAGGGAAGTCGCTTTCAATTACGCCAGTTCAGCCGGTAGGTAGCCATCCTGGCGTGACTTTTCCTGCCACTGTCA